CTTGCCACTGCATCAATGCAACAGGTGGAACCACGACCAGTGTAGGTTCTTTTGCTGGAAAATCTGACATGATCAGACTGACTGCTTGGATGGTCTTGCCCATGCCCATCTCATCTCCAAGAAGGCCTCCCTTCCACTGTGACTTTTCTTGACGGGTCATCCAGTTCAGACCCTCCAGCTGGAAGGACTTTAGTTTGCGCGAGATGCCTGCTGGTTGTTCCCCCGCTACTGGTTTAATTGGTTGGACTGTTTTAAGCGTCTCCCACATGGTCTTGACTTCAGGGTGAGCCTTCTCGAGTTTTCGTCGTTCCCTTCGAGCTCGATTACCACGAGGGTCAAGAGGATCCCATGACGAGGCACGCACACCACGCCGACCGCGGTCACGGACGCGATTACGGACGCGACTTGGAACAGTGCCGGAAGAGCCCGGATTAGGAACACCTAAAGCAGTATTCAACATGTCATCGTCATCCACCCCATCGTCATCCAGCTCAGAGTTCTGAGAGGAGAAATCTGACTCTAAATTCGCCAATTGGTCACTGTTTACGTCAGAGAGATCCGAATCCTCGATATTCATGGCTGGTTCAGGACGAGAAATGATCTGACGTTTGGCCTTACGAGAAGAGCTTTGCCTCGCAACCTTGCGTTTCCTTGTGGCAAGAGGAATTTCATCGTCACTAGACTCCATGTCGGCTGTTATTGAGAGTTCCTCGGCTGAGTCATCACTGTCGAGGACTGGGCTGGTACGTTTCCTCCGCCTGTTACTCTGCTTTGCCGGCGACTCATCCTCATACTCCTGCGCTTGAAGGCGTTGGGCGAGCCTGGCGTCAGCGGCCTCGTCAAATTTCGTAGCATCATGCTGTCTTGCTTGGCGTTTTACAGATGAGAATCGAGAGGCGACTTGAGCATGAGATGACGTTCTCAGTGCAACAAGCTTAGGATTGATCTTGAATCGCCTATCTACCGAGGAACGATTACTCTGAGATGTAAGAGAATCGTACATGGGTGTTACCACAACGCTGGTAGCCGGGGTTTCGTAGTCTGTCAACAGCTCGTCGAATGAGTCCTCAACGGAAGAAGTAGGTCTCGATTTTGTGCTGGAATGATTTGGTATTTCCGGTCTCTTGCTCAGAGGAGGCACAATGACTTCTATGCGGGGTGAGGAAATGCCGGAAGAGCCATCGAGACCGTCGGAATCTGGAATTTCTTGTAATCTCGATGACCTTGACCTCGACAGAGTACTACTGCTGACCGAGGTCTGGAGTTTCGAGGTAGCACTTTGGACTGTGGTACGACTAGTAAGTAGTGGAAAAGTGTGGCAAGGATCAAGATTTACCCTGAGGTTTTGTATGCTCACGACCTCGCGCAGTAGCTTTTCGAGGCGCCATGATTGTTTGACCACAAGTAACAAGTAGAATCAAGCGCTGCCAGAAGAGAGTGTATTGAAGTGTGCCTGGTGGGGAGGGTACAGTGCTCCTGAAAGAAGAAGATTCAATAACGTTCCCCCTAAGATGCCAAGCGCTTTAGCGCCCAGGCACACGCGATCCATCAACGCGTTGTGAAAGCTTATCGATTGGTTCAAATCGTCCAACCTGCAGCTGGATCCAAGGCGGCACAAATCTAGACTCTGCTCCACCCCTTACTACATACCTTCCTTTCTGCGCCGATCCCCTCTCCTACAATCGGCAAATCAATCCTCAAGTCGGAAACGTGAATGAAGTTCGATAAATTGTCATCTTCAAGCTGCACAGTACTGCACAGTAGCTGCACAGTAAAACCAGAAATCGCCATCTTTAGCCATGTATGTTGGGTGGTATACCGATTGTTTCGCTCTAACTGACAGAATATCACAGGGCTGCAAGAAGGGCCGCTACTAATGCGATCCGAGGCCCTCAGTCTGCTTTGACGGACTTTCTAGCGGTACGTTAAGCGGATGATGGGAATACGATCATCACTCACGTTCTCTGAATAGTCTCACAACATTTCGGCGCATCAGATTCACCAAGAGCACCAACGTAGACTTCGAGAAGCGCAGCAACAAGCGGCTCAAGAAACGGGCGAAGCTGATGAAAACAAAGAGAATGAGTCGGACCCAGGCGATGAGGCCGTGGAGGAGCGCAAAAAGCGAAAGAGGAAAGAGGAGAAAGCCATCATGAAAATCAAGCAAAGCAAGGAGTTCAAACGGAGGAAGTTTGAAGAGAAGATCAAAAAGCGTCAGAAAGGTTCTGGTGACGATGATGATAGTGACTATGATGATGATTCTATCGCTCGAAACATGCTCTACAAGAAGGCACAACCCATGCCAGGTCAATTCGAGAACTGCGAGATTTGTGAGAAGCGCTTCACTGTCACAGCATATTCCAAGACCGGTCCAGAGGGGGGCTTATTATGCACGAAGTGCTCGAAAGAACTTGGGAAGGAAGAGAAGAAGAAGCAACAACCAAAGAAGCGAGGGCCCCTGAAAGGAAAGCGTCGGCAAACAGAAAGTGATCGAATGATGGGTGATGTCAAACCAGGAGCAAAGAGTTTAGTGGAGATTTGCGTGCGGAAAGTTGTCGCCAACATTGTGGACATTGAGGAGTTTGGTGATCTGCCCCAGACTCTTCTCGATCGACTCAGTCAGGTTCTGTCGCAGAAACGAGCTCTTGATCCTCGGACATTGGAATTCTTCTTACAGGCAGACTCGTCCAGGATCGCCATCTACGATGCTGCAAAGCTCGAAACAGATGATTTTGAGAAGATCTTCTCCTTCATGCCTGAATTGGAGGATGTGAACCTTCGAAATGCCGGACAGATGAAAGACGAAGTCCTCCTCTACATGCTTGATCACAATCCCAAGATCAAACATCTGCAACTGGGTGCCGCAAACCTCATCACAAATCATGGCTGGCTCCAACTATTCCAGAAACAAGGTCCCAAGCTAGAAAGCTTCAAAACGTGCGACCTCGACGCCGCTCTAGACGACAGCGCCATTGAAGCGCTCGTCCAGCACTGCCCTAATCTCCAACGCCTAAAACTCAAAAAATGCTGGCAGACCACGGAAAGGTCCATCCAATGCCTAACAAGCCTCCCTAGTCTTCACCACCTTTCTCTCTCCATCTGCCCCGACACCTCCGCGGAAACTCTCTCGACACTCATAACCACCATCGGCACACCCCTTGAAACCCTCTCTCTCGAATCCTTCCACAACGCCGACGACACTACCCTCACCGCCATCCACCGCACCTGCACCGAACTCTCCAAACTCCGCTTCACCAACAACGCGATCTGCACCGACGCGGGCTTCGCCTCCCTCTTCAGTAACTGGCCCAACCCACCCCTTCCAACCATCGACCTCTCCGACAACCGCGACATCGACAATCAAAACCCCGACGGGCCAGCCGAAAGACCCATCGGCCTCGCCTCTATGGGCTTCCAAGCCCTGATGACCCACTCCGGCTCCCGCCTCGAAAAGCTAAATGTGAAAGCATGTCGCCATATCTCTCACGAAGCGCTCTTACGCGTCTTCGACCACGAAAAGCACACTTACCCCATGCTGAGAGATATGGATCTCAGTTTTGTGGCCCCTGTGGACGAGGTGGTCACGACTGCCATCTTCCGGTGTTGTCCGAAGCTGGAGAAGCTGGCGATCTTTGGTTGTAATCAGGTTCGGGGCCGGGAGGTTAGGATCCCTGCCGGCGTGGCGGTGATCGGGATGATGGACGCGCAGGAGAGTGTTGTAGTGGAGGGCGGGTGGGAGAGGGGTGATGTTTAAAAGTTAGTCAATGGCTGTGAGGAAGGGGAGGAAGGGGGAAGAAGAGGAGAAGAAAGGTAGTGAGCTTTTGCTCGACAAGTAGCTAAAATCAGACGCTGCATCAAAATGATCGCCAAGATGTGGTCTGCTGGGTGAGGGATCGGAACGTCAGCATGAACATGAGCATGCCAGATGTGGCCAATGAGATAGATGTTTACGCGGCTCAAAACGTCAATCAATCAGCCAAGAACTGAAGACAATGAACCTGCCACCTCATCCCATCCCATCGTAATCTACACCTACATCTACATCTACACCTGCAACTACCATGTCAAGCAACCCCTAAAAGGAGGGAGTATACGTATCTACAACAGTAGCAGTGACTCGATCCACGATCCGGGTATAGTGTCCAGCTCACTCACTCACTCACTCACTCACTCTATCATTCGCAGTCTCTGGTTCCCCCAAATAAAAGAATCTCAAAAGAGAGAAGGAAAAAAACCATCCATTGTCTGTATTTACTTTGTAACTCTACTGCGCCTACCGACGACCGCACAGATTCCCACACGGTATTTCAAGCCAGAACCCTCTGACCGGGATGCGTCGGGCTGGGTATCGGGTCTGCTGGGTCCGTCTGCTGATTCTGACGCTGGCTCTTGTACCCGGTATCCTGTTCGGCCAGATCACCGCCTCCTAGTCTAAGTGACGGCAGTGGTGGTGCATGCCTGATCTGAACTTCTGGATCGGTGTCTCTCCTTCCCGCGTAGGAGGGTGGTTGCATCTCGAAGCCCTCCCCTGCTGCACCATCACCACCACCGCCTATTCTTCCTCTGTCTCTTCCGCCTCTCCTGTCCATCTCGTCCTCCGAACTCGTAGCGCTAGCGCTCCATTCTCCGTCTCCTCGTTGCAGGCGCGGCGACGTGTAGCGCGTCCCGTCTGCCGTGGTGAGGTACGGGTTCCCATCTGCAGGGCCGCCAACATCGTGGTGGTCAGTTATGCGTTGTCTTTGGGATCGCGAGATTTGGTCGCGGAAAACGTTCCCGCTTTGCGATTGCTCTTGTTCCTGCGAGATCCCCGGAGCCAGTCCCGGCGTGTTCGTAGTTGATAGGGAAGGAGCAATCCTCGTCCGATAGGGTTCCATATCCGTATCTTTTTGGACGAGTTCATTCCCATTCATTGCTGGTGGACCTTTCATTTCTGTTCCCCATGTCCTGATTGGATAGGCGCGGCCCTTTTTCCAAGTCTCGCTTACGGAAGGGAAATATTGTCGATAGGCGGCCCAGGCGACTAGGATGCCCATTGCGGAGCCGAAGAGGACGTCGAAGGGGTGGTGGCGTGCGTCCATGATTCGCGACATGGCTATGCATGATGCGGCTAGGGTGGGGATCAGGACTATGAAGGTGCGCCAGACTTCGCCGCGGTTGTCGAGGACGTGGAGTTTGGCGGCGAGATAGAGGGAGAGGTAGAAGAGGCCGGCGAAGGCGGAGGAGGAGTGGCCGGAAGGGAAACTTCGAAAGCCGTCGGCCATGATGGCTTTGTCGGTTTGGGTGCAGATTGTGCTGTTGCTGAGGCCGAAGACAGGAGGGTCGACAGCACCCTCGAATGGTTGGCATCGGGCTATGAGGTCTGGTCGCGGTTTGCCACACAGGTTTTTGAGGCTGCCGGTTATAACGAAAGCGGCCCCTTCGGATAGTAATAGGCCTAATATGCCGCAGTTTAATTCCCACAGTCTATCTTTCACTCGGTAAATACTGGACCAGCCTGCACCGGTCTGTTTTCGGCGATGGGAGAAGATACCATCAATGACAAGAGTGTAGATGGCTATGATGAACATGGGGATCAGGACGGAGACGACGAGGGCGAGTGGGATTGGTATTCGTTCCTTCTCGGCATAAGGGTATTGAATGGTATAGTTCGTGAGAGAAAAGTGTTGGTTGAAAGGTTTTACGATTCTGTCAATTGCCGCATAGAGGACAGCGAGAATGCTGCAGGTGGAATACACAGTTAGCCAGGCTTTCAAGATACAAACTGAGCGAGCTTACACAATTATTGCATAGTCGAAGATGTATGATAGAATAACCCGTATGGGCAGTCTCCTGTTTGTAAATGGTAATGTATCTGGGATGTAGCGCTCCATGGCGGTGATGTGACTGAGGATGAATTGATCGGAGTATATTCAGACCAAAAGGAAGCAAGAAGCCTTCGCCTTCGCCTTCTCAGAAGAACTAACAAAAGCGAAAGCAACAAAGCAACATGCCAGAGCAGTCGGTTGAGGCGTCAGAAGTGGGCTGGGCAAGGTGTCGCATGCCCTGCATGTGGGCAGTGAGCTGAGTCGGTTTGTGGCGCGGGTCTTGCGGGTCTTGCGGGTCTTGAGCTGGTTGGTGGATCCAAGCCTGAGATGAACGATTTGAATCAGTGGCTATGGTTCTGCTGATGCTTGGGTGTATGGTGTTCAATTTGAAGTGGTAGTGTCACACAAGACGAATGACAAGGCTGGCAGATATTTACAGTGGGCCTCTGAGAAACATGGCCTCCATCAGCACCGTTTCACTGCGTTTCATTGCCGCCGCATTTGACGCGCAGCTGCCTTCAGGTTCAACTTGGATGAGGATGAAATAGATGGAGAGAAGTACACAGTCAGTATGTGGAGAGTCGGCGGCAAGGGCATCGCTCCTTGATCATTGCGGAAGTCCCAGAAAGTGCTTTGTCTACGAAGCACAGGTACATGCTATCTGGCTCATCATTCGGCCCCTGTCCAAGACCAAGTGCATACTGCCAATGCAAGCTGGACATAACAAGCTGCATCGTACTCGCCCCGTGCAATCTGTTGATCCAATGAGATAAGAGCGACCGCTGTATACTGTATCTTGGAAGAATGAACTCAGAGCCCTGTGCCGACGAAGAAACCTACACACCCGCCGACGATACGATCAACGAATGTTTCCAGCTTGATGTCTGTGTGTGACCATCTTGCGGTGGCATCAACTCGACAGCTCAAAAGAGAAAACTACAAAGGAACGGCATCCTAGACCATTTTGCCTTGGATAGATAACCCCAGGAAGGCTGATCTAGTCCTCAGAAACAGCCGCGATCACCAACTTAGCCACGACTACAAAGGCGCTACGGACAGTCAAACACAGCACGAGCAAGCGTGTGCTCTGTCGTCTCCAGCACCAGTCTTGCGGATTGAGCCATTACCTCTGTTGGCCAGGTACTTGTCGATGAAGCCCTAGAAGTCTTCTGGCTCGTATGGGGAGAAAATTTCGGCGATCATGTTCCATTTCCGCCCGCGAACTCAACGCATTACTGATTACATTAACGAGAGCGAGAGGCAGATCGTTCGACTTGCAAAGTTACGTCTAATGCAGAGAAAAGATGGATTGCTTACCGGTAGGAAGTCATGGGAAGAGTATGGAAACTTCTGACCCTGACTCAGATAGCACTTCCTTATCCAAGCGTTCCATTCTGCGATCTCCTTCTCCACTATCTCATGTTCAGGCAATTCGATCTCTCCACGAAGGTAGAAGATGGCCCCGAAGGGCTGAATTTCTGACACGAGAGGTATTGAACGGTGCGGATCTGACCTAGAAGGGGAACGATACGATGGTAGAGTCTCTGGAGTCGTTGTACATCACCGGTCTTGGCCAGAAAAGGTAGCTTCCTGTTGACTGATAGATCGGTATCACGGTCAATCCTTTTGATCCCCTGGTCTGCCTGGGTCTTTCTCGGGAGAAGCATTCGGCTTTACTCGAAAGCCAATCTCTGTCCTATCCGTGTCATCGAAGTCACGGCGAAGTTATCGCCCCTGCCAGTGTCCCCTGCCAGTGCACATGATGATGCGTTGGATTCGATTAGTTTACCAGATTTGGGGGCTACTGTGTCCTTTTTGAGTACATTGAGTTGGTCCTGCGGTATGGTGACGTCGCCTTTATGGATTGCAGACCAGAAGTCCAGGAGTGTGACCACTCCTAAGCCAGCAGCTGTCCAGAAGATGCTGTGACAGTCAGACCGATGCCCTGGCGTTGACTTGCCTTTCGTCCTCTATCTCTGGTCTGAGCACTGATACTTGGTCACCCTCATTGCATTGCGCATGAAGGTCACTTGAAAAGGCGACAGTCCCAAACCCTCCCACCAGCCAACTTCCCAATAGACGTTTCTGAAAGAAAGTGTACAGGATGCCATTTGATATTGGATATGGAAGGACTGAAGCTGATCATCAGCTGTGAGGAAGCAACTACAATGCTCGTCCAGATGCCAAACAAGCTCGAGGACGCCTCTGTCTCTGGGCGCCTCCTACACAGGACTTTGAATCTCATAAGCTGTAGCCGCTGTAAGTGCGAGTTGATAAGTGAAAAGATGTCAATGGTTATTGAAACTCTTGGCACGCCAGCGGAGACTTCTTGTCGGAATCGAGAACTCGGTGCCGCCGAGAAATGAGTTGCAGTGTCCAATTAAGATTGTTGCAAAAAAATAGAGATGGTCCAGAAATGAGGTCAAATATGGGTAAAAGGACCTCCAAAATCCTAGGCCCCTATCCTATCTGAAGAAGGGTTGCCGTTTCCATTTCCTCTACTTAGTCAATAGTTATGTTATCTTATTAATATAAAACTCGCAAAGCTGAGTGGTTACATGTTAATATTCTTCATCCTTTTGAAAATCATTCACCTTTGCAAAATCCACCCTTTCCCGTTGCTGAGCACGGAGAGAGGTTGCACGTCGCATAGAGAAAGATAGAAGAAAACCCTCTTCCTGCAACATGCGACCGCAGTGGTTATGATGGTACATCTAAATGTGAAAATATTGTTACAGGACATTTTATCCCCCGCTCCTCCAGGGGCTTAATGGCTTCTCTCCTTTTCCCTTGCCACTAAAATCATCATTGCCATTTTGGGCGCAGAAATTGTCTTTCCCAAAAATAGCAATAAATCAAGTACAAGTCAAGTGCTGCTCAGCGTCATCCGTGCCCGCCCTTTAGTCCTACAGGTCCATCGACATTTTCCACTCTGATCACGCGCGTCTCTTCTGAATTTACCTCGTGTGCCTCCCTTGCTGCTCCCGGTTTCCATCCAGTCTTGAAGATCTTGCCCATCTGGAAGCGGGGAAAGATGTGGCCTTCAGTATTGATCACGATCTCATCCAAGGGAAAATCGCTTTCCGGTGAGAACAGCAGGAACATGTATTTCAACGTCTCGGCTAGCCAGAAACTCTCCATGTTATCCCGCTGGCGTGCCGGAACGTGTTTGGCACTGTCCAGACTCGTGAAGGCGTACGGAACCCCATCATCATCGTAGACCTGGGTGTGCTTCACGAACGACTGAAACATCTCCCAGCCCCATTCTCGGTACATGGTGTCACCGGTGATGCGATACATGTAGAACAGACTCTCCACTGTTTCTGGTCTTTGCAGGTTGTGGACGTCATTTGGATGGATATCATAGTCTTTGCGCCATTGCGCATCATGCGACTCGTGCAGCGATGCACTCTCCGGAGGATCTTGATCCAATGGTACCCACTTCCGTGGCGGATCATCCAACTCGAAATATGCGATTTCAGGGGCGAGTCCGGTCTCCATGACCTTGTACATACCCCAACACGTCTTCATCAGCTCCTTCGCCAGCTCCAGGTCTTCGTCATGCTTCTTCGTCCACGCCGAGCCCAAGCGGGCTTTTGCCTCGGAGACACTTGATCCGCCAGTGACTCCAAGGGCAATAGTACCGGGCAGGAAGCAAACCAGATGATCCATCTTTGGTGTCATCGGGCTAGAGAGACCGTTTTGACGCTCGGCCAGCACAGTGAGCGAGGCACGTTTGGAGTAGGTAAGGAGATGTTTCTTGATCCCTTCAAGAGATTCGTTCCACATCTCTAGGTATATTGGCTCCCCTTCCGATGTCTGCAGATATTGTTTGATGAGGTACTCGTAGTAGCTGTCTCCGCGAGAGCCAAGGCGAATGTTCTCACCGCGAAATGAACCTGTATCGGCATAGATAAATATCGGTAGTAGCCCATCAGGCATGTGGTTGTTGCTGATAACCTCGACAACCTTCTCAACCTTTTCCCAGTAGTGCGTTTCGCCAGTCAGCTTGGCTAGGTATTTGAACTCTAATTGAAGCGTCGCGGCTTCGGCGGTCGATGATGCTCCTGCGTCTGTATGTGATGGCACTCCTAGGGATGTGTTAAGATTGAAGCTCGCGTACGGTATGCCAGATTTGGACTCAAATGCACCGAGGATCCGGTCTGCCAGATCGGTTGCTTTCTCGATGTAGAGGTCTTCTCCCGGCTGATTTACGTCGTCCTCCTGTAGGGGCGCAAGGTCAGGGAAAGTGGTAGACAGGTAGTGTGCAGACAGCAGACCACCCAACATACGTATAGTTGTCTCGAAAGTATTGACCTCATGGTGGGCATTATAATTCAAAGAGGTGGCAATCCATTCTCGGGCATGCTTGACTCGGGAGGTCAGATTCATCATGATCATGGTGTCCAAGGCATCAACGATGATCCATCCCATGCCACCTTCTACCATGTTCCTACCCTTTTTAGAAATTGGTTGGTATTCATCCATACCCCAGGCATACTTTTCATATCCGTCCCAACTGATCTTGAACGCTTCTGTGACTTTGTCCCTCCTTTCATCCCATACCCTCAAATCACCCACTTTTCCAGGGTGTAGCCAAGACCACCCATCATTTGCACCTTTTCTCGCGTTCGATCTGCTGACACGCCCAACAGGGAGCAATCCCACCCACCAGAAATACCCTAGTAGCACGAAGCTCACAAGCCCGAAAACCCGTTTCCTCCGCCACAAGCTACGCCGCCTCCGAGGTTGATAGTGTGGCTTGTCTTTGTACATGGGCAAACGCTGTCCTTCGGAGAAGAAGTCGTGTAGCCGTGCACCGATGTTACTGCTGGGGGTCTGGCTATTCGCATAGCTTGGACGGTTTGAGGCCCGCCAGTAGCTGTCTTGGTCTGACGGGGGTGCGCTTGAAAAGGAAGGGCCGTTTGTGGGGAGGTTGTAGGACATTATGGCACGTCAGTAGACGATGTGCGACAGAACTTCGATATGAGGTGGCGAGTCAGCATAGGGTTAGTTGCAAGAACAAGTGCTCTGATGGGCCAAGTACAGCACATATCACTGCCGCTGCATCCAAGTCGACTTCATGCCAGGTGAAATTGGCGACTGGGACAGGTAAATGGCGCTCATGCTCGGGGCCTGGCAGCTCGTCTTTCTCTATACTTAGCACGTCAGCTTGGTCTTGGGCACGTGTTGCCAAAGTAAACATTCATGTACATTATCGAGGCGCGCACTGCTCCCAGGGTCTCTACTAGTAGCCGCAGTATTACGAAGTATACGAATCAAGGTTGAAGCTAAATGTCTTAGCAAAATGTACTACGGTGCTACTAAGTAGGAGGGGCGAAAGTATTGTCAGTTCGTTTTAGTAACGATATGTAAATGCCAAGATATAGCGCCACAGAATTGCTCGATTAGGACTAGCTTGATCTGTATTTTCAATCGAGTATGCATCCCACTGGCTTCAATGACTGCCTGATGTCTCGCTGGTATTGATTCGAGCAGTTCTAGGAAATAGAATAGTAGTAGAAGAAGCTGAACGCGTCGCATAGGGTACGTCGTTCGTACAAGAGCAGCAGGGGTTTCTGTAAGGGGCGTTAATAAACAGCAATATTACTAGGGTGAACTAACAATACTTTGTGCCTCCTACCGTACTAAGGTAGTAGTAGGGAGTACTAGTTACTAGTAGTACTCTGTACTTTCATGACTCCATCTAGAAAATGTGGCCGTGGACAACCCAATTCATCGTGTCCTATATTCCTCATAGTACAGAGTATAGGCAATGGGAAATTATAGCAACGTATTATGTAGGAAAACTTCGCATTTGTACATTCCCACCTTTCATTATTTATCTGCACCATGAGAGATGTCGGACGCTTGTCATTAGCGTGCCCGGCCTGATCTTAGACCCGATTGCAAATCTCCTCAATAAGCCTCTGCAAATCCACCAGCTTGTACGGCTTTGTCATAAAGCCTTCCATTCCCACAGCCGTGGCGCGGGATATAGCTTTCTCGGTAACGTCTGCGCTGACGGCTATGACGGTAGGAGGCGGTATGCTCGCGGGGCTGCACTCAAAGATCTTCTCGGTTGCTTCGTAGCCATCCATTTCTGGCATCCACAGATCCATCAAGACAATGTCAACAAGTTTGAATGCTCGTTGGGTCTCCAAAAAATTGTTTTGAGAATGCCTCTCCTCTGTCGACGCTGCAATTTCCTTCACAAGTCGAACGGCTTCGCGTCCATCAAAGGCTTCATAGACATCTTCATAACCGAGCTTTGAAAGCATGTTGATGAGCAGCTTCCGGTTGATCTTGTTGTCATCGGCGACAAGAAACGTTAGTGGGTACTTCAATGCAAGCCTGCGGTCGATAGCATTTCTTTCTGATAGTGATGTCTTGGATGCGGTGGATGGCATCCTTCGTACAGGGCTCGGAGACGCTTTTGATGAGCTTGGTGACGAAATGGGAAACCGCACGTGATCTGTGAGTTCAGGTGATGGTAACTGAGGAGTAGCAAGAGCAGGCCTTGGATACGATGTCGCTGCGTATGATCTATCTGACCTAGGCAATTGTGCACCGCTGCCTGATGGTGTCGGCGTTCGGTCAAATGGGCTCCCTGGTATACTTTCCAAGTCGTGACCTCCTACAGGAACCTTGATCTCGAACTCGGATCCTTTCCCTGGGCCTGATGTCTCTGTGCGGACAAGTTTCAAGTCTCCACCGAGTTTTCGTGCAATCCCCTTTGCTACGAGAAGACCAAGACCCAAGCCGTCCCTAGTACGAGTCAAGGATGCGTCCTCTTGCGAGAAAGGCTTGAAAAGCTGGGGCACAAATTCCTTAGGTATACCGGCACCGCTATCGGCAACGTTGATTCGCACTGACCGCAGGCTTTGTGACAGCGAGACTACAATCGATATCGTTCCATTTTCAGTAAATTTGATGGCGTTCAAAACCACACATGACACAAGCTTGGAGAGATCTCTCTCGTCAACCATAAGCATTTCAGGTACATCTGTTTGCACAGACCATTCGATGATTTGGAATGAGGCATGGCCATTGGAAGATCTGGTGCGAACCTCTATCCTTTCTCCCAACGGTGTCGGATGACCAATTGAGGAGTCTGGGCGTCCACCAACGCGGAGAGCTTCGTAAATGACTATGGGTACCAGATCTCTTATGCGGCTTTGACGTAAATTTGGCGTAGCTGATGGCTCTGCCGCCACAGAACTACATGTTGGTGGGAAATATGACCCAGGTGCCGACCTTGAACACTCAGGGCTAGACGGAGGTTGAGTGGTATGCTGCATACTGCAAGGAGTTACGGGCTTTGAAACGTGCATTCCACTTCGCGGGGATACTTCCCTTCGAGGTGAAAATCTGCTGTCTCTTCGCTTGGTCGTGCTCCCAAAGCTCCATGAAACAGGGCTATGCTTCTGCCTCTTACGTGGATTGATTGCGATGTTGCCTCCCTGGATCATGATATGTGGTCGGCTCTCAAACGCAGCAGCGGATGACAAGAAGGTTGCTGGCGAATCACCGTCATCCACTGGGGTGTCGGGAATTTGCATGTTCAATTCATAGGCATGGACGATGTTGTCTGCAGCCTCTACTGCTCGACGTGAACTATCTGCTTGCCAATCAACATAGTCGGATCGGGAAAGGGAGAGACTGTAATACCTTGCACAACTTCGATATTATTCTTCAGAGCCAGAAAGATATTTCTGATTTTAGGATTTTGCTGCAATTCTATAGATTCCTGCACAGTGGCGTGCATGACGTCCAGCATCCCGATGACCCCATGCATGGGCGTACGGAGCTCGTGGGAGAGGCTGCGAGCATAGGGTCTGAAAGAGTGAGCAGCAGCCACAGGCACATTGTCCACCTCTGTAGTAGTCGCCATGTCTGAGAGCACACGATCACGGCAAGATGTTTGCTATATTGAGACTCCAGTGCAACGCATAGCAACACAAGGTCGCAAGAAGCCGTTTCCGTAGGATGAGATTGCCCTTTCACAGAAAAAATTTGCGAGTTGTGATGGTGGCAGTCAAGCACATGGAGATACTCTCGACTTGATTTGCTTTCGATATTGCCGAATGGAAGATGTGGTCATGGGAGGAATGAAGATGTCTGTAAACGTTGAGTGAAAATAACGGTTACCAACACACATGAAGTGAGCAACTTGGTGCACCGCTAGCAAGGACCAAGAGACCCAAGGCACTTGAACGGGCTAAGTACGATGACCAGCATCTGGGACTACACAGAAAGAGTTATCCTCGGAGTAAGGAGCAAAGTAGGAAGAGCAGAAAGAAGGACGATGTTACATTCCACAAACACGGCTATTGCAACTGCTGACTGATAGCGTGCTGTAGTGATCAGACTTAGCTGCTTCAGTCCGCAAGGCCAGGCGCTCATCGTACATGATCCAGGTGACGATCAGAGAAGACTTTCTGCATAAAGTGAGGGAACAGGATGGCACCTGCACGTTTCAGGGCCACAGAGGAAAGGGTCTGAGAAGTTCTAGAACCGGAACGACTCACATCCTGGAGCCCGCTAAAGCCCCATCAGCACTCGCGCCCTTTTTGCCGAGAATGCATACCGATATAACGAGTATAGCGGCTCATCATCATGGCCGAGCTTCCGTCACCGAATCTCGGAGCTCAACAACAGTACGGAGTACTAGGCATGAACATCCATCGATGCCATGCCCAAACGGGTGTGGCGTAAGTGCTCGTGAGACGTTTCACGGAATATTATGGCACTGACTCATAAATGGAAGCGGCAAACAACACAATATACTTATACAAACAGCCTTGTTGACTGTAAGAGAAAAAAGGCTGGAGTGATGGCAAATCTGAGCACATCCAAGATCAGATCTAATCTCGGGTAAATCGTGGAGTTTAGAGTACGGAGTATGCCCCCTTGATCTACCGTTCTACCGTTCTCCCACTGTCAGAGATAGCCATGCTACTAAGCACGCAATCCCCCACCTTATATAGCTTGGCTTATGTATCTCATTGCACCGATAATCCTACCTCAATCGAGCGAGTTTAGTCACTTTACCGCATAGCATGTCGAAGTTACAAGATTGTGCCTCGCTGCTTCTGCTACCTGCACCTCCTAGACATTTAGTTACGAGCGCGGCATCTGGGAACCAAGAACTTGTTTCTGGTTGTCAACGTGGCTCAGAACGGACACGTGGCTGGGAAAGACACCTGTAGGTCTAGGAGAGTTACGTTGTACGGAGTAGTTGTCCGAGAGATTCGAGCGATAATAAAATTGCAATAAGAATCGTGATGAAAGCGCTGACATAGCCCAAATGAAAAGTCTCCCGAGCTCCCTCGCTCCTTCTCCAAACAGGATCCATTGCCCAAATTTGACCATCAAGACATACCTTGCCATTTGCACGACGCAAAGCTCATGGCAAAGACAAGGCCGTGCAACTGCTCGCTCAGCCTTTGGCGTTACAGAAGCTGGCTGGAAGAACAAATTGCGACCCAGTACCGCAGCTCAATAATTAGACATAGTACCTGCGGCTGCTGCTGCTATGTCTGCGATGTGAACTGGTAGAATGGCCCCGCCTACTTCCGTGATGGCTTCTCCTAACCACTTTCTCCCTGCTCTCCCTCTCCCTCTCATGCCTCCTCAGCAAAAGGGCTAGAATGCTTGTAATGAAGAAGAAAATAATGTTCATGATGCCAAACGCCCAGCTCGCCTTCAACATGGCACAACTCCTGTTGACGTTGGCGCTCAATTGTGCACCTTCGCTGCTCTGTCGTCCATAATACCCGAAGGGCCCAAGGTTCACATAGATCTCACCAGTGGAGGCGGAAAAGTCGGAGCAGCTGGCATTGGCGATACCGCGCAGCTCGTAGACGCCCGCAATCAAAGCGCCAACGAAAGCAAGGTCGATGAAGGCAACGAAGTGGGCAGAGCGGCGGGTAGACGAGAGACGGAAAAGGGTTACAATGGCCCAAGCGCAGGCGAGGACAGAGACAATGAAGAGCACGAGGATAAAGTTTGGGGTAAGCTGACGTTGATCGTTGAATCCGTCGACGAAATATGCCTGAGAGGAGCTGTTAGCGATGAATCAATTGCGGTAGCGGTCTTCAGCCTTACTAGCATGCCGAGCACAGGAATCAGCGTGACGATCTCACATATTCGCCAGAAACCGAAAAGAAGGCCTCCCAACATTTTGCCGGTGGTCTAATGCCTGAACTGTAGTAGAGCTTGAGGAGCCCAGTTCTATTAATCGCAACGAGGGCTAGATGGGCGTTGGTTAAAGGGATCAGGGTTTGACTTGAGCGGGATCCTGCAGAGGTAGGCTCAGAGAAGATGGCGGCTCTGAGCCAGGTACGCGCAAAGCTAGTAGTCAAGATACCACAGGACGGCAACAGAAGAACAATCAAACGTATACAATGGGGTTTTCGAAATGCAAGTCGCAGTGATGCTCCCTGAAATTGGAAGAACTAACTATGATCCTATGCCGTGCCGTTAGGACATAGTACTACGTACTACGTTGGGGAAGAGGGGCGGGAAAGCCTAGGGGGGGTGGTAGGGGGGTTGGAAGGGGTAAACTTGAAGCTTGGGCTAGGCAAACAGAACTTTCCAAGATTGGTAGCCCCACTGCTTCAGAAGCTATGTACCATGACACAGTGACGCCTATCAACAACCTGCATCACGAACTAGTGGCGGATGAGCTGTGACACAATCAAGCTTCAACATGGGTTCAAACACGTGTACCCCGTAATTTGAGGAAAAGCTGCAAACGACGAAAGAAGTCGATCCTTGGGGTGCAGATACTACTTATTATTGACTTGTTGCTCCCTAAGCCTGCCCAGCATGGTGCGGTTCGCCCTGACCTCAACTGCATTTTGAGAAATGCTAGCCTGTTATGGCGCAGGAAAAGGTCTTAGCCTTAGCTGATTAGCTATCTTGAAAACAGAGTGGTACTCCGTATTTCTGAACTGTTACCGAGTTTAGCCAAATAGGTACTCCCACCACCCTTTCTTCCAAGTCCTCCCAAAACGATGATTGAGACAGGCAGCTTTGCTATCAAACATCTCAGCGCCAGAATGCCGTTGCCCATTTCCCCATACGTTGACGGGCAACACCAGCAGCCCACCCATATTCCGAGCGCCATCCTGCGCATCTGGACTTTCGCTCTCATATTCGTCGATCCACAAGGGTTCTCTTAGATGGTGGAAAGGTGCCCATGTCACCCTTCCTTCCCCGGAAATCCTCCCCAGCTCTCCTATGTTCTCGTCAGCTTTCATAGATCTAGTGATCAGCTCATGATTAGGCGGTAGTGACTCTGATAGCACATCTAGCACTGCATCCGTAAACATGCCTGGTCCAGTCACCTCTAATATATCCTCCTCCGAGTAGCGTGGCCCATGAAAAATCCCGGCACTCGCGAGATTGTGTCTTATCGAATGCGCGATGACACGTACGATAGCCTTCCTCAGAAATGGACTAAATCGACGCGGGGCATAAAGGGAATACTGAATAAATCCATAAGTTCGTGACCAATGCCACTGCTTTTTCATGGTCGGGGAGGCGTAAGGTTCATCAATCTCAATGCCCACAACTAATGAGATTCTATGCTGGCGCTCGTTGAAGAGAGGGTTCATTGGTGTGCATGAGGTGATGGGTAGAACAGGGTGAATGTCGATATCTGCGTAGAAGCCGCCATAGTACCACAGGAGCAGATAGCGAAGAAGATCCGCGCGCAGGATAGGAAGTGGGTAGTTTTTGTATACAGTAACAAGAGACGGGATGCTGGCAAGAGACTCGACAAAATCGGGAGCCTCTATGTCAGTGAAGTACTGTTGGCAGGTCAGTCCTGTGAATGACATTCTAGCAATCTCTAGATAGATAGTAGGCGTGCCAGCTTACAGTATACTCCCATCCCTGATTATGCTCCTTCCACTGTTTACAGTCATGGTCTCTTTCATCTGCATCCTTGGGGCCTGTCTGCCAGATGTTCTTTGCAAATGCTTTGCCATCTGGTAGTGCCCGACTCTCGATCTTCAGCAGAGCTTGGTCTAATTGATCCTCGAATTGGACATCCGGGTCCGATCGGAAGTGTGAATGGTAAAGGAAGTTGGGCTTTTCGCTCTGCTCGTGCGCTGGCGCCGGGCGGTTTGCAGAGCGATTGTTCTCCCACTTGGGCGGTGAGGGAAAGTAATTGTATAGGAGGTAGATCAGCAGCGTAAGGATAAGGAGGTTACGCCAGCGGCGGTCAATCCGCGGCATGGCAACGAGCCTTTGTCTTGCATGCTTGTCATTGGAACGAGATAAGAAGCATCCTCAATTCGACTTTGCCTAAATATCCAATGGAACAGTCAATAAAACAAGTAGTAAGCGTCTGGCTGGTACCGAATGGGCGGGGCTCGGAGACAGCCGAAAACCAGCAATCAATGTGTAATCTGTACAAGGATGTAGCCTTGCTGCTTCTATCACACCAGCTATGAACGTCATGTGTTGTCAAAAGGAATGAAGTTAGCCATTTCACTTCGTAATGGATCATATATCTCATTACACACAGTTTACGGCCCGGTACAAGCTCTTCTTTTAATCGGCAGGGCTAAAATGGTGGCGAACTGAACAACTTGATTAGGCAATGGGTCTTTGAGCTCCAGATGTTGTATAAATAGACCAGGTAAGGGTTTTGACTACTAATCGTGCTGGTTTGACCTATCTCGAAACGTCGTGTTATGATTCTTTGAACTACTCCGTACACCTTTGCATTTTAAATCAAAACTCCCAATTTTCCATATCAGAAACAGAATTTTATCATGCAGAACTGGATAAACTTTCGAGGCAAGCTGAGGACCTTTCAGCCGAGCCGCTGAATCAGCTCATGCTTGGATTCTCTCCGGTCGAGGCTTGCACAACCGAGGGCGAAGTTGCCACTTTGAACAGAGAGAGATATCCAGCCAGGGCGTGTAGGGCACCACTGTCTTCACGGTCAACTCGGCTGTTTGAACTCGAGAGTCGATTCTTATCCTCTATCATGCTGGCCGTTCCTGAGTCAGGCGCTATATATGTTGCATTCCCAGAATTTCCTTCCACTTTTGTTTGAATATCTTGCCACAAAGTTGAATCAGGCTTTGTGGTTGACACCTTCCTGATTGCGTGCCGAGCCAAAAGTGTCAGTGTCAATTTGAAGCGAGACGTTGCGGCTGCTGTTTTTGTGTCGGTCGAGACAATGGACAAAGCATCTGTGTCAACATGATTGCCGGAAACGATCTATCTCCTTATGCAACCGGCCCGATGCCGGTGGCACAAGTAGATCAATCTACGGGTTACTTTCTTAACGTTGATGATATTCGAAGGGAGGAATATCCTATGCTTCAAGGTGAGCATAAACATGGCAAGTTCTGTAATGGGATACTAATGCCGTGACCTCAAGGAATAACCTACCTCGATCATACAGGGACAACCTTGTATGCCAGATCATTGGTTACTGCCATTTCTCATGACTTAACCACGAATCTATTCGGAAACCCACACTCTGGCTCTTCATCTTCACAACTATCAAGTGCGAGGATTGACAACACAAGGATTGAGGTTCTGCGCTTCTTGAATGCAGATCCTGGTCTGTTCGATGTGGTTTTTGTTGCCAACGCCACTGCTGCCATCAAGCTAGTCGCCGATGCCTTCGGAGACCATGTAGAGGGTTTCTTTTACGGCTATCACGTCGATTCACATACAAGTCTGGTTGGTGTGAGGGAATTGGCTAGGCTAGGTAGTGAATGCTTTTCCAATGATGGTGTTGAGCGATGGCTCACCGCATCAGCTAAGCTGCCACATTCTCAAAGGCTCCGTGCGCTCTTTGGTTATCCAGGGCAATCAAATTTATCAGGTTATCGACCACCCCGAGGTTGGTGTTCACGCATTTATGAATTGCGGAAGTTCCATGGTCAACAAATATTCTCTTTATATGATGCTGCTGCTCGGCTTCCTACCGCTTCCTTGGATCTCAGTAACCCTCTTGATGCCCCTGATTTCACAGCTTTAAGTTTTTACAAGATATTTGGCCTACCTGATCTCGGCGCCTTAATAGTAAGGAAAGAATGCGCAGGTGTTTTTCAGGATCGCAAATTTTTCGGTGGAGGGACAGTTGATATGATTATCTCACTAGATTATCAATGGCACGCGAGCAAGCAATCATCCCTGCATGGCCGCCTTGAGGATGGTACTGTTCCATTCCATAGCATCGCTGCCCTGGGATTGGCGTTGAAAACACATTCTCGACTTTTTGGATCCATGGACAACATTTCCCGACATACTTCATTTTTAGCGCAGCATGTGTACAACAGACTCTCTTCTTTGAGGCACGCTACGGGAGCGGCGGTGTGCCATATTTATGGCCGGTCAGCGTCCGACGAGGGAGACTCCTATGGCCCAATGATTGCTTTCAATCTGCGAGATGCCGAAGGGAACTGGATTGGGAAGACTGAGGTTGAGAAGTTGGCGTCTATCAAGGACATCCAATTTCGGACAGGCGGTTTGTGCAACCCTGGCGGTATCGCATCCCATCTTGACTTGTCAGCTTCAGAGTTGAAAGCGAATTTTGCTGCTGGCCAAAAATGCGGAGACGACAACGACGTCCTAAATGATAAGCCGACTGGGGTTATCCGCGTGAGCTTTGGAGCTATGAGCAACCTTACAGACGCAGACAAGCTCATTGATTTCATTGAAGAATTCTTCGTTCGAGGTTGCCACATACCACTGTTGCCTCCCTTGACGCCACCAGCAACACCGGGCACAAGCTCGTTTCGTGTACAGAATCTCTCTATATTCCCAATAAAAAGCTGTGCTGCATTCAATATTCCTCCAGGGATAGCATGGCAAGTTCGAGACGAAGGGCTGGCTTGGGATCGAGAATGGTGTCTCATCCACCAAGGTACGGGCGTGGTGTTGAACCAGAAGAAACTCCCCAAAATGGCAATGATCCGTCCATCCATTGACCTCGATCGACGCGTACTGAGGGTGCAGCATAATATTGGCACCTCCATGCATATGATTCTGGAGATTAGCCTTGACTCGGAAACTGACAACGAGATCCTCGTGCAAACGTGTAATGCCTCGAGTATTCAATCAGCCATCGTATGTGGCGGACGGCAGAAAGTGCAGATCCTCACTCCGAGGAAGATTGCAGACTTTTTTACGGCGGCGCTCGAAGTTCCATGCACGCTGGCAAGACATCAGAAACCCACTGCCGCAGATCAAATTGCATGTTCTCTATCAGAGCTAGTGACGCAATCAATGCCCGGATATTTTCCAGACCCCAAACCAATGTCATTACCCAAGACCACGTTCCTGGCCAACGAAAGCCCAATTCTGCTAATTTCGCAAAGCAGCGTCGACAATCTCAATCTGAATATTCAGGCTAGCGATCCAGATGCAAAGCCTGTACCAACCGATTCGTTCCGAGGCAATATTGTCATTGCGCAGGAGCCTAGCCAGAGGGCATCCCCATATGTAGAAGATCAGTGGACATCACTCGAGATCGGTGAGGACCCGAGCAACCAGTTCAGAGTCATGGGGCCTTGCCATCGATGTCAAATGGTCTGCGTGGACCAGCAGAGCGCCAAGAGGGGACAAGAACCTTTCACCACATTGGCGAAGACCAGAAGGAGGGATGGTAAGGTGTGGTTTGGAATCCACCTCGATCCCGCGACTGGTACGGAGAATAGAAGGATTGGAGGGAGGAGGTTCGTCAAAATTGGAGATGTGGTGACAGCGCGATGACCGAGCAGGTACACAAAAGCAAGTGAGGAAGGCTGGGCCTCGATAATCATCATTTTAGAAGCATGGGATTGTACCGCTGACACCTCCAATCATACAGCTTATTAACGTTCGAGGAAGCGGCACTTTAGCCGGGCCATTTCAGTCATCGCGTCTTTGCAAGCAATCGAATCAGAATCTCACATTCTTCACCTCCCCCCTCCGTTTCCTAACATCATACTCTACCCACCTCGCCACCCCTCCTCTCCGGCCCTCAAAACCCAATTCATCCACCACCCTCGCCGGATTCATCACATGACATCCTTCGTAAGTGATTGCGAAAGGAGCGACTTCAGAATCAGCCAACACGAGCGCTGTAGGCAACGGGCACAGCTGGAGAGCGGAAGCATAGTCCCACAGGACGGGACGCGAAGATAGTGGGAAAGGAGAAAGATGTGACTGGTCGAGTAGGGTCTTGATGAGCTTGCGGGCTGAGGCATCAGACGGGGAGGGTTTTGATTGGTGTTGCTGAGGGTTTTGGTGGGGGTCTGTGGGGAGATGGGATTCTGCTTCGTGGATGGACGGGTCGAGGTGCATCTCTTCGCGGCCATGCTGATGGTTGTGCCTGGAGCCTGAAGGGGCCGTGGTGGCGGCCGGCTCCACCGTATCACTATCCATCTGGACATCCTCGTCGTTTCCGTCTTCATCCGGCTTCTCGAATGTGATGGCGCTCCTTCTCAGGCGTCCAGCCATGTCGTCTCGAAACAGCACGATGTCTTCCACTGGTCCAAAAATGCTGATTCGGGCTGGATTGCTCGTCCAGATCGCTTCGCCGGTTCCGTTGACTTTGCCTGCCTCCAGATTCGCGGTGTTGACCGCGCGTCGCACGCGCAGGGTGAAGATGTCGGGGACTTTGTCTCTGGGTAGAGGTGCTGCTGCTCCCGCTGAGAAAGCGGATGCCCATGGGTCGTTGTCTCCAGGCACGAAGATGAGGGTTGTGCTCGACAGTGTTGAGGGAAATTCGGAGAGGACAGAGGCAAGCGCGTTGAAATGCTCCTTGTATTCGATGCTTCCCGCTCCGGACTCTGCGCCTGCTAACACCGCTTTTGAGACGAAGTTGCCCATGAAGACAATTGATAGGGGACTGTCTTCCACTGAGTCTGCCGCTGCATAGGATGCGAGGATCTTCCGGATTGCTTCTAGCGTCCGTGGGCTGTCAAGTTGACATTCGCCCAGCACTGCGATTTTTGTTCTTTTGCGAGACTCGTCGTCGTCGTCGCTACCGCGGCTCCCTAAGGTCTTTTGCTGAATTCTTCTCATTGCTTTCCCCTGAGCTCGTTCGCTTCCTACGCCGAGGAAATCTACCCATCCAAACCCGGCTCCTGCTGAGAGAATCGATGGGCCACCGTGGTTGGAGCTTCCACTTGTGCCTAACGTCACGTCTCGTCGCTCTGCAGGAGGACCGCCAATACTGCTGCCGAAGAAGCGCCCTCCGATCATGCCGCCTACACCTCCCCCAGCGTTTGAGCCATCCTCTTCGTACATGCCTTCTATGAGGACAATCATGCCCGGACCGAACCAGGCTCCGTCTTCCGGCACTGGACGAGCCAAGGATAAGTCCAGCGTTATTGACCCTGTCAGGTCGCTCAGCGCTAACTCGCCCGTCGTTGGTGCGATCGCCAGCAGGCCTAGTAGAAGATGGGAAGAGCCGGAGCGGCCTAGCAGATTGGCAATGGGTGTTATTTTGTATGCTTGCTGCACCGTTGTTATGGTTGATGACGAACGTTGGAGGGATGGCTTGCTTTTGGCGGTGGTTGAGAATGAGGGAGTTTGAAAGGACTCATTGCGCATGAGGCGCTGGTGGATAAGATTATAGCGGTTGCGAAAGAAAGCGGTTTTATGAGATGGTGGTGGGAAGAGCGAGGGTGGTGTGGTGACTATCTCGAGCGACTTCTTGGTTGTGGAGTATGTCAGGCGCGGTTGGGTGAATGCGCTGATGACTTTGAGATAGGGCCGGGCGTCTTGTTTTGTCGAAGGCTTTTCATCACCGGAGATGTTCATCGGCAGGTCGTCTTCGACTTCAAGGCCAGAAAGACCGAGGCTGATCTGGCTGTCCTCGCGTGACAACAAAGCCGCTCGGGAGTCCAGTACATTGCCTCCTAGCCCGCTATTACTTCTCGACAGACGACCTGCGTCTAATCTTCCGCCGCTCATGCATAATTCCAATTGCCTCAGAGTATCTACTAGCTTCTTGTCTGGTGTGTCGGCCAGAATCACACCACCCCCATTGCGCTTCCATGCTTTTGCAACCTCGTCCAGAACTCGCTCTGCAAGACCTTCTTCTCTCCATCCACTCCCACAATGTCTCCCTATGAAAGTAGCCAGCAGCTGCAGCGATGATGATGTTATGGTGAGATTGTGCTTCTTTGTGATTGTGCGAAATGCTAATGGGCGCAGTATCGCAGGCGGGAGTAGAATTGGAAGGACGGCAGGCGTTGTTGGCTTCTTGAATGCTGGGGGAGGGGGCCGAACTGCCTCTCTTGCTGGGCGCGAAGCTATAGGGTATGCAGGGGTTGCGAATGCTGGGGACGAGGATGGGATGGGATCTTGTGCGGTATTTGCAGTTTTGAATAGAGGGGCGGGGGCGGGGGCTCGCGGTGTCTCTACCGAGTCTCGGTCTCCCATGTTGAAGATAAAGTTAGGATGCTAATTGACAGCTCATGTACTCGATCTCCAATATTTTGACCATAAATCGGTCACTTAAGAGCAATGGGGGAGTCTGAATGCATTCACACTTCTGGGGGAGACGCGTTGGGGCGTGTCACGCTAGTTACATATGTAAGCCCTATGACGCTTGATCTGTCTTTGCCTGTCGCATCTCGGAAGATGCAGCAAACACTCAATCGCAACTCTTAAGAAAGTGCAGTCTGCCCCCTGATATTGGCCTCTGATATATTGTCCCTCTCCAACCAATTCTCAGATGGCGAACATTGTCGACACAACAGCCACCGCAGCTCCCGCTCCTCATTCCACCGCGCCCTTACCATCGATCAGTGACAAAGATCGCCTGGCATCTCTCATTGCTCAAGCCACCGCCAAATACGCCATCAAAGACTATCTTCCAGCTGCCGAATACTACTCACAAGCCACTGAATTGCAAGCTGAACTCAATGGCGAGATGGCAGTGGAAAACGCCGACCTCCTCTACAGCTATGGGAAATGCTTGTATTTTGTCGCTGTGAAAAATAGTGACGTTCTCGGTGGGGAGGCTGCTGGTGCGAAACTGGGCAGTGCAAAGCCTGTCCAGGAAAAGAAGGGAAAGAAGATCACAAATGGCCATCCGGCCACTGCGAAGTCGGGTGCTCTATCCCCTACTGATGGAGAACAGAGACAAGCAGAAGAAGTTGTAGCCGCGTTGGTGGAAGAGAAGGCAGGCGACGAGGCGGCGGACGAAAAAGAGGCTGACGAAAGTGGTGTGGAGAAACCGTTGTTTCAGTTTACAGGTGATGAGAACTGGGACGACTCAGACGAGGATGAGGATGGCGATGGTGCAACAGGAGACGATGGCGCAGGAGCAGCAGAAGAAGAAGAAGACGACGACGATTTTGCGAATGCGTTTGAAGTCCTCGATCTAGCCAGAGTTCTCTTCCAGTCAAGACTTCAACAATTACAAGATCAAGCATCAGCTGCTGCGGACAAGGCCAGATCAATAGCTTCCAGCCAAGATCCTCCTGAAGAGAGAACGGTGAAAGAGCGAATAGCCGACATCCACGACCTCCAAGCAGAAATTGCGCTGGAGGGCGAGCGGTTCTCGAACGCCGTTGTCGACCTCAAAGGCGCCCTGGCTCTGAAAGAGGAATTATATCCTAGAGAAAGCCCCGTGCTCGCAGAATGTCACTACAAGTTATCACTGGCCCTCGAGTTCTCATCAGTGACCCAAAAGCGGGACAAGGACGGCAATCCAGAAGGGGAAGCAAAAGTGGATCAGGAGGCGCGTGATGAAGCCGCCACACAGATGCACAAAGCGATTGAGAGCTGCAAGCTACGGGTGGTTAAAGAGGAGCAGGACTTGGCGGCCCTAGAAGGGGAAGAGATGGCACCCAAAAGAGAGAAGCTCAAGCTTGATATCGAGGACGTGAAAGAGATGATAGGAGACATGCAACTAAGGCTTGTCGAGCTCAAAAAACCACCGGTATCCATCAACGACCCGAAAGGCACGGGTACGTTGGACGGGTCGACGCCGCTGAATGGTATTCTAGGTCAGATCTTGGGTGAATCAAAAGACGAGCAGAAGAAACGGTTAGAACAAGCAAGCCTGAGCGCCAAAGACCTGACTGGGTTGGTCAAGCGAAAGAAGGCCAAGTCACCAGCAGCAGACGAAAAGTCGATTCCAAGCAAAACAACCACCGACGGGCGTGCCACCAATAGTGGCAAGAGGAAAGCCGATGATTTCGTGGACGAGACCGAGGAAATGGGACTGGGTAAGAAGGCGCGCGTAGACGAAGCTGCTGCAGATGCATGACAACCGGGCATGGCAACGGATGAAGCATAGTTACTGTACCTCGTTTAGGATATGATACCCAGTCGCGCATAATACTTATATGGAATAGTGATCACAGCCAGAAGGCATTGGAAGATCAAATCGCCTACAAGTATCCACTATCTAACATGTTAACCAGAATCTCTCCTTGCGTGATCGATTCGGGTGAACAACGGCATACATAAGGTTCAATGACTATATTGAGTAGCGAATACCTCCCCATTCGATCTCCCTCCCCTACCCATACACTGTCATCACGCCTTCTACAGGTCTCCTAAGCTACCTACAACTCTCTCCACATACACCCCCCCCCTCCATCTCCCTTTAGCACCACCATGGCGCTGCCCTCCCCCTTCCTCTCCCCTCCATCTAAACCCCCAAACCCTGAATCCGCGAAACCAGAAGAGCAGGAAGAAGAAGACGACTATCTCAGCATGACCTTCACCGACACAACCCCCCTCTCCTCCTCCTCCACCACCACCGCAAGGAAAAAGGAATCCCTCACCCAATCCCTCAAGCGCAAACAGCGCGAATCCGAACTCCGCGCCCACCCGAAATCCAGGCGCGAACTCGCCCAGGAAGAGGCGCGGAAGAGAGAGGAGGCGCTCGCTACCTCTACGCTCGATCCGCAGAGTAAGGGGTTCAAGATGATGGCGAAGCTGGGCTATAAGGCCGGTAATGCTTTGGGGAGGCCAGGAGAAGCGAATGGCGACAGTGGTTCAGGGTTGTTGGAGCCGGTGGGGGTGGAGATGAGGGAGGGGAGAGCTGGGATTGGTGCTGATGCGGAGAAAAAGAGGAAGGTTAGGGAGGAGATGGAGGCGAGGGTGGAGGGGGAGAAGAGGGTTAAGGTTGAGGAGGGGGAGTTTAGGGAGAGAAGGAGGCTGGAGAGGGAGGAGAGGAGGAGGGAGGGCTTGATTCGCGGGGCGCAGGCGGTGGCTCAGAGGCTTGAAGAAGGAGAAGAAGAAGAGGGGACTGGAGAGGATGGAGGGCTAGGGAAGACTGCCAGGGATGTGGGGAGCAAGAAGAGGACGACAAAGCCTCTCGGTAAAATCAATGTGCTGTGGCGAGGAGCCGTCAAGCAACGGGAGCTGGCTGAGAGGGATAAACGCATGCGCTACGATCTACATCAGTCATTGTCACGGCTTCCTACGTATGAGGATCCAGATGAGGATCAAGAGGATAGGGTTGCATTGGGGAAGAAAGATACGGAGGAGGTTGACCGCGATCTGGATGGGGAGGATGACGAGCTGAACGAGTTCGAGGCGCTTGACAGTGTCGAAAAGCTGCAGAAATTGGTCCAGTATTTGAGAGAACGGTGGCATTACTGTTTCTGGTGTAAGTACCGGTACGGGGATAGCGGCATGGATGGATGTCCAGGCACAACCGAGGATGATCATGATTGAGACTTGTTGCCCCTGTGTCCTCATTACTTCAAATACTGATACATATAACCCAGTACCCAGCCAAGGAAGTTATGCCCAGCCCACCATAAGCATGCATCAAAGAGGCAAGAAAGAGGTTGTAGAGCATTTTCCATGTATTCGACCTCAGTGGTTGAAATGTCTCCTGCACGACCAACTCAAGTGTCCTCGAGTGTCTGAACCCCGCGGCTCACCGTGCCTTAGGGTCTTCGTTGACGAACTTTGTATCTCCCTCCTTCTGCGCCCTCGGCTTCTCCTTGTCTGCCAGGTTCCAGCCATTGAGATGGCTGACGCCCACTGTCAGGTACGACGCAAAGCCTAACCAGGCCACGTACGGCATCAGGCAATATGAAGCAATGGGATCAACCTTCGACCAGACGTATGTCAGGTAGCCAACCGTTCCGGTTAGGGCGAAGATATCAGCTGTAGCTTCGACTGGTCTCTTCATATAGAAGAACAGCGGCATCCAGAGCAGGTTCAAACCCAGCTGGATTGTGTACAAAGTAGCTCCCACCCTAGTATCTTCCACTTTGAGTGGATCAAGCGACGACAGGCCAACATTCCACGCACGGTAGGCACCGTATCCCATGAGCCCGTAGAGGATTGTCCATACCGGTCCGAAAACTTGAGGTGGCGGTCGGTAAGGTGGCTGCTTCAGCTCCATGTAGGTCTTCTGTGTTGTTCCCCGGCCATAATAACCCACCAGTAGGCCGGCCCCGACAGGCAGGAGAATTGACGCAGCCGGGGTCTTGAAGATAGCATCGGGCAGCGTGAGTGAGGGTATGTAGGACATCATGTATCGTCTTTCCAGCCCTGGTCCTCCAAAGGCTAGGTCAATGGGGTTAATCAAGAGGCCTCCGATGTGCTGTGAGAACCAATTATTCAAGCATAGGTGAGCTGTGCAGTGGTATCTGCGACGATGTTGCTGCCTGTGAAGGGGATCGGCAAAATGTTAATTATGGCGGTTGATCTCGGTTGATCTCCATAAGCTCCAGGGATCTCCAGGGATGTGTTCGGAAGCCTGAAGCGCGTCTCCTCCTTCTCCGCATTCAACAAGCGAGCCGCGGTACCGCGGTTGAGTGAAGCGCAAAACCGCCCGCAAACGGCTGCCCATCAGGCACTGGATTCATGGTCGCTGAGCAGCCACCAGCTCTCATCACGAACAGGAGCCAACAGCATCCTGGGTGATACCGCCAGCGTCTGATCTTGTAGGTTGACAACCTCATTCTCTTCTTCCGCTGGCCTTTTGGCCTTTTGCACTCTTCGAGCTCCCGCAAGCATCTCATCTGCTCTGACAGCTACCTTGTTTCACCCTACACCGGCATTCTGTGCCTGACTTCATCTTTATCATTCTGCTATCTGCTGTCGCAAAGATCTGAAGGAGCTCAATTCAGGCCATTGGCGCTGGGCTCGTCTCTCTTCATTCTCTTTTCACTACAAACCCATCTGAAATGCTATCCAATATGCCTTCTGCACTCTTTGCAAGTCCTCATCTGACCTCTTTATCTTCTTCAAATAGCCCAATATCTAGGCATCTCAAGATTCTCGACACAGCCATCACATAACGCGCCACATCTGCAAGGCTCTCGATGATTCCTTCCAACAATCTCTACTGTTCATACCAGCCACAGGAAATATGAATCCTTACGAGACGTTCGGATCGCCTACAGAGGACGCGCCAACCTCGAGATTCGGCAGAGATGAGGAGGGTTATGGCCGATCCAACGATAACTATCGTCGAAGATCACCGCGTAAGTGAAGCATTTACTCATCCTACCCAGCTACTAGTATATATGCGAGGAAAGAACGAAAAGGAACAGCCTAGATTGTTTTGCAGGCACCCCGAATATCGCAAGAATACTGTCCTGTCCCAGACGCTTTGGCACAATTTGTTATATTCCCACCTATCTTCATAAGACTCTAGGATATTGACAGGGACTAACGGCCGTAAATCTTATAGTGAATGACCGACGTCGAAATGGACCCCGAAATCGTTCGCGATCCCCGATTGCAATTGATCGTTACCAGCCTGGTGACCGAGACCGCTCCGCTAGAGACGACTATTACAATGACTCTCGAGCAGGTGCACCTAGAGACCGAGAAGACCGTCGACGAGCACCATCACCTACAGCTGCCAACATCGACCGCTATGTGCCCGGACAAGACGGTGGAAAACCACTTGTACGAAACAATCCCCTCAATAATCCTCTCACAATGGAAATGCAGGTAGGCTTCAACTACTTTGCTGAATGGTGGAGAGTGGAGAACCAGATTAAGGAGGAGAAAGAGCGTGCAAAACATGGCGGCCGAAGACCTTCAGATCGAGTCAAGGGAGAGCGAGAAGCTCGAGAGGATCGTGAGAAAGAACGAGCCCAAATACAGGCTGCATACGACCAGTACAAGATTGACCTTCAAATCCGAATGGCACGAAGCTTTGTTCAGCAGCATAAAGGTGAAGAATGGTTCAAGGAGCGATATGTCCCCGAAATACGTGACCCTATCCGACAGCGTCTGATGGAATTCAGGAAAGGCCCGTATGAGCAGTGGGAGAAGGACATCGAAAACGGTCTCTTCGATGAATTCACTCTGGAAGGCATCTACAAAAACGATAGTGATGGAGCTGGAGGCGTCATCGAAAAGGAAGAAGGTGAAGCTACTGGGGTTGGAGAAGTCCTCGGCGTGTTGGACCTCGTCCCCGCTCGTGGAGGAGATTTGAGGGATGATTCCGCTCAGCAGCCCGCTTTGCTTATCAAGACCCTGGCGCCGAATGTCAGTCGCGAGAAGGTCGAGGACTTCTGCAAAGAGCACCTTGGTGAAGGAGAGGGTGGCTTTAGATGGCTCTCGCTGAGTGATCCGAATCCAACAAAGAAGTGTCACAGAATTGGCTGGATTATGCTGCATCCTGGTGGTGAAGAAGATGAGGTCATGCAAGAAGCTGAAAGAGGAGATGGGAGAGAAGAAGAAGGCGAAGAGGAAGAAGAAGACACCAGCAAAGTCCTTGCGAATGGCAATGCCGGCAAGACCCCCGCCCAAAGAGCTCTCGAACTTGTCAATGAGAAGGTCATTGCAGATCCAGTGCGAGGCGACTTCACATGCCATGTTGGTGTTCACAACCCTCCCACCGCTCCAAGAAAGAAAGCACTCTGGGATTTGTTCTCCGCTCCGGAAAGAGTAGAACGTGATCTGGAACTCGCAAGAAGGCTAACCACAAAACTGGAAGCAGAATTCAGCCCGAATGCAGCAGAAGGCGGGTTGGCGAGAATCGACCAACGAGTGGAGTACCTTCAGGACAAAGGCTTCCTGCAACCTCCTGCAGCGCCTCCTGCAAAAGCTAAGAAAAATGCCTTCGTCGACAACGACGACGAGATAAAATTCGAGGACGAGGTGGAGGAAGGAGAGGAAGACGAGGGCGCCTACGATGAGGAGGTGGATGACGAAGAGCTTATCATTGCCAAGAAGAAGCTCGACCTGATTGTCGAATATCTACGTCGCGTGTTCAACTTCTGCTTCTTCTGCGTCTTCGAATCAGACTCGGTTCACGAGCTTGTTCGCAAATGTCCAGGTGGTCATCTGCGGAGGCCGAGAGCGGGTCTCAACAGCACTGCCAAAGCTGCAGCCAAGGCCAGCGCGCTGGGACAGCCTTTTCCAGTGAAGAAGAAGGACAATGCGGAAAATGGTGATGACAATGTCCAAACAGCGGAAGAGAGAAGACCACCAAAATTCCAAAACAAGACCGATCAACAATTGCTCCGGGCATTCAACTGGGTCAGAACCTTCGAGGACAAAATCCTGCAGCTCCTGGAGCCCGAGTACGTCGATCTCAAAAAACTCGGTGGCAAGCCAGTCGAAGAGGCTTTGGAGGAAGAACTCGCCAAATTTGTCAAGCAAGAAGACGAATCCAAGTTCCGCTGCAAGGTGCCCGAATGCACCAAGCTCTTCAAAGCCGAGCACTTCTGGCGCAAACACGTCGAAAAGAGACACGAAGAATGGTTCCAAGCTGTGAAAGCTGATGTGAGCTCTAATCTTTCCCATCCCCTTTCCCCATCCAATACAATAACAAGCAGCTAACGCTCCTTTCCCGCAGCTCCAACTAGTAAACGCCTATGTCCTAGACCCCTCCCACATCGCCCCCTCCCGCTCAGACGCAAACTCCAACGGCCACTTCCCAGTGCCCAATAACCACATGCCCGCCGGCACCCCTCGCGGCTTCAATCTGCAGAACATGATGAATTTCGGCCAGAACGGAATGAACGGTATGCCCGGTTTCGCCGGCGGTGTTGGTGCTGGTGGTGGCAATCCCTTTATGGGCGCCGGCGCCGGCATGGGAGCCGGAGGTGCAGGCTACATGGGTAACGGCGCCATGACAGCCGGTATGGACAGCATGGGCGGGATGCACAATCCCGGCGTGATGAGGAAGGGAGGGAATCGATTCAATTCGCGGAGCGGACCCTACGATCGCCGAGTTTGGGGGCTCTGTCAACGGCCGAATGAATTTGCTGCCGCTGCTGGTGGTGGAGTCGCCGGGTCCATGGGCGGCGGACCACCCGGCATGCTGATGCGTATGCCGTCCGGTGGTGGCGCGGGCATGGGATTTCTGGCCCAAGGCGGCGGAGGCGGCGGAGGGAAATGGGGCGCGACGGTGCCGGCGGCAGCATGCCCAGAGAAGCGGTCCAGGGCCGCAGCATCAAGAGCTACGAGGATCTCGATGCCCAACCGAGCCAGGGCGGGGCGGGCACGGGCGCTGCTGGCGCGGGGAATGAGAGAGACCGGGGGATGGAGAATGGGGTGGGAAGCTGGTGGTGTTGTTACTTGCTTTTCCTTTTCTTTTCCTTTTTTTCCATTCTCCTAGGGTTTCGTCTCTACGAGACTGTTTACCCGAGAGGGCACGCCGTTTGTCTCATCCGTGGTAGTAGTTACTGCCTCGGCGCGCGAGGTTTCTGCTGTCAGTGTGAGTTCTGGCGTGCGTCGGGCATGGAGAGAGAGAGAGAGAGGGTTCAGTTAGAAGGGTGGTGTGAAAATGCATGCAGCAAATCCTAGTTTTAACTACGGACAGAAAAAGAGCAAAGCGAAGGGAATTCATTGCTTGAAAGTGCAGAAATTGGGCGAAGACTCCAATGTCAGACCTCCTACCCCCCGGCGGCGGATCTGCTATGCACCAAAAACCCATTCCATACCCCATCTCTTCTGTCAATTCGAGACTCTTGTGTATGTTCTTCAATTCCTCTTCCTCAACACCCTTCTCCCAGCTGCTGGCTCAGCGACAACCACCTTCTTCGCTGGCGCACCTGCAGCCTTCGCGGCAGCCCCCTTCGCAGCAGCAGACTTGGTGTTCATTGGACCGGTGGCCTTCCTCGTGCTTGTCGCACTCAGCGTCGTCTTCCCCTTGCCAACAGTCTTTTTCGTAATCACCGTCGTGGCGCTAGACGTCGCAGTCCAATTCGAGGCGGCTGAATGGTTGCTGACTTGACTGAGTGGCCGCTCTGGCTGCTGCTGCTGCTGTTGTTGTTGTGCTGCCGCGGCCGCTCGGCGCGGTGGAGGTGCCATCTTGCCCTTGTCATGCGCGGAAGCGGCAACGGCAGCAGTGGCGGCTTTTTCTTTGGAGGCAGTTCGTCGGAGGCCGGCTGCTGCGTTGCCGGCGCCGCGTCTGGCGTGTTCGACCATTCCGTGGAGCGAGGCGGAGATGGCGCTGGTGGCTGCGCTGGCGGCGGTTTTGAGCGGTGAGGCCGGTTTGAGGGGAGATGTGGGACGCGCGAGGTAGGATGGTTTTGAGGGCGACTGGGGAGGAGGTTGCATGTCCTTGATGGGCGATCGTGGGAGTGTGCGCGAGTTGTGGGACTTGGGCGAGAGGACGTTGCCGGCATTGGTTTTCTTGGTTCGTGACGCTGCACGAGGCTTGGTGCCGGCCGCTGTTTTCGTACGCTTGGGGTTCTTGGGGTTGGAGAGCTCATCCGCCTCGACTGTTGGTTCATTCTCCTTGTCGGATAGGATAGCAATTTCAGAGCTACGTTTTCTTGGGGCCTTCACTGGTGTTGGGCCATTCGAGTTGGCCGGTTTGGCTGCTGATGAGGCCAGATCTCGAGGGATGGCAGGGAGAGGGCGGTGGTTCTCTGCCGCAGGCACAGCGGGAAGTGCTTTGGTAGAGTCACCGGCTTGCGGCATTTGCTTTGCAATTGTTGTATCTGCGTACTTTGCCAGTAGTTCTCCCATATTGGCTTTTCTGAGACTGAGTGGTATACGGTTGATGCGACGCTCGATTCGAGACCTTAGATCGCTGGCTTGAAGGGCATAATGAGCTCGTAGATGACGAGCACGCTCGGTGACTGGGAGAACACTATCAGCACTGACCGCACACAATCAGGCCGCTCGACACATACTTTCGAGCTGTAAGTTATCAATCAGTGCTTGCTTTTGCGATTGAGAGATTTTCATGCGTTTCCTTGCTGGACTGCCTGTAGGGGTCGCGGCTGCAGATGTGTCGTGTTCTGCTTCCACCGCGGCTGATTTTCGCTTCCTTGATTGCTGGGAATCCATAATTAGGAATCCTCAAAGTCTTATAGATCGTACCAAAAGATGCCCAGGAAGCTGGTTGATGCGTTGTGTATTAGTTGGGGATACTGAGATTTCGTCAATTGAGGTTTGTGATACACCCAAATGTAAACAATGACATGGGACTAGTTAGTCATCAACGTCAAGGATAGTTAGGGCCTTGGCTTCAATCTCAAGTACTAAGTAGTACCCAGAAGCGCAAAGAATATATTTGTTGAAGAAGCGAGCTCTCACAATCGGCACCGTGGGTTAGTAGTAAGCACGTCATAAGTTGTGTTCACCAGAGGGTCGCTCCCGAAAGGTAATCAAGTTCGAACCCCCATGGAGGCAGATCAGAGTTTAATAAAATCCCGGCGGGGGTTTTCCCTACTCGCACTTGTCAACCTCGTAGACTTTGTCTCGATGTCGTCAAGTGTATGGTTTTTGGTTTTTGGTTTTTTGGGTATGGCTATAAAGGATCGGAACTGCAGCAGGACACTCTGCTGAACTGAACCCTCTACAACCACAAATATTTCGATCAAGTATACCATCCCATTGACTTAAGCGGTAAGAACAGAATTGCCTTTTCGTGCTCAGTTGATTTCTCCCTCCAGTAGAACGAGGTTCTATTTTTGCATTGTCTGGCAAGTTGTGACTGCGGCTGACTCCGTTATCTATCCCCATCACCGTATCTTAGAAATGTTGGTGGCCTCGTATGCTGTACTGTTCCACATCCATTGCTGAACATATTATGTAGCTGCGAACAGCAACTTTGACTGACACTTCTGGAATAAAGAGTGCTCTAGGAATTGCGAGAGACGCATCGATCTCACCCTCGTGTCGCTTTTAGGGTTTCGAAAACGACTTCGAAGAGCTCACGATCGTATCCCTGCTAAAAAGGACACCTAGCTCGTGTGGGGCCGGACAGTGGACACGGCATTCGCTCTCCAGCTCTACTAGCTCTATCAATATCCTTCTTGATGAAAAATCTGTCCGTGTAGCTTGATAATGAACGGGGTTAGGTAGGTAGGATTTGACTTTGGCAAGTGGTTATACTTATACAAGAGCGAGTACGGTCCAATTCTGAGTGACGCATTGAGTGAATTGACTTTGTATTCATCAAATACATTAGAAGAAACACCCCTAGGATTGAGATAATACTCGGAAAACAAGATAGAAGTGTATTGGTTCGAAAGTAGATAGAGTCATGCTTTCCCTTTCCGCCGGCAATGCCTCAATTACCGCATCGGGGAGGTTGTGAACCCAAATCGGGTCGTGCATAAGGATTCTTACAGTCATTGTTTGAGGAGTATGCAGTCAACTTCCGGTGACCCGGGAGAGTTTTGGTGATGATGGATTTTGGAGAGACTCCCTGCTCCAGACGGAAGTAGGAACAGCTTGTGATGCAGAAGCTGATGCAACTTTGACCACCAAGAAGCAGCAACGAGAACTAGGCCATTGTGCTCTCCTCTCCACCAGCGGACAAGATAAGGCGTTGGCACTCCGTGTACGTATTGCAACTTGCCACCACAGGAGAGCTGAATGGAATTAGGGCTCTCTCAAGCAGCTCTCATTGGTTGGAAAATGCCAACAGCCGCGCGTCTGCTGCCTAATGATAACGCCAGGTGAATCGACCCAGAGACTAATGAAACTTACCAGCTTCGCCGTTTCATTCAATAAGTAGATGGTGTTCATTTGGGGCGATTTTGCCTTCATGCAGATACTGTTCGACGGCAGGGAAGTAGTAATGCTTATGTCATTTTATCAAGTCACCTAGCCATTGAGACACTGCAATGTCTCAAGAATTGACCTAGGACCTAGTGAAACTTGCCGCGATTCACATCGTGTATGGAGTACACCTTAAAGCAAAACTTCGAGCAAGTGTACCCTGGGATACTTAGTGAAATGGGCGAGTATGTTTGTATAAGAAGATCATCTTTGTTTCTTAACTTGGTCCGCTCTGTATCTGCCCCACAATCTCAAAGCATATCAAACTTTAACCATCTAAGCTTTGATTCAGCTTCGTTCTGCCTGCACGTTTGCATAGATTGTGCAACACTTTCACTCAACATGTCTGTTCGTGCGTCTCGTGCCGGAAGTCTAAAGCAAGAAGATCGTACGTCGGTCCCTTAGCTGGCTGATAAGTACACACAGTAGCTGACCAGAGACACTACCAGGCGATCTCGTCGAGCAGGTAGCTTGCAAAACAGCTACTGATGCCCAAATAAAAGCGTACGTCCGGAAATTTGGTCATGACACTAATTGTTTTCAACGCTTTGTCATCGAAGAGTACAATCGATATTGCTCCACAAATTCAGTGTTGGACATAGAAAAAGCGGCTTGTTTGAAACTGGCGTTTCAGAACCATGGTGATGCCCGGCAATCTCGCTTGTTGCCTCTATACCAGAACTTGCGTTTAGCAGCGGAGTTTGTCCAAGAGAAAGCCAGACAGGCGCAAGCTGCAGGCGTTCAGGTAGCTCAACCTAGACCCGACGCAGGCCGAAGGGCGGGTCCGAGCAGAGAGACAGATACTGTCGGAGGAGCAGGGGAAAGCAATGAAGCGGTTGCAGGCAGACAAGGAAGTGCCACAAGACGAGCAGATCTTCGAACCGAGTCAAAGGCAGCTACAGCGCCAAGAGCAGCCGGAGCAGGTCCAGCCCAGGCACGAACAGCATCTGGGACTCCATCAGAGGGGTTACACTCTAACTTGAAGGAGAATATCCCACGCAATCGAGGAGAAGAGGAGGAGCTGGCGGCAGTAACCCACGCAACAGCACCACCTCAAGCTTCAATTTCCGCAATCGAGCAGTACCATCGCGAGTTAGTGCAGAGGCTGCGGAGCGCTCGACTAGATACATCTAGACCTTCAGCGGCATCCGCAGGGCAGCATGATCAGGTCAATTCTTAATCTCGGAACCCTCCAGGTGAAATTCAGAGAAGACATGGTGAACGGAGCAGTAGCATGAGTAGAAGGTGAGGGTAGTCCGCGCTCCGGGGGGTCATTAGGACTCGGGCCAAATCAACAGGAACAGGCGTGGCACAGTCTTCAAGGACTAGGGCAAAGCGGGACCCAGCTGAGCGCGAAGAAGAATGAAAAACTTTAAGATTTTCGTATTGACTGTTGTATTAGACTTGTGAAAACCTACATGAGGGTTGGCCCGATAGGCAATATTCTGCGCAAGACAGATTTCAGTCAGCTTGTCTTCAGCTGCGTTCTACTCTCTCCGTTGTGCGATATTTTTTTCGCCCTCTTGCTCTGCTTTTGGCTTCAGTGGTCTTCTTCACGCAAAGCGTACCGGAGCTGTAGCAAACAGGGTATATGAGCAAGTTTAAGGAAAGATCCCAGGTGTCTGTCCAGCAAGTCTCCGAAAACGGCCGTACAGCCTGTTCTCTGCTCGTCGAGTCTGGCCCACAGCCTCTTCCGAGTCGTCATACCTCTCTGCTTCCTGCTCCCTGTTCAAGAAGAGAAATGCATTGTAAGCTTCAACTGCGAATGGGTGCAGATAAGCTTCCCCAGGGCCTTGCATCTTCCCGTCACAAAGAACGTCCAACATGGGCTATTAGGTCCTTGATAATCTGATTTTTCGAGGCTGGTGGACGAGTTATTCGGAGGATATGCATTTAAGCGTCTATCATCCATTGTCGATGTTTTTCTTGGAATGTGGGTGGTTTTCCTACCGGATCCATTGCCAGATAGTAAAATATGTATCGGGTCAAAGATCGTGAAAGGACATGCTCCTAGATCATGGACATCCGTACTGTAGGTATTACGGGGGAGGCCTAAAGAAATGTTAGCTCACTGCTAGTATCTTTACTTGTGAAGCCTATCTGTACAGAACAGCTACTTCCAAGAGAAGTTAGATGTGATGATTTGACTTATCAGAATGAATGCACAAAGAGCAAGCTTTACAGGGACGAATCATAACACCGAGTCTCTGTAATAAAAACTAGCACCAGACTAGCATAACTACGTATTTCAGCCCCCTGTAGTATTTGCTCTTGCTGCTGACTCAAATCTCGGTCCGTTCCACAGCCTAACTAGTTAGTGGCGCCTATATTTGGGGTTGTTTCTGCTTAATTTAGTCCTCTTTGCCGCCTTTGTTCTTTCCAACCAAGATGTCTCCGCACAATGGAGGATGGCCACCAATGGCCAACAATCCAGAAGGCGATATGTCTCATGGGAAATTCTGGATGAAGATAGTTAAGGTCGTTCACAAGACATGGGAGGCAATTCTAGATGAGCATTACCCCTATACTACCATGGCGCCTGGCACCCTTATTTGAAATTCCCCTCTGCAGTTTCCCGGTGTTTGAAGATGCTGTTGCCCAAATGAGCCTTTTGACAATTTCCCAAAATTGACCATAAACAATGAACAATGCCTGGTTGACATCTTCTTCGGTCTTCCATAACACTATTCTCAGCCTGACATCTCTTTGTCTATTTTTGAGCTCCCCATCAATCGGCTCTTGTTACCATCAATCAGTAGCTTCTTCACGTACTTGTACATCATCTTCACTACTTCTGTTACTGCCTGCACTTCAGCTCCTGCTTTCTGCATAACGCCCTCTTTCTCCCACGACAAGACGTAGCAACTATGCATCTCCCACTTATCGCCTCGCTCATCCTCTGCGCTTCGGTAACCGTTATCGCTAACGAGCCGGTGACGCCATATTCAAACCCGGTCACCCCTGACATAGCAGCTGCAGCTTTGACAACACCAGGGGCCACGGCGTCGATGACAGAAATCCCAGCTTCGGCCGTGACCGCAACCCCATCACCAAGCTCCACCGCTGAAGATGTCACCACGACAACAGTTACTCTGGTCAGCCTCTCAGAAAGCCCCAGCTCAAGCTCTAGCTACACAACCAGCACACTCATCTCCTCCCTCCAAGCCACAGCAACGACAATGACCACCCTCAGCTCGGACTCTACCACTACCTCAACGTCCAGCCTAACCCTCACCACCTCCTTAATTCGAACCACCACAATAGCCACTCACGCCAACCAAACCTTCACATCATCAGCTCCGACTCTCACACTCACATCCACCACAGCTCGCTTCCAAAACGTAACTACGTCTGTGGTCCTCAGCACCAAAACAGCGAACCCTCCCCCAAAGTCAACAATCACAAGCATTGTCACTGCAAATCCGAGCCCACAGACAACGACAGCGAGGGGTGGTGCTAGTACCACGACAGGGCAACCGAGTTTGGCTACCAGTAACGCTGCCACAAGCTTTAAGGGCGGCATGAGTGTGGTGGGTCTGTGGACCGTTTTGGTGGGAGTGCTTGGGTTGACGGGCGGGTACGTGATGTTTTGATTTGACTTGGTCTGATCGGTACGAATTGCAAGATGGAAAGCAAGCGTGCATGCAATGGAGTTTATTTTTCCCTGTGGAATGTACATAAGCAGCCGGTTAGGAGTTCGCGCGAGAAAGGAGATGATCTGTCATGCGGAGTGAGCATATCAGCTAGCAGAGAGATGTGAGATGAAAACAAGTCTGCAGGTGGATTCGCTCCAAGAGCACCGCAGATGACGGAGATGCGCCATCTTCTGCAAAAAGTATCAACTTTGATTTTCACTCCCTACCATACTTCTCATGTAAGCTGTACCGTTGGGACGCTGCTCTTTCCTTGGAACTCGTGAGACCCTGATGTGTAACCTTCCACCTCTCTCATGCACTAAGCTCTACATGCTGCTCTGTTTCGCTTCTCGAACAATACTCATATGTAACACGTGCTCATATGCTCTATGAACGTCTAACTATCTGGACCCACGAGCACACACATTGCGATGTCAGGCTCTTGGGAACCTCTCGCCTATATGCAATTCCCAGAGCACTCAAAGCCGATATATCTTCTATCTTGAGTATGCTGCACCATAGCATGTGTGCAGAATCAGAGAGGCGCTAAGTCAAGCTTGCCATGTTGCTGGCTAGGAATGTCGCTGTTCTCATGGTTGATGTAGATGAAGTCGAGGCATAGACTGGGGCTTTGTGATCTTGAGGAGGTCGTGCTTGTAGACTCGAGGGTAAAGCGAATGGTTCGCTGAGTCCGGGTTATTCGGGATCTGGTAACAACCTTGCCACGTCAAAGAAGGCGAAGGTGGAGAGGCCAGGAAAGCACCTCTGCTACCCTCGATTGCTGACTGAGCCCATCAAACCTGTAAGCCAGCTAGAGGAGCTGTGAGTGAGCTTATTTCCTGCTTGGATGATGGGTCCTCGGCTTCTGTGACTGGAGCGGACGTTCTGGATTCTCTGCTGACGTGGAGGGAAGGCCCAAGGATCCGTTGCCCTAATCGAAGAGTGTCAGTGGATGCAGCAGGAGCAGAGACTCCCACAGCGAAGAACTTGCCTGGATTGCACCTCTTTGATGCCTAGCACTATACGACCTCAACCAACGAACTAGTTTCTCCATTCGCCGAGGATTTTGTCGCACGTCAAATCTCGCAATCGTCTTGCGTTTCACGGCCACTTCGACGTACTTGTCATCACGACTAATATGAATACGGACATGCTCGAGGCCCTTCCCCTGTTACACATCAGCTTCTGAATAAGAAGTAGGGTAGAATGGTAGAAAATTTCCAACTCACATATTACCAGATCTTGCGTTTTCAAGGAAGAAACCCTCTAATATGTTTTGAAAACGGAATGAGTATGTTCACGACTGCATCTGCAGTGTGGCCTTCGTGCAAAGCTCTGAGACCTATTGCAAGGTCAAAATTCTCAGGGCTTTCCATATAGAGCTCTCGAATCAACTGCTCATCGCGGCTTGAGAGTGGGGTCGGCATCACGTAGATGATACACTTGGTCTCCAGGGTATGATAGATGTGATCTGCTGAATTGACTTGGGCAAAGTGGTGGACAAGACAAAGTTAGATGGCAGATGACTGTGATACTGTCAGGAATGCCAAGATTAGTATATAAGCAGTGGTTGTGTTCCATGATCCGGCTGAGCCGCATCATTCTGTTCTTTTGGCCTAATGGCAGGAGTACGGAATACCTCTAACAGACACAAGAAAGTGTCTGGTTGCCATGGTAACGTAAGTGGACCAGCAATGCAGCACTGGCACCCACAACGTAATACTTTTCACCCAGTCAAAAATGGTACAAGATGACAAGGCTACATCATGATTCATGCTCAAATTGAGACGAAATCAATTTATTTTCCTTATAAATGTCCTACAGGCTTTTTTCTATACTCATGTGTATTTACAGATATAAAGTACACAGAATGCAAACAAGGGAACAGGTTTAAAAACATCTGCATTTAAAGGTTTTATCTAGCTAAGAGGATCAGAGCTGGTCTAGACATGCCATTGCATTGTGGGTGCCTTTGATTTGTTAGTCTACTTACATTAATTAGTTAATTAACGTGAGTCTACGAAGGCCAACAGGTGTTCTTTCTCCACACAACTACACCGCATGTAATCTCATACAGATCTTAAATGTGCCAGTCTCAGCCAGAAGACATGCAATTACTGGTCATTCCAATGTCGCGAATGAACACAAGCTGAAGCTCAGCAGATTTTTTTCCCTTGAATTTTTGCAATTGAGTTGGCGTCCCTACACCACAGCCCAACTACAGGCCTGCAATGTGTACGAGATCGCATGCATCACCATATTGCAGCCTTTCCAAATAGCATTTTGAAGCATTACAGCCAATTGCTTAAGTGAACAGAGCAGAAGGACTTTGCAGCTGACCATCTTTCATCTAATCGTATATACAATACAGACCCCAGATTATTCTATTCCACAACACCACCTTGAGCTATCATGACTCGTCAATGATCTCCTGTGCGATCCTCTCTGCGAATGCGTACACAGTGATCTGTGGATGTCCTGGTGGTAACAAAGCAAAAGAACGCGCATCTACCACCCTGAGTCTCTTTGTTCCTATCACCTTCGCTTTACTATCCACCACCGCCATCGGGTCTTCCTGTCTTCCCATTCCACAAGTTCCCGCGGCATGCCAAATCGTGGCCAGTGGACGTCTGTGACGAGTCTCGAAGCTTGGTCTTTGGGTTGATCGTGACTTCACAGAACTTGGCGCCATCCAACACACCAGAATGGAAATCATCCGTCAATGGAATACCTACCTCAGCCATAGATCCACCGAGCCAATTCGAGAACGGCGAGGCATAGTCTGGATACGTTATTTGCACGGGACCACCTTCTGAGTCGTATGCTGATTCGTTGTATCGAGCTGAGGCATTGGGCGTCCTGGATTCTGATGGAGCAGTCCAACTCACACTCTTTTTAAATACGGCAGAAACTCGTCAAAGGCGTAACTTTCGTCGCCAACAGAATCGGCCCATTGCTCATAAGATTCGGACGTTCCGATCTGACGGACCATGTAGTTTCGTGCAGAGCTGCAATGGTTTCTTTGTCAGACCAATTAAACCATCCCAGTCTTGTCAATGCTCGCACCTGCCACCAAGGCACTTTCCACGAGCATAATGAAGTTCACGCCCATTGGCTCCTGCTTGAGGCTGATAAATTTCCAATCCGTGTCAATAACGTCTTCCGGACTCATGCCAGCTACCAGAATGTCCAAGCCCGGGACCTGTGCAGTTCCATTTTCGATTACGTGATAGTACCCTCCAGCTTCAATGACTGCGACACTGAAATTGCTAGAGAGTCTGTTGGCTAGGGCAAGACCTGCAGTACCTCTGCCAACAATCACATAATCGTACGATGGAATGCTATAGATTTCAGCGAATGAAATGGATGCGAAAAGCACTGCAAGAATGAAGGGGGTAAGCATCTTGCGTTTCTAGGGTTTCTAGGAAAAATGATGAGTGAAAAGACTGAATCCATGAGACTGTCAACAATTATTCCAGGACATTAGTGACTCAGCGGTCCTTTTCTTCTTCACTGGTCCATTCTGAGCTTGGTTTTCTTACGGCCGACCCCATGACTATTCTCAGAAGCGCTCAGAACCTCTGCCGCTTTTGATAGTCAGGCACAGGGGATAACTCTCGAGGGTTTTTTCAAATGTCGGCATGTGGACCAAGCCCTAAAAGTCAAATCCGTGTCTCCGATGGCAGGCATGGCAATGATTTGTGCAAAGAAGTCGATGTGGACACTATTTTCTCCAGGTACACATTACGTGGTAGGCCATCACGTTGATTGCTGTATCCACTCCAGGCACCTCCGGCCAAGCCTAGGTGCTACGTAGTACAATCGCCGACCTAGGCTTAGTGCCCTAGGAGATCATCAGTTGGGGAAACTCAATAACGATCCTCAGCAATCTTCATAATAAACCACACGGCTTCGAGCAGGCCATTTGAAGAATGATAACGATTCGATAGTGGAAATGGATAAAATGCTACTAATTTCGGAGGTTAGTGCCATGAGCCAGGTCTAGAAAGTCATGCTTGCATTAAACAAGGTCTCCTCTTCTCTGAACGCGAGAGAAAATATACTGCATGAGGTCCTTGAGCAACGCAGAATCGTTTTGCTTATCTCCGCTGTTAAGAGTGGCACTGTACTCCGTAAAGGGTTCTGGATTTCAAAATGCGGAAAGGTCATAGCCTCAAGACTCGTTCTGGTGCATGAAACTATCTTCACATATTTACTTCAAGCCTTCTCCTAAAGGTTAGTCGTAGCGAAAGTTCCAGCTGCAATATCGCTCCCCACTGCATACAGAAGGGTTGCGATTTCAATGCATTATACTTACCCCAATCATCCCTAGCGATGATTTGCTATCACTAAGTTCCATAGTTTTCGATGTAAGGAAACAGACTATTTTGCCTACTTCGGTTGTTTGGCCCTCCTCAGTCACATCAGGACAAGTTGCAACAATGTGTGTGGGATATCCAGGATCAGAGTAGAAATGTGCATCCAAATATATGCTCTCCTTGGGAAATTAGGTTTATGTGGCAGTAATGTCTTCTGCAGCTCCTAGGGTCTAATCAACCATCATCTCAAATCCGCTACAATGCATTCCGGCTCACATGTACCATGGTTTCCATCGCGGCTGGATTGCTATTGGCATTGGGTGAAGGATTTGCTCTAAGTCCATATGTAAGTCCTAGTCAAGTTTCGAGCAACTGCACATGAATGCTTTCGACCCGCAAGAAGAGCGGCGCATTGTTGTAAATGAGCCCGAGGAGTTCCTCAGAAGCTGCGCAAGTACCCGTTAGACGCCAAATTTTCCAGCTCAGCGAGCAAGTACAACATATTCCACCCTATCGCCGGCAGATGAGAGTCAAGTGCTCGTCGTGCCTGGATCTAGTATCCAGTCTTTCAGTCCTCAGGTTTCCGTGCCTCCATCAAACTGGAACCATGCGCATCAACCCCATACCAAGCCCCACAGCCGAGGAGTTGGCTCTTGGAAAACCTAACAATGAAGCCAGCTCCACCTCAAACCCGTCACTGGTACCACAGCTTGATTTCAGAGGGTCAAGTGACAGCAGGTCTGGAACAGCAATCTTGCCTGCCCTGGTACATATCTGTCCATGCTTCGAGCTCATATATCATCCGCAAAAACTTCACTATAAACATTGATACACGCGAGTCTCGAGAAGTCTAGGTGTCAACCATATTTGTCCATTTCAGACCCCTTGTGTCAGCCGGTATAACAACCTTATGGGCATCTGAACTGTGACAACAGGAATATTCAGCCTGAGGATTGATAGATGAAGCCTGGTGGTGTTTTTGGACGGAAAGTCGGCACGGAGCCCGGCCAAGGGATTTGGTAGGTTATTGTGCGAGATCCGAAATCGGGTAAGATTACATTCAGACATCTGAAGGGGCAATGTACGGAGAGTCGGCAACGTGTAGTGAAAGTCAAACTTATAGGTCATGCTTTGCCGGAGCCGCTGCTTTGATGGTTCTTTGTGCTGTATCATAAAGATGCTCTTAATATACTGAAGTGGTACATCCCAGTTTGAAGAAACTATACCCTGACGGCCGTCTTGTTGTTCAGAGAGGCATAAGATGGCGCCAGCTTTGCTGTGAAAGCTATCATGTGCTTTCACCCTGATCTTTCGATATGTGCAAGGATCATTCTCAACCGCCGGGTGGCAGGGCCTTCCTCCTCAGACGAGCAAGTGATGGTCTCTCTCCTTGCCTCTTCAATGACTGGCTGAAGGTATCCCCAGACTTCCTCTTGATAATTTTCAATGTCGTCGAAGAAAGATGAGAAATTAATCAAAGATTCACCACGTCTCGCTGCAGAAATTGCAGACTTGTAGTAAGGCTCCGATGCCAGGGCGTTGTCAACATGGCGAACAATCTCCTTGGCGATCCTCATGTCATCTGCGGAGATGGCGTATGGGGGTCCAGGTTCGTTGGGTATGTCCATCCATAAACAAGCATTTGGGTCCTGGAGTAACTTGACCACGTCTACTCCGTCTACTCCGTCTATTCCGTCTGTTGTGTTTTTCTCAGCTGTTCTGTGAACCCCACTTTCGCTCTGTCTATCCACGTATCCTGTCACTGAGAATGCTGTGGAGGGTTCATTGTTCAAAAGTGAATCCCAGACTGCTGAGATATCACCATCCGCAACCTGATGCTGAGGATGATGGCCGTCTGAAGTGGTAGCCACTTGCTTTCCTTTGGCAGGTGCAGAGTACTGCCATATTGATACCTCACTTCCATGCTGTGTACTTTGAATGAATTGGTCTAGTGACATTCCTTCGGTAATATCCCCTGAGCTTCCATTAGGGGATTCTTTCAGTAGACGTGGTTCTCGAAAAACATCCTGCCTACAAGGCAATGATTCAGCTCCGTGACGTTGTCGAGGTCCTTCTGATATGTCACTCGCATTACTTCGTTCTGTGCTCGCAGATAGTGAACTCGGTCCTGCTTTGCCTTCACTACACAGAACTTGAGCGAGCGTGTTAGGATGCTGAGCGCTCTTGGGAGATATCGAATCACGTAATAACCCAGATACCGAGTCCAGTATACGTCCGGAAATGTTCCTAGGGTGTCCCTCCACGATAGCCCTTTCCGCCGGCGGGCGCTCTCCACTTCCTTCTCCCTGCTCTATCTTCATGGAGAAGACCTATGATTCCACAACCCACAATAATTGCAGCCAAGATTAGTGTTCCTTACATACCAGGGCTTAGTAAAGCAAATATTTGGGCCCTGGGGTTCACAAGCACATCGTTTCGTGCTTCAGATCAGGCAACGGCACCATTACAATGAAATGAGAAGTTTCCTCGTATGCGCAGAACTTTGCAAAAGAAGAAAAGCTTGCTCATTCGTAACTTGCAGGAATAGTAATTGGTTAAGGAAAGGCCTCGTGGAACTAGGGAAGTTTGAGCCTCCAACCTTGGCCGGAGTTTAGCGACAGGCATCCCCCCACTACAGACCGGTACTTGCTACCACATACATCTTGACAATAATAGGCCAGGCAAGTCCGCTACACTCTTTCAGTATCATTCCAGCTGACATCTGGACCTTGCCAACCAATAAAGCTGCGCAGATATCCATCATAGCTGAAGCACAATCAGCCGACCTGCTCACACGTGGCCAAGCCAGAGATACCCTGATTACGAAACATTCTACCTTGACTGTGCAGCGGTGTATCGATCTTGATTACCCTTAGAGCCTGACTGTTCTCAACTGCGAACAGCAAGCCGTTCAGGGTCAATCTGCTGCGTCTGTGCTCGAGACTGCTGTGAATACATATAGCATAGCTTCAGTGCACCATCAACAGCTGCTGAGAGGAGCTGGGGTTGTAGCCGCAGGAGGGAGTTTGAAAGATGCCAGAAGGGGATACTGGCACTCCCACATGGAAATTCACACAGTATGTCTCTTCACTTCCGCAATCCTTTTAGCACTCGCAAAGCTCCGTGAAGCATCTCTATCACTGCAGAAGTGCGCCCGGTGGTTTCATTGTTATCTCATTGACGCAGCTCAAGTTTTTGCACTATTCTTCTACAGATAATTCAGGGTTGAACTGTTTGCTGACATGTGTTTCCAGGTGTTTTGGCGATAAAGGCGACGTAGAAGACATCACAGAAGGTATTGCATCAACTTCCTGCAACCACACTTACCTTGATTTACAGCTTCCCACCATGGCTATGCCTGACGATGACTGGTGTCGTCCGGATGTTCTTGAACGTGATACTAATTACTTCTCTACAGCTGACATCATTTCGACGGTCGAATTTGATCACACTGGCAACTATCTGGCAACAGGCGACAAGGGCGGTAGAGTCGTACTTTTTGAGCGCAATGAGAGCGTGAGTGCCACATGAAATTTTACAGCCTGATGACCTCGACCTGACGTCCTAGCAGAAGAAAACATGCGAATACAAGTTTCACACCGAGTTCCAGTCGCATGAACCGGAATTCGATTACCTGAAGTCGCTCGAGATCGAAGAGAAGATCAACAAAATCAAATGGTGTCGGAGACAAAATGCATCCCATTATCTTCTATCTACCAATGATAAGACAATCAAGCTTTGGAAGGTTTTTGAAAAATCGTTAAAAGTTGTCGCGGAGAACAACCTTTCGAGCGATCTAACACCTGCCGGCCCAGGAGGTGGAGGAGGCCCAAGACCTAGTCACGTTCCTTTCCGAGATGCGTCTTCCCTAAAACTACCTCGCATGACACATCATGATACAGTGGTAGCTGCTGTGCCGCGGAGGACGTACTCAAATGCCCATGCATACCACATCAATAGCATATCTGTGAATAGTGATGGAGAGACTTTCATCAGCAGCGACGATCTTCGAATCAATCTTTGGAATCTCAACATCCAAGACCAGAGCTTCAACATTGTGGACATCAAACCAGCTAACATGGAGGAGTTGACAGAAGTAATCACGGCTGCGGAGTTCCACCCTCAAAGCTGCAACTGGTTCATGTATGCTAGCTCTAAGGGTACCATAAAGTTGGCCGACATGCGCGAAAGTGCTTTATGCGATCAGCATGCCAAACGTAGGATATCTCTGTGGATCTATGCATGATCTGCCCTTGCTAATGTGTCATCTAGAGTTCGAACAAGAGGAAGACCCTTCCTCCCGCTCTTTCTTTTCTGAAATTATCTCATCAATATCAGATGTCCGCTTTTCCCATGATGGGCGATACATTCTTTCACGCGACTACCTGACTGTGAAAATCTGGGACGTCAACATGGAACGTCAACCAGTGAAGACGATACCGATTCACGAGCACCTTCGACCAAGACTATGCGATACCTATGAAAATGATAGCATCTTCGACAAGTTCGAAGTGGTTTTCAGTGGCGATGGAGGAAACGTGATGACGGGCAGCTACAACAACAATTTCATGATCTATCCAACCGATCCAGATAAGGAAACGGAAGTCGTGCTACAGGCAGACAAATCTGCCTTCAAAGCAAAGAAAGTGGGAGTTCCTACACCGATCAACTCAACAAGCCCGACTAGTACTACCGGCAAGAAGGGTGGATCGAGAGCTGGCAGTCCTGCAGCTGGGGCTACAGGCCAAGGAGGCAGAATGAGGAAGGAGACCGACGCAGATGCCATTGACTTCAACAAGAAGATTTTGCATATGAGCTGGCATCCATTTGAGGATAGCATTGCCATTGCGGCGACCAACAACGTAAGTAGTTGTCCTGGAGCAATGTCTCTGCCATACCTTCACTGACATACTATAGCTTTTTGTCTTTTCAGCACTGTAATTGGCCAGCGCCAGTTCAACTTCGGCAGTGGCCTACCATACTGTTGGTGTACCGCACCCAGGAGAATGCAAGGCACAGCAATGTCCCGTGATCGAGACTCAGATTGGCCCTTCAGATGTTGGGCAAGGCTTTAGAAACTCAAGGGACAATATTCGAAGTCTTCTCACCACGGCAACGAATGATGAGAATCTGTGCACAAGATAGCAACAAAGCAGAGGCATAGAGATGGGAACGAGCCGGGCCAGCACTCTCTTGACCTAGGTGGCCTGGTCTCCAGCGTATCACAGCTAGATTGAATCAAAGAAATTGAAGTAGTCGTCCTCATTAGGTTGTATCGGTTGAAGGCTTGATAGAGATGAGCAGCATGAAAAGCTACCTGGCATCCTGCTAACAAAATATTATGCCCTACCCTAAAGATTAGAGCATTTCCTACCAGAGTGGCCAGTATTACGACTGGGCTTGCTTTACACACTGGCAGTAAAATACTGCTTAGGGCTAGCCGAGCATGCCAAAGTTAATTACCGGACTGCTAGTGAGGTCCTAAGCTTCACCACCCATGTCACTTCACCCCAGTAGCTATACATAGTACGTCAGTGAACTCAACACCATCGTCTGTATGCCCAGCTGCATTGCCAACACCGCGTAGCATTTGTGGAGAGCCTTCTCTACAGTCCACGACCGTGGTCTTGCATCCTTACTCTGCTGTGCCCAAATGGCTTCTGCGGGCACGACTGCTGGCCTTGAGTCTTTGTCCAATGCTTCACAAGATGCGAAGCCAAAGTTATACAACAACCTACTCGACCAGATCACTACTTCGAAGACCTCTACCGATCAGCTCACGGCTGACTTGGTTGCCTTATCTGATTCGATCCTATCCGGCTCGTTGAGCATCGTAGCCACACGTCCACTCCTTACCAATTTCATCCAAAGCCTATCAAAACTTTCACCTGACACTGTTGTCACGGTTGGCTCCCACGTCCTCAGTGCTTTCCAATCCCAGTCTACAACCTTCGAGGAGCAAGAAGGCCTTCTTCGAGAGGCATTATGTACAGCATACGAGGCTCAGGAAGACTACACCTCTGCTGCAAAAGCACTTCAAGGCATACACCTTGACACTTCTCAACGACAAATCACAGACGAAGCTAAAGTACAGATGTGGATCAAGATAGTGCGACTGTACCTAGAAGATGACGATACTGTCTCTGCCGAACAAGCTTTGAACAAGATTAAGAATCTACCATCCTCGAACCAGACATTAGCCAGCAATTCAGACCTGAAGCTTCATTACCAGCTTTCGCAAGCACGAATCTTAGATGCACGGCGCAAGTTCCTGGATGCTTCAGCTGAATACCTCAATGTCTCTCTGTCAACTGACGTTGCCGAGGATGATCGCTTGCAAGCACTATCTGCCGCAATAAAAACAGCGATCCTCGCGCCTGCTGGGCCACAACGAAGTAAGACTCTAGGCAAGCTGTACAAGGACGAGCGTGCGTCTGAAACAGAAGAATATGGCATTTTGGAAAAGATGTTCCTTGACCGCCTTCTGTCTGCTGAGGAGGTCGATACCTTTGCCGCTAGTTTGCTGCCCCATCAGCTTGCTCAGACTGCGGATGGAAGTACGGTTTTAGCAAAGGCGGTCATTGAGCATAATCTCCTTGCCGCCAGTAGACTCTATGAGAACATCTCCACTATGGCTTTGGGCAAGATCCTAGGGCTTGAAGACGGAAGAGAGGACACGGCGGCTGAGAAAGCAGAGGACTACGCAGCCAGGATGATGGAGCAGGGAAGGCTGAAGGGGAAGATTGATCAGATTGATGGTGTCATCTCGTTCGAGATTCAAGATGGTGTCCAGGCTGGCTCAAGTGAAAGAGAGCTTCGAATGTGGGATTATGGCGTACAAGGTCTGGTTGAAGATGTGGAGAGATGCGCTGCTGGGATCAGCGAAGCTTTTCCAGTAAGTTTTCTGTTCACCAAGGAGTGTTGTATTGCTGACTTGCTGGCTCAGGAGCTGACAGCAGAACGCATGGTGCACTGAAATAGGAAGCTCGAAGCGGAACTTACCAGCACCTTGAGACAGGGCAGCACGATCCTGCCTTTGATTTGCCCACCTTCGAAGCAAAGAGGTCCAAGATTCAAATGTCATGTCACATAAACCCTTGGGATTCGACCAAGTTTCTCTTTCAGCCACCCTGATCAAAGGCTGTGAGAAGACAACTTAGGGATTTCGAGTTGACACATGGGTCACGTGTAGAGGTATCGGAGATGAGGATGATTCCAGATTGGCACCCCCTAAAACCCCTTTCCACAGGGGTTGGGGCGGTTGCGAAGGTAGACGGCAAGGTCTAGAGGCAAGAATGAAATGCGGCAGAATCGAAGCAACCCTCCCCATACTGATGTGGTAGTCAGTTGCTAGGCGAAATAAATCATATGGCGACAGCTGAATGTCCGTCTGTTCTGGGCCTTTCCCACCTGTACTTGTGAGTATGTTTGACCATCAGTATTCATTTGCATTAAGTATATCCTTCGACAGATGCCTACGAGCTGGCCGGTCCCACAAATCCAGGTGCGAATCCACCGGAGACAAACCCGTGTTTTCACCCTTGCGATCCAGTTGTGGATAATGGCGAGCCACCTACGAAATCCAACTTTCAAGCCAAAAATAGGCCAGCTAAATGCCAGTGCTCTCTGGGCATGCTAAATGGAGTGCAGACGATGCCGGGCAGCTGGATCAGGCAATGATTTTGTGGTCTAAGTTAGGGAGCCAATTCCGCACTGCGGGGTTCGACAATCCACTGGAAGCCTCATGCAACCTTGCAAAAACTTGAAGCTTTGGTCAATTGCTTGCCGACTTTCATGTCCGATACCTGAATGCTAGCTGCCCTTGGATATCAGCAGTGAGAATGCAAACATTCAAATAGCCCGTTGTAGGCCTTCAATCTATTTTGCTGTCATCTGAGACAACCAGCACCAACATCCTGTGAAACTTGTACTTCAACTTCATCCACAATCATGTTACTTTCTTTTGTGCTCACTCCTTACACCCTTTTTGCCTTTGCACTTCTCTACTATCTTCTCCCGTATTTTCGTAAGTGGAGTTTGCGGAACATCCCTGCTCCCTTTCCTGCCGCCTTCTCCAACCTGTGGTTGATGTATCAGTGTCGAAGGGGCCGTCGATACAAGGCAGTTGACGATGTCCACAAACGCCTTGGCCCTGTCGTTCGCATTCAACCCAATCATGTCTCCATTGCGGATCCTGATGCAATTCAATCAGTCTACGGCCACGGCAACGAGTTCACTAAGAGGTAGTGCTGTTGATATTTTCTACAAACTTTATGTCTCGAAGCTGAGACAGCTACCTAGTGAATACTATGATGCTTTCGTGTCCATCCAGAGGGGACTGTTCAACACGAGAGACCGAAAGGAACATACTCGCAAACGCAAGACTGTTTCTCACACATTTTCTGCAAAGTCCATCGGCCAATTTGAACAGTATATTCATGGAAACCTGGAACTGTTCGAGAAGAAATGGAATGGCATTTGTGAGACACAAGCAGATCCCCAAACCGGCTATGCCTCAATTGATGCACTGAATTGGTTCAACTATTTGGCCTTTGACATTATTGGCGATCTTGCCTTCGGTGCACCATTTGGAATGCTCGAGAAAGGCAGAGACGTAGCTGAAGTGCAAAAATCCCCTAACAGCGAGATCACGTCTGCTCCAGCTATCGTGGTTCTAAACCGCAGGGGTGAAGTCTCAGGCACCCTTGGCTGCTTTCCTCAGCTCAAACCATACGCAAGATATCTACCGGACCCATTTTTCAGCAAGGGCATTGAAGCTGTGGAAAATCTCGCAGGCATTGCTGTGGCCAGAGTTGAAGCTAGACTTCGAACTCCCGATACTGGTCGGGTTGACCTCTTGGCGCGGTTGATGGAGGGGCAAGATGAGAAAGGAGAAAAGCTAGGACGACAAGAATTGACCGCTGAAGCTCTCACTCAGCTCATTGCTGGGAGTGATACCACTTCCAACACTTCATGTGCACTACTCTACTGGACACTTACAACCCCTGGTGTATTAAAGAATTTGCAAAAGGAGCTGGATGCAGCCATCGAACCAGGAGTGCCATCGTATGACCAAGTCAGGGAGCTAAAGTACATGAACAACGTAATTCAAGAAACGTTGCGCATCCACAGCACGTCTTCTCTTGGCTTACCACGACTGACTCCGATGGCTGCACCAGGTCAGCCATCCCCACCTCCGGTCGAGATACTAGGACACAAATTCCCACCTGGCACCTCTCTATCCGTCCCATCGTACACAATTCATCATTCCAAATCGGTTTGGGGTGACGATGCAGACGAATTCGTCCCAGACCGCTGGGACACAATTACAAAGAGACAGAAGAACTCCTTCATTCCATTCTCATATGGACCAAGAGCTTGTATCGGAAGGAATGTTGCTGAGATGGAACTTGCTTGTATTGTTGGTACAGTTTTCCGCAATTTTGAATTTCAGATGCAACAGGACGGTCCATTGGAAACAAGAGAAGGTTTTTTGAGGAAGCCGCTGGGGTTGAAAGTTGGAATTAGGCGGAGGGAAAATGCAAAGGTCTAAAAAAAGGAATAGCCTGTCAGTATTGAACAAATGAATTGGTTCGATTTCGCTCTAACTTATTTTCGGGATGTATTTTCATAATATCTTTGTATATCACAAGACATTTAACTCGCAAGGCAAATCATAGACACTAGGCTATCATTACTAGCCACGTTCTAAAAAGCATCCATGCCCTCGATTTACATATCATAATTGCTCCTCTTAATACTAAATTCATACTCCAAATCAATAGGATGGCAGCTTCTCCAGCCATCAAACTCTCTCCTTGCTGGCTGATTAATACGTAATGTTCAACGAGAAATGGCCGACATCTATGTTGCCATGTACGCACCCCTGGTCGGCAACCACAAGCACTGGAACATGCAAGTGGTAGTCAAGGACAACGCAGAACCGTCCATACCTCCAATAAACGACAAAAGAAGCGGCCATGATATCGCTACCGATTTCATTCCATCTGTGCTTCGAGAGAGTAGAAAACGGAAAGTTGCTCATCACAGATTCATCCTCATCATCCTCTCGCCATAGCCCAGGAAACGAAGTACATGGGCGATCCACGGACGCGACTTCGACGGCAGCTGCGCGGAGCCAGCACGAGGGTAAAGTCACTGATGAGAATTCTGGCCCTGGAGATTCGAGTCCCAGGAACAGCGTCACGGTAACGACGGCAACGACAATCTATGAAGTACTCAACCAATACCCAGATTTCATCGCTAGTAAGACGATCACTACAAGTGGTTGAGGCAGTGTTCTATCCACCTCTGTGTCGTAAAATTTGGCATTTTTTTCATTGGTTGATAGAGCCGCTCGCGTTTACTCAAAGTGACGTTGAGTTCTGTTAGATGCCTCTCATTTGATGGCGGCTGTTGAGTAAACACTAATGAAGGGACCGCGGGATGCAGAGAAGAAGATGTCAAGCACGGTGTGAAGCAGATCTCATCGAACCTAGGCAGAGACCAGCACGAGAAGAATACTCGAGAAAGGTCCCTGAACCGAGAAAGCGATTCCAGCCGACGATCAGCAGGGCAGTTCGACGGACAGGAACAGTGACGAGGAAGTCACTATTACGCTAAGCAGAAACGGCGGTTGATGAGGTATTTTGGACCAATCATCTGAACCATTGCCATGGTAGATTGATGTCGGGGTTTGGACCGATTGAAATAAATCAGGTATATGGGAATGGCAGGCCAAGATCTATTATGGCTAGGGGTGTGAATGCAAGCTGACTAGGTCTGCCATAGGCTAAAATTCAACGGAAGCGAATCAAAAAAACGTTGATACGGTCTCGAGTGGTGCTGCAGCAGCACGACGACGACAACAACGACGAGGATGGAAGGAAGGAGAGGTGAAGAAGGAGAAAAAGAGGGAAGAAAGCGTTGAAGCCGTACTCGACTACATGTAGGCTACGTAGTACTTTGATGGGTTGTTGTAAACTTTGGTATGGGGTACTTGCTTCGCGGATCGCCATATCAGCCAAACATCGAGACGGCCTTGCTGAAGCCGCGGGGTGGCGCCGGCTGTTTCTATGGGCATCAAACTCGTACACAATGCCATTTCTCGCAACTTCAACTTGCTGATTCGCAGTCCTCTGAACGATCCCTGCCAGGCACATATTCCACCACAGGGCCCGCGCTCTGAGCTCTCCTCAACCCCACCAGAATGCTTCAGTCTGAAACTAAATTCGTTACTATTCCGCTTCCTCTTAAATGAATACATGAGGTCGAATTTGTGGTCGAGTCTGCTCCAAGCTTCAGCGACAACGGTGGTGTTTGGATAGCATGCTGACGGATCGGTCGACAGGTGCGAGTCTCCGCCAGGGACTCGGACGATTGGAGATTGTTCAATTAGTGATATCAAAGGGATGGGTAGGAATGAGGTATGGAGTCATGTATCAAAGTCTTCAATATACCAACAATAGTTATGCCTCCTACCGTAGTACTAGTACTAGACAAACGAACCACAGACCTGCCAAGCACAGTTTAGGGTTGTTCCCGCTGTCAGAAATTGTTAGCGCTAACGGCATTTTCAGGGCGGATATGCAGGCACCGCACCCCTGTCACACCCCCCTGAAGCGTGTACTACGTATGTCCTAATTCCAGCATAAAAGTCATTGCTACAATCAACCATTCATCCAGACTTCAGTCAGGATCTTACCAGCATTTCTTCTGCTGAGCCCATCTCCGGTATCCGTGAGGATGAGTAACGAGTATAATGTGAACCTTCCTCTGCTTTTCATCCGCTCACTGCAACATCACTGATGGGGTCCGTGGAACGTTCAAGTCAAATTATTGTTGGTAAGAGGATAAACGGACTATGTTTGTTGCTCGGCATTGTGTCTTGAACGATCCTACTACCTCAGCTGAGTCTGATCTATATTGTGGTTTCAATCTCCTCGTGACCCCATCGTTTGCTTTTAGACTGATATAGTCAGCAAGAACTGATTCCTGGGAAAACCGGTGCGTTTTCGAACGCAGTCTAGTGGTGAACCGAGGCGTTTTATGTGCGACTAATAAAGTGGTGTACACGGTCCACGGTTCAATGGAAAAGGCTGAAATGAAAGCAAGCAAGTGTCATCTTGAAGGATGAAACAGTAGCCTGGCTGTCATATAACGGTGATCTGGTCATTTGGAGGCTCTTTGCCTGGTAAGGGCACGATTTAGCGATGCACGTAGTAGGATTGAGAGGATCAAGGGGCGGTTGCGGAAGAGGCGCTCGGAACTTACATGCCGGACGCCGCGAAGGAGGCTTTGGCCCTGCCAACCTGCCAACGACAGATAAGGGAGACTAGTCAGTAGGCGGCAGCTTGAATGTGTTGGCCCCATGGGAAAACGCAAAACATGTTAACAAAACTCCTGCATACGACTAGGACAACTAGCTTCTTGATCAAACGGGTGGGCCCTGGCACTCGTACAAATAGAAAAGACCTCTGCTAGGTGGGATTGGAGCTGGATCAATGCAGTGGAGCTCGATCTAGCAAATGATTGCTCTAATATCGGATCATACGTAGTAAGCAGGCAAGGAGGAGAACTTGGAAGTGCGCCATGGCCCCCTGGTAGCGTCTGATATGCCCGTTTGTTAGTGGCATTCTAAATTCATTTTGGCGGGCGGCAACCCTGGTAGGGATTGTCCCCAAAGGAAAATCTTCGTCAGTGCCAAGTGCCTCATACCATCGGTATGCAGTGACACGCTGCGTGGAGCAGCTCCATCTTCATACAAATAAACCCCTCTCTTTGATCTCTTCATTTCTATCATATAGTTTAGACCACCAAGTCTTCATTGACCATTGAAATCTTCAAGTGCCTGCAACCTTTGTCAATTGCAGCTATCAATCGTTATTTTCCTAAGGCAACCCCACTGTCGCTTTGCATTTATTCAATTGCCGGCTGGCCAGCACACTCTATTTCAAGTAACGTTCTCTAATTGTGATTTTTTTTGTCTTGTGAAGCTTAAACCAGAGAAGCCCTCAATACATTTCGTGGCCCTCTCAAAAAGACTGTTATTCCCCCAAGTTCTACTTCGTCCATCAACCCTCTAAATGTCGACTCCGATTCATGAGCAGGCAGAGCCTAAGATGCATAACAATACAAGACGTTCATCAGAAGAAGAGAGGACTGCCGTTGGAGATGAAGCAGCCAATGGTGATGGCCTCACCAAGAAGGTCACGTCGGAGTCTGCCGAGTATTTCGAGCAGGGCAGATCGGCAGCCTCAAAGACACGGGAGAGGAACAATCGATTGGGAGATGATCTAGCGCTCTTACAAGCAGAAAGAATTGCTTCACACGCCGTCGAGAGACAATCTGGAGAAACAGAGCACAACATGCATCGCTCGAGAACACGTGGAAATGAGCCTGTTGACGAGTTCGATGCTGCGACAAATCCAGTCCACGAACGGACACAGCTTTACAAGCCACCAGAGAAGCCCTCGAACAAGTTCGCACAATTCTTCAAGTACATCCATCATTCAATCTTTATCGTTAGGTACTTTATGTACATCGTGCCACTGGTCGCTTTGATTCTTGTTCCCTTGCTCCTCGGAGCCCTTGCCTTCCCTAATGCACATGTTGGTGGAGTACAGCTGGTCTGGTTCTCTATATGGCTCGAAATCGTCTGGCTTACTCTCTGGGCTGGTCGTATTGTTGCTAAATGCATTCCCTGGCCTTTGGGCCTTATCTCCAGCCTGTTCACAAATAACTCCAAGAAATGGCGTGATCTAGGCAAACAGCTAGAAGTACCTGCCACCCTCTTCTTCTGGTGGCTTGGTATTGAGATCTCGTTTCTGCCGACCATGAAGAATCATTCGATTGATGGAAACAAAGAAACGCGAGATTGGCAGCGGACAATGAACAAGATAATTATCTCGGTCTTCGTCGGCTTTATTCTTAACTTTATCGAAAAGATCCTCATTCAATTGATCGCTATCAGCTTTCATCTTAGAACGTACGCGGATCGAATTGATATCAACAAATTTCAGATCGGCAGCCTCACGAAGCTCTATCAATATTCGAAGCAGAAGATCGTGGTTGACGATTCAGAGTTTGAAGGAGAGGAAAGAAAATCGGGTCCTGCGTCAGGCGCGCGTACACCTGCTATCTATGCCGAAAAGGCCACAAGGGCAGCCAAGGAAGCCTTTTCTAAAGTCGGCGATGTTGCTGGAACAGTGGCAGAAGACTTTACCGGCAAAACTGTGGTCAAGTCCTCGCATCCGCATCAAGTCATCCTTCAGCTGCTGAACACCACAGGCGGTAGCCAAGTGCTTGCTCGACGATTGTATCGGACTTTTGGACGCGAAGGATTCGACACCGTCTTCCCTGGTGATCTCAAATGTGCTTTCGAGACAGAAGAAGAGGCCGAGGCAGCATTCAGCATGTTTGACAAGGATATGAATGGCGACATTTCCATGGAAGAGCTCGAAGCCGTCTGTGTCGAAATTGGACGAGAACGTAAGTCAATCACTGCTTCGCTCAAGGACCTAGATTCGGTCGTGTCGAAACTCGACGATGTCTTCGTATTCATCGTTGTCGTCATCACGCTACTTGTGTTCTTATCACTCATTTCGACATCTGCGGCTGGCGTTCTGACATCTGCCGGGTCCACTCTCCTGGCTCTGTCGTGGCTCTTCGCGGCTACTGCTCAGGAATTCTTGCAATCGGTCATCTTCGTCTTCGTCAAACATCCATTTGATGTTGGGGATCGAGTCTCGATCTATGGCAATACAGGTGCTACCCTCCAAGGTGACGACTACTTCGTCAAAGAGATTGCTCTTCTCTATACCGAATTCAAGAAGATGGAAGGTCACATCGTCCAGGCCCCTAATTCCTACCTCAACACCTTGTTCATTCTAAATATGCGAAGATCTGGTGGACTGGCTGAGGCGCTGCCTATTGTCATTAGGTTTGGCACCACTCTTGAGCAAATTGACGCTCTTCGTCAAAGTCTGCTGGATTTTGTCAAGGCTGAGAAGCGAGAATACCAAGGCAACATTCTGACGGAGCTTCGAGAAGTCAAAGAGGCTTATTCGCTAACGTTGAACGTTGTCTTCTTCTACAAATCTAACTGGCAAAATGAGCTTCTTCGTCTCCAACGACGAAACAAATTCATTTGCGCACTCATGGTTGCGATGCAGGACATTGGTATTGAAGGGCCTCGCCGCAATATCCCTGGGGCAAAGGTCGACCTGCCATACTACGTTCAGTATCCTGGAGGAGATTCTTCAAGCTTTGCCTCGAATACGGAAAGTGGTCTCGGTCCCTCGGCTACATCGACCTCTGATCATCAGGCACCATTTGTGGCTCCTGCGAAGATGAATAGCCTCCATTCCAAGCCAAGTATCAGCCGTACTGCATCTGGTACCGATAGCAGGCCACGAGGCGAATCGGTTTCTGCAATGGCTAAGCGAGTCGACTTTTCGCTCGGGATGCAAGACGTCAGCTCTGGTGATCTTATGTCGGGTGACCTATTTGACGATCGTTCTCGCTCCCGTCTACCTCCTGCAGCCCGCAATGCTGGGGCAGATCGCATCGATGAAGAAGAAGAATCAGATTACGCGCAGACAACAGGTCGGAAAACGAGCCATGAAAGTCACCGTCATATGCACAGTAGTGTTGTCAGACGTTCGACATCAGCAAGCAGCAATACAACGCACCACAATCGATTCTTTGACCGACTGGGTCGAGTTGGCACACGACAATTTGAATCTAATCGTACAGCAGAACCCGACCTGATGGAGCAAGGACGGTTGGATCCACGATCTAGCACCTCTCAAAATCAAGCTGTTCTCGAAGATACACAAACCACGTCTGGTGGTTTGTCTCGCAGTCAGACTGAAGACTTTGAACTGAGGCGGATGCGTTGATAGCTTCGTGGTCGACAACTCAATTTACAGTGTCTTTATTTTGTTACAGCGTCTTCTTGCAGGCGTTTACTGGATTCAAAAACAAGCTTCCGCCGTGTCAGAAATTTGCAAGATCGTCCCTGAGGTGGAGAGGAAGCTTTGGTTGTTAGATTGGAGCTGAGGTCGAGGACCGCTCCCAACCACGCTGGCACAGCGTGTAGATAGATCAATGTCTGAATCTTCTCATGAAGGTCCTAGCAGATGTTGCAATTTTAATCTCCGTTTCATCTCTGTCTCTGTCTCTGTCTTTGCTTCTGACTCTATCTCTAGCCCTAACCCCTAGCCCTGGCCCCAAAATAAGGATTTCACGTGCCAATACGGAGTACCTCAGACAGGCTCAGGACTGGTGGCTTGGCGAATGATGTCATTTGATGTTGGTTATCAATCTGGCCCATTCCAGCCAAGACAAACCAATCCAGTACCATGGCATGGCACTGCCAGTGGCAGGGACAGGGCAATCCAAGTAAATGGATATCCTCATTTGCGAATCCATGTTTGCCCCAACCAGCAGATCGATCGGCAAATCTGTCAATGGCCACTCGTGGCTGTCAATTTGCCCTCCGACGTTTCGTATATGCGCCCACGCCCGTGCTTGGTCATTTCTTTCCTAGTCGGATCTTTGTTGAGTAATTCTTTTCAACGGGCGACACGGTCAAATATCCTGCTCCTTCGCAATTGGAGTTTGACCACGCATGTTTTTGGCCTCCAGTCAATCCTTCTGTACTCCCCATTTTTCGATCTCGAGCCTGCAGTCACGAAGAACTGTAATCACTTCGATGTGTTGCGAGCAGTATGGCTCAATCAGTCCCAAGAACCCCGACACAGAGTGCAGCTCAGTACTCTCAGCAAGCCGAGAAGCTCTCTCTCGCTACTTCGAATGATGACCCATCAGAAACGTCCAGCACGAGTACCGCTGTCGAAGCCAAGTTCATCACGCCCCTAGATCCAGTGATAGTACTAGCAGATGGGAACCGACTCCCTGCCGTGCCGCCTGCTGAAGCTGCCAAGCTGAATAAGTTGAAGAATGATATGGAAGGCTATAATCATAGTAGAAGAAGGCTAAGCAGCCAAAGTACAGAATCACGAATTGGGGCAGAAGATGCAGTGCCAGGTTGTACAGTCAAATCAGAATCTGAATGGCTGGATGAATCGTCGCTCAACGAGCCCAGTGCTAGGTTGGCAGCCGCCGTGCCACCGAGCAGGACACATCCTCTATTCCCACCTCTTCCATTATATGGCCCGCCATCGATGCTGCGGAATTTGCAGTGCAAAGCTCTCCGCTTCTCTTCATGTATTCTGTCATTAGCTTTCCTCGGTGTTATCGTCCTCGGCTCCGCCTTCACAAGCATACCGTTGATGTTCCAGCACATTGGCTTGCGCTTGACATTCCGCAACCCCGATGCACGACGGCCTTTCCACCAAGAAGAGGTACGACGAAAGAGTGCTAGGCGGCAGGCCGAAAGAGAATGGACCCGACAACGCAAGCGGAGGCGTAGCCAATCTGAGGAGGGCAGCAAGGAGCTTGGTCAATTGCAAGACGATTTTCAGCCCACCGAAGGAGGTCCTGACCGACTGATGTGTGATGTTGGATATTATGCGCGCAGAGTTGGGCTGGACGTCGAGGAGTTCAAGGTGCAAACAGAGGACGGTTTCATCATTACTCTCTGGCATGTTTTTAATCCTACCGAGTACGTGCCATGTAGCGCTGACGCTCGGGGGCACAAATCGCCAAATGTTTTCGTCGATGAAGAGCGGAAAGCGCATAGTTATCAGAGAAAGCAATACACTGATGGCTCACGACGATATCCTGTCCTTCTGGTTCATGGTCTGCTGCAAAGTGCCGGGGCATACTGCACCAATGACGACGACAGCCTGGCATTCTACCTCTGCAAGGCTGGTTACGACGTATGGCTCGGAAACAACCGTTGTGGTTTCGAACCTAAACATACCACGCTCGATTACTACGATCCTAGAATGTGGGCCTGGAACATCCGCCAAATGGGCGTCATGGACCTCCCGGCTCTAATATCGCGAGTCCTTCTGGAGACAGACTTCGAAAAACTCGGCCTAATATGCCACTCCCAAGGCACAACACAAACCTTCGTCGCCCTAGCGAAAGAACAACGACCCGACCTCGGCAACAAGATCAGCGTCTTCTGCGCCCTAGCACCCGCCGTGTACGCCGGCCCTCTGATCGGCAAAATGTATTTCAAATTTATGCGCGTCATTTCCCCAGCCATGTTCCGCATCTTCTTCGGCATCCACGCCTTCATCCCCTTCATGATGACGATGCATCGACTGCTACCGGGTACCCTCTATGGCGCGATGGGATACCGCGTCTTCTCCTTCTTATTCAACTGGACCGACGCCCGCTGGGAGCGAGACCTCCGAGATCGCATGTTCCAATTTGCGCCTGTATACGTCAGCGCTGAGAGCATGCGCTGGTGGCTGGGCAGGGAATGTTTTGCACGCCACAAATGCATCCTCGCTACCCGCGAAGAAGGGAATGCAGAAGACGCGGAAGACGAAGAGGCTGAGCAACAACGAGAAGAGATGGAAGAAGCTGCTGGACGCGGCGGCCAAGAAGAAAAAGAACGTATGGCTTGGTACAACGACCAAGCGCCCCCATTTGCGCTTTGGATTGCGGGGTCGGATGATCTGGTTGACGGGAGGAGGCTTCTAAGGAGGTTCCAAAGGGGGAGAGAGCCGTATGTGAGGTTGGTGCATGCTAAGGTTATTGAAGAGTATGAGCATTTGGATGTTCTTTGGGCTATGGACTCGATTGAGAAGGTGGGAAGGGAGGTTAGGGATGTTATTTGGAAAACGGCATCTGAGGAGGCGAGGAAGATTTGTCGGATTCCCAGGGGGTTTGAAGAGGAGGAAGGGATGGAATTGGTTAGTAGTTGAGTAAGAGGAGGGTTGGAACAAGTGTTGATTTGGTGACTTTTCCATTTGGTGTTGATGGATATACTGACGTGTTGTACATATGTCCTTGAACATACTACACGACATAATAGCGGTACATATTTGGGCAGTAGCGAGGCGTTTGTGGGCTTGCTTCTACGAGTGCATGACATTGGGCAGCAGAGTGAGAGAGGCGCCGGCTGGGGACGATGTATATTGGATGCTATCCGCCATAGTGGCCATAAAGTCATCCATCTTGTTAAAACTGCATGAAAACAGAGGTATAGAACCCATCTGATGGTTACTATTACATACGTAAAGGCAATATAGGCAACGTCTGCAATCGAGTGTGGGGTGTTAGCAACAGCTTCGATAATACAATCCAGTACAGTGGCTATCCACTCCCCCGAATACCCTGGTACTACATACATATGGGGGAGAAGCATTCGCGCCTAGAATGCCATCTCACATCACATCATAACATCTCGTATCATGTGTACGGTTCTCATTCGCACATGCCGGGCGAGAGGGGATGGGAGGGAAGGGGGGGGGGCAAGGGGGAAGGGCATGATGTAGGCCATCGTTACTTTCACTTAGTTGGAGGGAGGGAGGGAGAGGATGGTCAAGCTCGCTTTGATTTTGATTGCGATGTGTGTGTGATTGTGTTGCTGCGTGGGATGTGATGCATAGCCAGAGCATGACCATATGTGAGCTATGTACTGTCCGTCCGTCCGTCTGTCCTTCCGACTCTTCCTGTCAGTTCTGCCCTTGCAATCATGTTCATCCATACAACTATCCATCCATCCATCCATCCTGCCTCAGCCCCGTATAGCCAGTAGTCAGTCAGTCTGTCTGTCTGACCGTGGCAAAGTTGTTCCATGTCGTCTGGTTGCCTGTTCCTTCTCGTGTTTCCTTCATTGCTTCCGTCATGCCCTTCATGCCTTCATGCCTTCATGCTGCCCGGTTGAGTGGTGGGTCGTGAGTGATGTGGTGTTTAGATGCTTCAGTCTCGTCGTCTTCGTCTGCGTCTTCGTCTTCGGTGTTGGTCTTTGTCTGCGTCTCCGTTATGGTTTAGTAGATTGGTATCGTTGCGGTGGTGATGTGGTGTCTTGGTGTACATCGAGCGAGTTACTGGATGATGTACTGCGTTGATGAGTGGCTTGATGAATGATTGATTGGCTTGGTTGTTGAGGTGAGGGTGGAGATCATGGATGCCATTGGTTGTTGCTGATGTTGTTGCTGTTCTGATTGCTGCTCGTGGGGTTACGTCTTCTGCTGACGCAGTGGGGGAGGACGCTCGATTGTATCGCTTGTTGGCGTTGGCAATGTCTTTGGTGGTGGATGCGATGCAATGATCCTTGTCAATGGCGCAGCTTGGTGGACGTCGAAGCAGTGTTGTTGGCTTGACTTCGTTCCATGTGATGATCTTGATGTTGCTGACATAGACAAAGCAAGGTCCAGCCTCGCACACAATAGAAGATGGAAGACGACCAGCGTCTCATCCTACGAACCGTCTTCGCTTCTCCCTCTTACCTCTTCCACCTCCTCACAGTCAGCGACACTAGAGGACTTAAGCGCCTCGGTACCACAGGGTACGTAGTCGTCGTGCCTATGTTTCCCGCCTCGCACCAAACTTCCGTGGGACGTGCCAGAGGACTTAAGCGCCTCGGTACCACCAGGGTACATACTCGCAGCACTCTCAGGAGAAGAACGCGAAGGGCATTGGTTCGTCTATCAGTAGAGGTCAGTCAGTGACAAAAGAGATGGGAGAAGATGGGCAGAATTACATACCTTTCTTTCCGGAAAAACGGTCCCAATACCCTTGCGCCTCCCTCCGAGCCCAATCCCTGTTCCCAGCAGGACCGTTGGCGAACCAGTCCTCGATGGGGGTCTCTTGGCTCCTTCCCCTCTTCCCCGCGTACTCGACAACTATCGTCGATGAGAAGACGGATCTCCACATCTCAAGATGCCAGGTGAGATATTCGAGGTTGAGTCTCTCCTCCGGAGGATTGTCCAGGGCAAGAGACCATTCGAGAAAGCTTCGCAGACCAGCTGGAAGCCCCTGAATAGCCCAAGCGACAAGGAGAAGATCCGAGGGGAGAGTCTGGCGGATGGGTAGGGAAGCGAGCCAGTTGACAAACAGGTGGATAGAATGGATGGAGGTGAAGGGATCCATACCTTTGCAAACATTGCGAAAGCCTTTCTGGGAGGAGGCACATTGGAGGAAGGTAAGTGCAGTCAGCGCCAGGCTGATCTGCGAGGGAGAAGACGAAGGGGCAGAAGGAGTGGGGGCGGATGAGATGTTGGCGACCTGCGCCAGGGGAGACGGACGAGAAGGGCGGTGCATCATGGGGATCATGGGGTTGGGGTATGGTGCCATCTCGTGTTGTGATTAAGAAGTTTGGAGTTTGAAGACGAAGGAGACGATGTAGACGGTGTAGACTGAAGCTTGTGATGTGGATACGAGAAGAAGAATTTCTGCCAGGAAGTGTGAGAAGGGAGTATAAGTACTTTGTGGCGCTAGAAGGAGCTGTTGCAGGACGTGCTGAATAGCCATTGTGCTGGGCTATTGACGAGGCATCGGAAGGTGTTATGCAAACACCACAGTGAATTGTTCCATTCACGCTATTGACAAGCGCCATTGTTGGTCAGAATAGCGAAATAGCTGAACGGGGTAATTGGTGAGATGAAATGGGAGGACAATACACAATCTGGTAAGGAGAATACCCGCCTCATTCAGAGCAGGCTGACCATTCAGAGCAGGCTGACCATTCAGAGCAGGCTGACCAGTCAGAGCAGAACAAGCAGGTAATAGCAGCACCGTGCTTGAGCGCAGGCCATCAAGCTCCCGGACCTACAACAGACATGCCAGCACGTGCATGGCGGTTAACCACAGCGTTGGCCTAAGGATGGTGCTTGTAATCTTCGATGGTAGACCTCGACACAGAATACTCTCGGAAGAGGTCATGTTGGAAGTATAGCTCTTGTCTTTATTTTCGCTATGACCAGGATGGGCCCGGCGAGACTGACTCACTCCATTATCTCCTTTCGCATCAAAAACTGCAGAGCTCGTTCATATGTCCACATGGTCACAGCACTTGCAGGAGCTGCCTTCACCAAACTAACCGTTAAACCCCTGTACATCCCCCGAAATCCTTCCTTCTCCATAACCGTTTGCAGAGTATGAAACACGCCTCTGTACTCTGGAATGTTGCGATGGATGTATCGTGTCCTAGTAGGACCCTGAACCTGCAGTCTCTTCCTTGCCAGATCAAGTGGGAAGACGCCCGTCTTCGAGAGTGTACTTGCTAGGATCCCGGCTGTAGCGTCTCCAGATCCGAGTGGAAGCTCGAGAGAGCCCAGCAACAGCCTTAATGATTCATAGCTTGCAAAGAAAAGGCCCATGTAAGGTACGATTTGCCCAACGGAAGCACCCAAGCCTTGGAAGAAGCCTCGTGGACCTTCATGACGGGCAATATCTCTGATGGAGGCGAGGAGGGATGTGTAGACCTTCTCGTTGCCTTGAGCAGCAAACCTCGTCCTAAGCAAGTCCAAAGGATATGTGGCGGCTGTTGCTACTGCGCCTGCGGAAGCACCGCTTATGAAAGACTCTACGGAAGGAGGTAGTCGACGTGGTAATCCTGACTGGAGCTGAGTGACACTGCGATAGGTAGTGAATTGGAGACCTCCATAGCAAACATAGAGAAGTTCTGCCGGAATGTTGCCCTTCCACAGCCCCGTTATGCCTTCTTGCCGCAAAATAGCTTTCAGTGTTGAAAGAGTACCCTTGTATATCGGACCATTGGTGCCTTTGTGTGCAAGCGGATCAAATAAAGAATGGGTTTGAAGCTGGAGGCGTATCTTGACCACGTCGAGAGGTGCAATGCAGAACCGTGAGACCAGGCCAGCGATGCCACCAGCAAGGATGACCTGTTTCTTGCTGCCCTGTACCAATATCAGCAGACGTGTCCTCGGCTTGGGATCTCTGTCTACTTCATCTTTGAGGTGCTCTGCACCTTTCGACATGCATCAGACTGAGGCGCCTGCTTATGCTATTGCAGCCTCTCCCCTGTGAAGGTAGCAGTGAGGGTGAGAGCTGTCCGTCTGTGTAATCATAATTCCGGTGTCTGGGCACAGATGTGAACACCCTTACCCCGGTCACCCTGGTCACCCCAAAAGCGTTGCTCCACTTGAGGACAAACTTTAGCGGGTTGCGAGAGCTTCTGTGAAATACATGTAGCGTTTGTTATTTATCTGTAACCCTATTTCTGTAGCATAGCATGTTTGAATGTTGAATATTGAAAATATGAGAATATGAGAATATGAGAATATGAAAAGATTGTCATCATGTTCCGCAATCCACGAGAGAATGTGACCTCGAGCCCCAGCAGCTCTGTGCTTCCTTCCCTCGGTCGACCTCCCACTCCGCTGCATGATACATCAATCATCCGGAATTCTTCACCATACTTCGGTCCAACAGCAACTCCTACGCCCCACTTAGCTGGTATGAAAGCTCATCTGGTTGCGCACAGCTCTACTTTGAGAACCCCGGCAAGCAACAAGAAGCCAAACTTCGCCACCAGCAGTTCAAGGACAAGATCTCAGCCCAATCAAACCATCCTGAATTTCTTTGCAAGATCAGACAGAGCCAAGGTTGTGTCGAGCGATGGTGGCGACGATCAAGAACTGTTCTTTCAGGACGCAGTTACGCACGACTCTAATGGCACCGAAAACGACCGCTCGAATTCCCCTTCACTAGTACGGGAGCCCGACCACCTTTTGGCAGCCAAAGGGGATGGAACAAGGTACAATGAGGATTCGAGCTCCGTCAAGAGGAGGCGTATCGGCTCACCAGAGACTACTCGAACGGACAGCAATTTTCAGCCGCTACAAAATGTAGATCAGCCCAAGAAGGCGTGCAGCATTAATGATACGGAGGTATCTAGTGATGCATTGACAAAGTCGCCTCCAAAGCGCAAACATTCTCGACTACAACGCGGTCCTTTCATTGAAGAGTCCGAAAGCGAAGAGGAGCAGGAGGAAGTCTCAGCCGTGGACGATTGGGACAAGCGCAATAACTATCCAAATGTGTACACCGAGGGATCAATTCCGTACTCTGAGAACGTTACAGACGGCTACCAGGGCGGCCAGAGAACTCCTGACAAGCAACCAGCCATCCCCGCGGTTGACAGAAATATATCGCAGCATCTGCCGAGTAACCATCTCGACCAACTCGATGGTGCTGTGTCTCCAGATGTCAACAGGCCTTCTTTGACTCGCGAGTCCACAAGTATCATGCCAATGGATGAATTTGAGGACATGGAGGACTTTGATGACGAATTCTTTGAGGAAGGCGAAGAGTTCATGGAGAGGCGATACCTGGAAGAACAGGCGCTCTTCGAAGAAGAGTTAGATGAAGATTCTAAGTCAGAGAGCGCCGAGGATGGTCCCAGCACTCCAGAACAGCTCGCCGAGCAGGACATCGCTTGTGAAAATGCAGCAACCTGTCCGATCTGCAATCAAAGCATGAAGGGCACTACTGAGGCTGAAGCATCTGCACACGTCAATGGCTGTTTGGACGGCACACCTACTCCTCTTCCAGCTAGCACAACGAAGCCGAAGCAGCATGATAGTGCAGGCGATCGCCCTGTCGCCATTGTGGGCGCCAAGCGATATCAACGTGCTGCCATTGCTAGGCCTGGCCAAGAGAACCCATTCTCGCTCTCCAAAGATGGCTCATCCGGTTCAGCTTTTTCTAAACTCATGTCAGGTCATGCCGAAGACGCTGCCTGGGCGGCGGCCGCAGCAAATGAAGTTCAGTCCCGTGGCAAACCTGCTTATCAACGAACCTGCCCCTTCTACAAAATCATGCCTGGTCTGTACATCTGCGTTGATGCCTTCAGGTATGGAAAGGTCGAAGGTCAAAGTGCCTACTTCCTTAGCCACTTTCACAGTGATCACTACATTGGGTTGACATCCTCGTGGTGTCACGGACCAATCTATTGCAGCAAGGTCACCGCCAATCTCGTACGACAGCAATTGAAGGTAGATCGAAAATGGGTCGTGGATTTGGAGTTTGAAAAGAAGGTCGAAATTCCTGGTACACAGGGAGTCTTCGTGACGATGATACCCGCCAATCATTGCCCTGGCTCATCATTGTATCTTTTCGAGAAAGTCGTTCGAAAAGGCCCAAACCCGAAGACCAACCGCATATTGCACTGTGGCGACTTTCGAGCATGTCCAGCTCACGTTAATCATCCACTTCTACGTCCAGATGTGCTGGACTCTATCTCAGGCAAGACGAAGCAGCAAATGATTGACACGTGTTACCTTGACACCACGTACCTAACACCAAAATATGCCTTTCCCAGTCAAGAAGATGTCATCAATTCCTGCGCCGAGATGTGCGTATCCCTCAGCAAAGAAATACCAGACACCAACGACAATTGGGAACGTGCGAAGCTAGAGCGAGCAGGCAGCGGCATGGCCAAGTTTCTCGAGAAGGGCAACGACGAAGACAATTCTGTCGTCAAGAGAGAAGACAACTACGTTTTCAAGGAAGAGGGAGACCACTCAGATATGAAGCCGTCCGGCCGCGGCCGCCTCCTCGTCGTCATTGGCACCTACTCTATTGGCAAAGAACGCATTTGTCTCGGCATCGCCAAAGCCCTCAACTGCAAAATATATGCTCCACCCGCCAAACAGCGCATATGCTCTGCCCTGGAAGACCCAGAACTATGCTCGCGCCTGACCACCAACCCGCTCGAAGCCCAGATTCACATGCAGATGCTGATGGAGATCCGCGCCGAAACCCTTCTTGACTACATCCAAGGCTACAAATCCCACTTCTCCCGCGTCGTCGGCTTTAGGCCTACCGGTTGGAACTACAGACCTCCAAGTAGTCGCTTCACAGAGAATCCGGCCGTCTCTACCGTCCTGCACAGTGAAGGCTGGAAGAGCAGATTTACCATGAAGGATCTGATTCCTCAACGTGGCTCGACGAGGGAGTCTAACTGTTTCGGCGTGCCGTATTCGGAGCATTCGAGTTTTAGAGAGTTGACCATGTTTTGTTGTGCGCTCAGGATTGGTAGGGTGATTCCGACGGTGAATGTGGGCAGTGCGAAGAGTAGGGAGAAGATGAAGATGTGGATTGAGAAGTGGGAGGCGGAGAAGAAGAAGAGTGGGTTGTTCAGGGTGGAGGAGGGCGCTACGATTTGGTGAGACGGTTCTTGGATCCATGTCGTTGGATGAAGGAAGAGTCTTTTTTTCTGGCGCTGGCCAAACAAGCTGTGACTCAGATTCCGCTATGGGTGGACTGTGGCCCCTGTTGGTTTGAGGGCCAGCGATCGTGTGTATGGATAGTGGTCATTGCCATAACACCAAACTGAATGGCTTTCAAGACGAAAGGCTTGAGGCATACAGAAGATTTTCCATTCCATACAGCCACTGATAGCGTCATAAACCATTTGGGTAAGCTCATGACCACATGTCGTCATGATCACGGTCCTAAACTTAAAGAGCATACTTCAGCGAGGTAGATGGTTTCAATTCCACCCTACCTATCTCCGACCCTTTCTTGCCCCGATTCTACAAAATGTCACCTTGAGTCGTGCAAGGAGATACAGCCTCCACACCCTTCGCTGCTGAGCAACTGCTCACTTCCCTCCACCCAGTCCCTCAGCAAATGCCCATTAAAAGTACGCAGTCGAGCAGCCTGAAACCATTTCTCGTCGATCCTTTCCTGCGTACGAGGCTTGCCCACCAGATGGTCGTCCAGCTACTGTGTAATGCCTTCATCTCCCCTTCCCAGCCTGATTCGCAGCTTCTATCGCACACAAACACACACAGTTCGTCAGCCTCAAGGCCCGCAAACATACGTCAAAGAACAACAAACAAAAAAATACAGCCCCTCCTTCTTTTTTCGTCCACCCCCCCAAGTCCCCATTACCCCAAAAGCAGCAATTCCGAAAGAGAGGGCGGTATCAGACTCACCTCTCCTTGACGCATCCTCCAACAGGCCGCGATCCACCTCGGCGGCAGGCAGATGCACATACCGGACCACGCTGCCCCGGATGAATAGGTTCTTCACGCTGCTCAGATGCGGGTATCTGAGCTCGTCCAGCACGGTGATGTCGTCAAGCTTGATGTTGAGGTACTGGTCGACGGATTTCAGGGTGCCGCGGATGGAGATGTCGTTTTTGAGCTCGACGGTTATGGCTGCCGGATGTTATTGTCTGGAAGGAGTTGTTGGGTAGGAGGGGAGGAGGAGGAGGAGGAAGCGCATACTGTGGTTTGTGAGGGTCTTGAAGAAACTATATTAGAGGGGGGGGTTTCATTAGTTGGTGGCTCTAGAGTATGGCCGCCCCTCGCGATGGGATTACCTGAAGAACAACATAATGGAGGTAAGTTTCGGGGTAGAGGATGACACGGGGAGGGAGTGAAGAGTAATTTCAAGTTCAGATCATTGTTGCATGAGCGCTTCAGAACGCATACAGGTTGTTGTGGGCCCCGTACACTGTTGTGCGTTCGCAACGCACTGCGGGAGGATGATCCTGCCAAGTACGTAGTACTGTGAGATCTGCCCGCGGCTCACTCCCGGTCTGGGCCTAGGGTGATGCCGCTCAAGCTCACCCCCGGGCTCACCCCGATCTCATCCGGACGACGGTGAACTAAAGGTCCAGATAGAGCTCACCTGGCCAGTCATCCGCAGGCAGCAATCTGCGGACCCAGAGTTATCTACAACGACCAACCACTTGTGGTTGGTTTATGCAGCCGATACCATACGAAATTGACCCCGAAATGTCCACTAAAAAAAGGTCACCAAAACACTCTCCATACTAACTACTACGTACTACGTAGTATGTATAGAAAAGGGATACATCAACCACTCCGCCAAAAGGACAGTGCTTGTGGGTTTCGAACCACACTTAATTGATGTACCCCTCACTGACTTGTATCTCTCTTCCTCCACCACACTGTCACGGCCCGTGACATTATGAAAGACGGGAGTACTCAGGTTGCTAATCAGCCGGATCAGCCGGATCAGCCGGCTGTGCCGTCGCTTGATACAGCCACGTCATCACAGCTCTCAGTCAATGAATCAATGGACACAAAAACGGCTTATAAATCACAATCAGACATCCGCGGCCAGACAGCTAGATCGAGAAGCCAAGAAGGGACGGAGAGACTTCCTCGATCAAAGCAAGATGCTGGCTCAGTGGCCAAAAGTGTTGATGGAGCTTGCCAGATCCCAATCTACCCAATCGTCCAATTGTGGGAGCATGCTAATTTTTAGAATCGAAGTTTTGACCACCATTTTCCCAATTTTCTCCATTGCCTGGGCGCTTGGTCTACTTTTCTCCTGATAGCCAGCTGGAAGGGCGTGGCCATATCCAGCAGACCAGATCCCTTCCAGAGGCCTCATCTGTTCCAGTCTGTCCTTGTCCCAAGAAACATAGCCCCACGCTCTGAGGTCCGTAGCGCACTTGTCATGTAGCCAGGGTATGGCTTCATTTAGTGTAATAGTACGAAAACACTATCAACAAGAATTGAGGGCCAGGTCGATCAAGAGCACGGTAATCATGGACGGCAACAATATACGGAGTACGGAGTAGACGAGTGTAGATTGACTTCGGAGGATTTAAAAATGCTTAATTTGTCAGAAAGTTTTGTGTGGAGGAAACAATCCCGATTAGGTATAGTTGTCCCTTTGAGCAAGATTTGGGAGTACCCAGGTACCACAACTATGTTACAGCGAAATCCTCTCAAGGACAACCTCAATGGATGCGTGTATCTTCAACAAGCCAATCACGCTCTGCGCCCGGCTATTGACGGAGCAAAATTCAAGATCCTTCAACCTCAAAACTTGCTCAAACAAGACAAGTACTCCTAGATTTGAAGTCCATGTTCTCTTTCCCCCGAGCAACCCCGAGGTTTGATCATTATAAACCCAGCCATGCCCAACCTTACTACCTTACGATCTTGAAACCTACCCCATCAACTCCTCTATGCTGATGTTTGCCAGACCTTGCGTAAGGCGTTCTTCTACTCTTTATCATTCCTTAAGACCTTCTACTCCTTGCAAACTCTCTTAGCTTCACAATGGAGTTCCATCGATCAACCCTTATCAATCCTCTAAACTGTCTTCCTGCCGAAATTTCACTCAAGATCTTCTTCTACTCGGCAACGTCAGAACCGCAAGCATTGATCAATTTGTTACTGGTCAATCATCAGTTCTATGAGTTCTGCAAGGCTCATGAAGAGACTCTTGTTCGAGGAGTTTGCTATCACACGGGGAATCGGCTGGATTGGTCGTTGGTACTGAAGGACAATCCTACTTTTGGGGCGCTTTTGAATCTAAAAAGGGAGACAACCGTCTTCAAATCGATCGAAATGGAGTTACGCCGGCGAGACTCCGACAAGACAATCCTCACACATGGCATATTTGGCAAAATCCGGAATTCAACCATTGACGGCCACCCTCTTTACCCGGGATTTCTCTTGCTCCACCGTATTGCCAATTTGAGGGAGCAAATAGAAAAGAAGATTCTCATTCATAACCTCCCTTTGGAGTTTTGGGCAATGTCCACGGTTTTCCATGAGTACATTCAACAATTTATCTCCCTTGCAACCAACGAAGTATTGGCAACTCATACATATGGCGATCATGGTAATTCCATAGACGGTTATCTGTGGTCTGAAATAAGGAGTTTCCTTGTCGAACTGAGCTTATTATGTCCGAGAGCGGCAAGAGACTTTCTTTTGCGGCCGGAGACTTCGCGCCATTTCACGGATCCTGCTGAGACCCAGCGCTGGGCTAGAGCCTTCGCAGCTAAGTACACCAATATCACGGAGGCCAACACGATCATTGAGTATCACTTTCAAAGAGCATCTAACAGGTCTTCAGAACGGGTAGAACCAGAGCGGCCTATCTCAGAATGTTTGAGACTAATACCCGATGCCCGATTAGACAATGCTACTATAGACTTTGCTCGACAAGGGTTCTGTCAGCGACATGTCGCGGAAGATGTTCTCCAGTTCAGTGGTCTGATATCGGCGGCTGAGAAGGGTAAGGAGTCATTTACTCTGAAAGTGGAGAGTATACTCGCAAAAAAGCCTCCGATTAGCCTCTGGCACTCAATTAGCTCTGGGCCTAATTGCGAAATGGCTGATATCATGTCTGAATTACTCAATTGAACGATGCGGCTTGTGACTCGCATTTCACTTGAGGAGGAGATGTTCAACGTCCGCTTAATGAACATGTGGTACGACGTCTCGCCAGTATGGATGATACGTGGCCTTTCACATCATATCCAGTCTGTTGTGACCGGTTGGATCTCGGTCCAACTTTGAGACAACTGGAAACAGGCTCAGCAAAGCTTTTCGCCGTGTGCGAACGCGACTGAAACTGCTTCCTGAATCTATCATGACTGCCATTCTCATACTATACTCTCAAATAGCCTCATAGAAACTAACATACGAGAACTGCACGATCTTCGATCTAAAGCTCGTCTCCAATCATAGCGATCAAACATGCATCTTCTTTTGACCTCAGTCTTATTCTCCTAGAGGCAAGATATGGCCCATCTCTGGAAGAAAAAGTCACAGCTCTGTAAAGAATCAGCCTGCTGAAGAAACATTCTCTTTGACGGAATGAGCACACCCTAGAGAACGCAGCTAACTCTCAGAAACTCCACAAGAACGTAAGTGTTGGTGCAACATCTCTTTCTAGAAGCTAACGTAACTTCCACTACAGCCTTCAACGACATTCCGAAATCCATCCCAACATCGATTCTCATCATCAAAACCGTCCTATCTCGCATTTCTCGGTCGCCTGTTTCCACAAAAAGGTGCGCTTACGTGTTCCGCACCTCCGCGTTGGCGGGCAGACAGCTTGGAGTTTGCTGGAAAGATCGAGGACAGTCACATAAGCTTTCCTACCATGAGAAAGTCAAGCCCCGTATCTGAACGGCATGACGTTGTCTATAACCGGCGCAATCGCCGCGCGTCGTCTGGATTAGGGTCCGCCAATTCGACGCCATCTCGACAGGAAATCGATCATAGTTTTCTCCGAATTGTATCCGACATCGAGAGGATTCAGACTGGTATGCAAGGGCTGGTCCTCTCTCCAGGCCTCAGCTGCTGATCTCTTGATCTTGCAAGGCGTTTCGGCGGCGTTTCAGTGGTTGCTAGATACTGGAGGCTTTTCGTGGTCGGTATAGATGATAGTAGAGTAGTATGGCCCATTTGAAGGTACCGCTGTCACATCTGCAGCACATGCTTGATGGCTAACAGTTCTTCTCTTGTGACAGGATAGCTGAGCTCTGAGTCCTGCAGCTTATGCCCACCACAGGCCACTGGGATTCGTCGCTCGTGCTCTGCTTTCTGCATCATTGCAGCGCCCATCATACATTCCCAAGCGTCAGTTTCAACGACGACCAAGTGATCCTCGGCAGAAGAAATCGCGGGATTTCTGAGACTGCTTTATGGTTTGCCATGGTATGGTACTGCGGATATATTGAAGAAGTAGAAATGCGAACAACAGTAGGCTAAATGATATGGGGCAACATTACAGAGAACGTCGACCATTACTAAGGCTCTAATGTCCAGCGCACCCAAAAAAAAGGTGGAAACATCTCATGTTCGAACACATAGTAAAGAAACAAATTCTGTATAATAAAAAAATGACAAAAACCTCGAATCTCCGAACTACCAGCCACATTAATTTGTGGTGATAGGTCATGAGATTCAGGAGAAACCCTCTTAAGAGGATTTTTTGGGTTTGGACGTGTCAATGAGCCTGAGGCCACTGTCAACACCGTTGGTTATCTACGAGTCACACAAATCCGGGTACGATTCCGATTGCGATTTGCTATATAGTGACAGCTTAGACCGGGTGTTAACCAACTACACCATATGGGCTGAGTTGGTAGTGATTGTGAAATAAAAAACAATAAACTATGTTGTGTGTTCTTTGATTTGTGTTTGCGTGGGGGATCACAGGTACTATCTCGTTACAAGGATTATATGGAACTAGGGTACTTGGCTTGTGTGTGATAATACTATATTCGTAGTTATGAAGACGCTATTTTTTGATAGCGATTTCTGTAAAATTCAATTGATTATCCTAATTGTGATATTGTCTCCTATATGAAAAAATAATTGGAACATTTACTTCTTCTGCACAGGTGTCTGACTGGATGATCTATGAGGATAATCTAGTGAAAGCTATCATGAAGGGTTTTATGTAACAAGGGCTATCACCAGCTCGCCAGCAAGCAATGTAGTAGAGGCTCGGCGATGACAACATAATTAATGAGACTTTAGGCCTCGGGCTCTCGAGGCTGTATCACTGCTCTTGAGTCCTATGTCGCATCTTTCGAAATGTTTCCAGCTCGTGGAAGTGCTTCAACATCGGGGTTGATAACTCATTCAAAGCGCCTTTTAAATCAAGAGGAGTGACATGGTACAGGGTCTCCTTCGTGATGCTCTAACCCTCCGCCGCATATCCTTCATGACCGTGGTGCTCTCCGTTGATTCGGTGATACGTGTAATCCGTCGATGTATCTCACTCGCTGCTCCGTGAACTATTTCCCATGTTACTTACATGAGCTAACAGGAACTTGCAGCAAGTCAATGCATATTTGCAGGCCTTGGTCCAGCTCTCATCTTGCTGGAAGCCAGCACCTAATTTGATACTAACAGCATTGTTGCCCTCACCAATCTTGTCGCCATGAATCGGATATGGTAGAACTCGTGAGATTCTTGTTGGTGTTCGAGGGGATGAATTGCCTGAAGAAGGTGGATTTGGCAGCCGCTCAATGTATGCACCCAGCTGAGCAAGACAGTCCAGAAAGGCAACCATCCCACCATCGAAGCGACGGTGGAAGAATACACGGCCTAGTGGCATGTCGCCACTAGAAAAGAGATCTAGTTGAGTGATTTTGGGAGTCACATTGGTGGACATTTGACCAGCGTGATGTGAGCCTTGGGCAGAGCCATCGGGAGACTGTTGAGGCCATTCGACCTTTTCTATTCGTGAGGTACTGCCCATTGGTCTTAGACGATATCCTTGAAAGGTGTAGCCAAGCCGTTCAGCCACTGTAGTCAACAACAGCACAGTTTGACCCCATGCAGCATTGATCTCAGACCATTCTACATTCTGGTTTGGAAGTCGACCCAGGCGCAGCCCATTTATAGTGCCAAAATAGCCATCGTGGCCTATGCAGAACGTATCATTGTATACGTTTGTCCTCTGCAAAGCCTGAAGCTGTAGCTGGTCGTGCTGGTGCTTCTGTTGCAACGAGTTCAACGTCGCAGTCAACTCATGCATTTCATCATCAAAGGCATTTCGCTCTGCCCAGAAGTTCTGTTCTTCGAGCTCCAAAGCTTGGGATTGCTCCTCAAGTTCAGCTATCTCATTTTCAAGTTCTTGTTTTTGAGCCTCCAGATTCTTAAGCTCCTCGAAGACGACCTTCTCTTTATCTAACGTGTCCTTCAACGACTTTTCGGCAGCCGCCACATCCTCAGCTGTCGGTATGGTGGACGACGCTGATTGCAGAGACCTCAAAAACCCAATGTATGCATCACGCTCCTTTGTGCTGGCATTGAGTCGAGCAGTCATTGACGACAGCAGTAATGAAGTGCATTCTGTGCATATTGGATGATCGATATCGGAACGGGCTGACAATATCGAGAAAAGCCGTTGTGACACTTCCATATCATGTGATAATGATCCATCCTGATGGCTCGACTTGGAGTCCTCTGAGTGTGCATTCGGTTGCCCATTGTTGGCAGGTGGTGTACGCTCCGTCGAGTCCAACTGCTGAGGAGGAACTATCTGCGACTCGGTAATCTCAATAAATGACATATCTGGATTTCCCTTAGAGACAGGGTCTCTGCCATCACTTTTGGCGTCGCCATGACGAGGCGCTGGGATTGAACGCTTTGTAACAGGCGATGCAGGCGTAGAAGTTACTTTGTCGTACAGATCTTTTCGTTCCTGAGGATAGGTAAGGCGAGTAGATGTGGAATTGTCGGGCAATGATTTGCCTGTCGACCCCACCAGCAGATCGAAAGCTGCCGGGTTGAGATCCTCGAGTGAACCGTCAAGCTTTAGAGGAGTTCGGCATTTCTGGCAGTACATTCTTCAAGGTCGTAGAAGTATCCGGTTCCATTATGTAAAAAAGTGATGATCGGATGTTGCTTCACAGACGACAAGAAATGCGTCACGCGACAGCAGCCGCCATTACGAGATGACTACCTTGAAATATGTTTACACAATTTTCGCATTTCATTTGAAAGATGTCTATCCTGCAAGCTAGATGATTTCTATACAATCTGTCCGTTATATAACATATTCTATCGCGCACAGACTCGGCGATTGATCTCATCGCCAACTTCTCCTAAGAAACATCTTTAAGACTTACACCCTCGCAAAAGACCGTTGGTATCCTAGCACATTAGATAGATGCGCGAGCCAGACAAAAGAGACGCAGGCTTTCTTGATCGCGTGGAGTGATCATCATGACTGGTCACAGCCGCTTAAACAGTATGCCCCTGCGCAAAGCAACCTGAAGAGTTCCCCATAGGGACCAATGGAGCTCATTGTTACAGGTCCGGGAATGTAAAGCAATGAGTATTTATTCCTGGCCCTGTTTGTCTGAGAGCAAGAACATTCGAGGAAGAGCAGCGGAGGTCGCTGGAAAGGACGATTGAGAAGAAGTATCACCCACTCAGCTCACGGTCTATCTTGAGCTGAAGCACATCTTGCAAGCGAGTACTTGTAGTACCTGCAACGTTGCCAGCTTGGTTCCAGAACTTGGATAGGTGTCGTGCGCCAGAATCGCATAGTACAGTAGCAAGACGATGACCAGGTCCAAGCTTCAAGGCAGTTTGGACGGTAGCGACACCTGTGGATTCGCTTAGCAAAGGCAGGATCGAACATTTCGATACACTCACAGTTCACAGCACTACTGCTTCCAACAAAGATGCCGTCTTTCTCGACCAACCATCTAGCCATTGCCAACGCCTGTGCATCGGTAACCTTGACAGCATCATCGATCAATTCTCTGCCCGCTTCGAAATTCGCTGTTGATCGTGTAAGTCCAATCCCTTCGATAATAGTGTCAACCTGATGCCTTCGTCTTGTCCCTTCTTTTTCATCAGGATGGAACATGACCCCATGTTTGATCTTGTTGAAAAGACCGCTACCCGTCGGATCAGCAAGTACAATGCGTATGTCCGGAAGTTGTGCTTTTAAGAACATTGCAACCCCGGATATGGTTCCTCCTGTACCGGCACCGGCAACGAAAGCATCAAGATTCTTCCCGGATTGCCGAAAGATCTCTGGCCCGGTAGCTTCATAATGTGCCTGCCAATTAGCCTCAGTCTCGAATTGGTCTGCAAAAAAGCCTCTTCCGCGCTTCTTAGGGTCTGCTGTGTGCTCAGCTGCCAGGTTTCGAGCTTGATTAACGAAATGTGCTTGATCAACGATTGGAGCAGGTCGGACTCGATCTACAATTGCTCCTAGTTTAAGAAGCATATCTGATTTCTCTATTGCTTGGTCGGAGGGCATGCAAATGTGCGCGAGATACCCTCTCGCTCTGCATAATGTAGCAAGTGATATTCCTGTTGATCCTACCGTGCCTTCGTAGATCGTGTCCCCCGAATGAGGCACCAATAAACCTGCCGATTCAGCTTTTTGGATGATTGACAATGCAACACGGTCCTTCGGAGATCCACCTGCACCATTAAGAAACTCGGCTTTGGCGAGGATAGTGCATCCAGTAGCCTCTGTAAGCGACTTGATCACGAAAAGTGGTGTATTGCCAATCGTCGACTCAATCCCCTTTTGGTCATCATCTTCCTCCAGACCAAGGCGTCTGCTTGGTAGCTGATGGGGGTTGTTGGAGCTGAAGGTCCTAAAGCGTGCCACTTCACAGATCGCAAGAGCGACCAGAGCACCCGCAGCGAATGCAATGGCGGTACTGAAGCGCTGTTCCACCATTCTGCGCTTCAGCACCTCTCATATCCATTTTTAATGCGACTCCGCTTCAGAAGACATTAGACTCCGACGCATCGCAAGTCCGGTGACGGCTCAGGAACAGCAATGCAGTGATGCAGTAGACGCAGTAGACGCAGTAAATGAAGAGACCTGGTTAAGCAAGCAACAGCAGCTTAACCCAACTAGGACAGCTCCCGAGCTTGGACCTCCGGACCACTTCCCCAGTCGTCACTAACTTAGTACTCGAGTGCAGCTTTTGAACATCACGCAGGACAAAGCACAAGTGCTTAGACATTCCTCCGATGGACTCTCTAGTCGTCTCTCATATTTTCAGGCAACTCTTTGCTACACCTTCGAAGAACTGTCTTTGCGCGTCGTCACACGCCGCATTACGAGCTTCGTTGATCCCACAACAGCGGAGGAGCTATGCACTCCGTCGAAACCAAAATGATGCACAAGGTGGGAGCAATTGGCAGCAGAGAATAGACGCTTTCCCCAAAGATATGTCCAAGCAACTTCGCGAGTATCCAAAAGTCACGTCCTTCGATCTACGCAATAGGCTGCACCGTCCCAAGCGAGTCAAAATGCTTGCACGAGACTTTATTGAAGGTTAGCTGGCCCGCTACTGTGCGATTTGGTGGGCTGATGATGGATAGATAGCTTGTACAATCCCAACTATGGATATTTCTCCAAGCATGCAACAATCTTCAATCCAGGAGAACCTTTCGATTTTCCCACCATCAAGGATGACGCAGAGTTCAACCGACGAGTAAGCCTCAGCTATGCTGAATATGAAGATAAACTTGACGAGGAAGATCCTGATGAGACACGGCAATTGTGGCACACGCCAACAGAACTGTTTAGACCCTATTATGGCGAGGCTATAGCTCGCTATCTTATTACCAACTACCGATTGACTTTATTCCCCTACCACGACTTGATCATATACGAGATGGGTGCTGGCAATGGGACCTTGATGCAGAATGTTCTTGATTACATACGTGATACTGATCCGGAAGTGTATCAAAGGACGAGGTTCAGGATCATTGAGATTTCATCTTCCTTAGCAAAGTTGCAATTGAGAAACCTACGGAAGTCGCCGACCTCCTCAGAACACCTAGACCATGTCGAGATCATCAACAAATCCATTTTTGATTGGAGCGACTATATCCATTCTCCCTGTTTCTTCCTTGCTCTGGAGGTCTTTGACAACTTTGCGCATGATAGCTTACGCTACAATCCGATATCAGAGGAACCGCTGCAGGGCAATGTTTTGATTGATGAGGAGGGAGAATTCTTTGAGTATTATGAAAAGATGCTCGATCCTGTAGCTGCTCGATATTTGCGCATCCGGGAAGCTGCCTCAAGATCCCGTTTCACGACCCCCGTATCTGATTCACGACTCCTCCGACGCCTCAAACTCGCCCTTCCTTTCGCACCTAATCTGACTCGACCCGAATGGATACCGACAAGAATGATGCAGTTCTTTGACATACTACGCGACTATTTTCCCGCTCATCGACTCATTGTAGCGGACTTTGATATTTTGGAAAAGACCACACCAGGCATAAATGCCCCTGTTGTTCAGACAAGATACCAAAGACGGAATGTTCCTGTCACCACTCCCTACGTGCATCAAGGCTATTTTGATATTTTCTTCCCTACAGATTTCCGCATGATGGAAGATATCTACAGAGCTATTACCGGGAAGCTTACGAGGGTACTTAGCCACAAGGACTTTCTTGAGAGATGGGCTCATGTGGAAGACACGCAGACCAAGAGTGGAGAGAATCCTATGCTAAGTTGGTATAAAAATGCTCGTGTGATGACCACGGTTTAAGTCAAACCAAAGGAGCACGGAATCAGACTGAAAGAAATGGACGAGCTCGAAGCATTAGTAAACTAGCTTCACCCCACAATCCCCAGACTTGCCAAAATCAGCAATTCAATGCTCTCCATGCCCTTGTCGCCTCACCTGAATGCAGCCAGTAGGGGCAAAAAGCTGGTCATGGCCAAGAGTACAACAGGGGTCACGATGAGCGCTGTCAAGCTCTGAGGACGTCCTGCGGTCGATGTAACAACACTCCGGGCAGCCACCCTATCTTTGCACCACCACTCGCTCCCATAATAGACTCTGGATTCTGTACACCACAAGATACATGGCGGACCATGAAACTGACACATTCCCCAATAGCAGTCCGGCGGGCCATATTCTGGCCATAGATCCTGTCGTTTAACTAAAGCATCTGTCTTGTTCGAGCCAAAATTACCAGCATGCCATCCCTCAACCGAGAGCAAGTCGGTCATGGTAGCATTATCGCTGGTGGCAAGCGATCTCGGCCCAGGCATTGATGGTCGCACACACTTCTTGTTGGATCGTAGTCCGAAAACAAAGTACACGTTTCGAACGTTCCTCGGACACACCTCCACGCATTCATTTGACGGGAGGGTGCAGACGTTCTTGCTGCATGTTGGGTTGATCATCTCTGCTGTGGCTCTGAGAAAGCAGAAGCCATAGAGGAAGAGGAGGATCAACGTGGCGGTGTGGAAGCGGCTTGGCCTAGCACGTGGCCTTGCTGATGTGTGCTTGGTGGGTAGTGAGGACTGCTTCTCGCAAAGCAAGAACTGCTCCAAGCAGTTCATAGCTGAGGGTTGCAGGTTGTAAACCAAGCGGGGGAAGGAGAATAATTATATTTCGATGAAGGCCGTTAGCGTTCTCAGCAGGAACGAGATCTGAACAGACACTACTCAGACACTGCGCCGAAGCAGGTTAAGACCATGAGAACAGTGTATGGATTCGAAGCGTTTTCAAATTTGTCAGATGTTAGAGAGGTGGATGAAGTAGGTATGAAGGAAAAGAAGAAGTTGGAAAAGAGCATCAAGTAGCAAGCTGAAATACCGAAGACGATGAACGAGCCACGTGCTCTATGAGTGAATGGAAATTACAAGTGTCATCGAATGGGCAGTGACAGGAAGCACGCATCACGAAAACCATCAAATACACCGATCTCGAACTCCGCTTGTTTGTTTGCTCTCTGTTCATTCACCACCCCCTCCTCCTTCTGAGCGGGGAACCTCTAATCAACATCCGCATGCATTGCACACATTACTATACATCTTCGCATATTCATGCTCAAGACGTCAAAGTGAAACCGACAGATTGTGACCTTTGCTCTTTTTTAAGCCCGTCTCCTCATCCTCTTCGCGCATAAACCCCGATGCAATGTCCCTTTCTCCTTTCCAGAAACCAATACATAAGCAACGGCCATCGTCCAATTCCCACGTCCATCAGCTCCTCAGAGAACAGTCCTTGTACTACTGTAGTAGACCCTCACGCCTCCTGGATCCAGAATAACTCCAGTTTCCATAACCCTATACGAAAAACCCACGCCATCTATTTCGCATGGACGTACCAACCTTTCTTTCCCTTCCAATCCCAGGTTTTCTGCCACCGCATGCACCCCTACCCCCCCGAAACACTGGAAGGCCGCTACGAAAACCTCGAGCCAGCAGCAAGATTGAAAAAAAATTAAAAATTATGAAGACTGTAGCAGGTAAATAAAAAGTCGATCACTCGATGGTGGTCCATGAGGCAAATACACAATCCTTCTTTGTTCGCTGACTAGACTACAATATCTGTTGCCTTATCTCATTCCATTGCTTATAGGTAGAAAAGCCAGACCAAAAGTCACCGAGTCAGTACTCCACCCATATAACTGAACCCTGATCGGAGATCCCCATCGAGCACTCTGACTGAGTGATTGAATGGCTTCGTGCAGGGATAGGACCGTATTGTTGAATCATCCATCCCGAACTTGGTGTCAAATCCGACAAGAAGGCCTGACTTCCCATTCGTGATCTGAGGTGGCGTTATATGTGGCGATGTCTGCTTTGCGTTGCTTTGCATTGCTCTGCGCTGCTCCCTTCTACGCGACGCCAAACAGGACATGACGCGCCGGTCTGTCTTACTCAGGTCATGATTTCCCCCCCCTTCTTTTTCTGCGAGTATTCACAACATATGCGGTATGATAGCTCTGGCATCTTTTCAGGCTGGGGGCGCTTTCTTCGTCTTGTTTTGTATGCCTTGCCGCGGCCAGCTCTTCGGCATGGCTGTTATCTCTAGAGAAGCTGCTCCGCCGTTAACAAGGGAGATAGACTGTAATTCCAGGGCAGGCAGTGCGAAGACTGGAGGGGTCATGACAAGGCAAGTTCGAAATTATTGGTGTCTGAGTGCTCAAATCGCTCTGTTCGGCTTCTTTTGTTAATCTTGTTCCTGCGTCTTCTCCTCGGAAAATGGGCTGTGGGGGAAGACGGAGGTTGGATTTATTTGCGGTTCGATTTGAGTATCAGTCCTGCTTGAAATACCAAGTATATAATTTCGGGCATGGGAGGTGAAGGAACGACTAGGGATGTTAATGGTCTTGGTAGTCGAAAAGGATCAGTATCCGCGACCTCTACAAATTAGTGTCGGACCTGTATATATATGGCGCTCTCGCTGCCAGGCAATGAAGAGGCAAAGCTTCGAATAACGTGGTCGGCAGGCTTCTGCTACAACGGCACGAAAAGTCAGAATCATTCGCCGCTTTCTTGCCATTGAGGATGTGAGTTTAGATCTTTGCATATGGGGATAGACAATTACTAGAATACCTTTTTCTTCCTAAACGGGACCCCTGAATTGCTCAAGAAGAAGGGAGTCGCTTTCCGATTTCTGTTGCTGACTGCTTTGTACATCTCTGATGTACAACGTCCTAAGAGGATGGACCGACGTGGTAGTTGATCGAGTCAATGCATAGACGTACGTTTAAATGTAAGCATAGGGGAGGAGTTGAGGTCAGCCAGCGAACCTAACAGTGTATTGTTCAACCCATATGTTGTATTCAAATTTGACGAACCAGGTGTAAAAGCAGACAAGTTAAGATAGACATATTGCAAAAGCTCAAGGGAAAGCAAAAAGCCGAACACGGCTTCTATGTCAAGATGATCATAGTAGCCAGACCCAAAGAACAGCTGATGGTCCAATGGAGGGAATGTCAATGCAGAAGGCTAGGTTTGAAAGACACAATGGTAGCTTGGTCGGATGAGCGCTCCATTGAATATGCACACTCAACTGGTTAAACGTAGCAGGCGCCGACATCGCCAACCGCTACCGAGGCTGCTGGATTCACGATTTCGATGCTAAGCCATTACTTCCGATATTCGCCGGTAGTGGGATCTTGTGCTTGTGAATACGCGTTCCGTCTGTAGGGCTATGATGGCGTGATTATGAGTGCTTCACAAACGGGCTGGTGTAGAGATACAAGAGGACGGTATGGAAAGCTCACTCCCACGGACCACCATCAGTATATCGAGCTGGAAGAATCATGACGAACATCATGGCTGATGTGGAAACGTCGAAACTGCTGGATGACCTCCGAACCTTCATCTCCTCAGATTCATGCGACTTGTCCTTCCTTGATGACCATAGTGCTACCGATCAGGAATTTGGATGTTCCATGAACGATGTACAGCAAAAAGATCACGTACTCAGAGCAACTGCCGAGCCGCTTCCTCAAGTTCCAAATTCCACCAACCATAAGCGCAAGCGAAGTGTTCGCTTCGATGTTCCTTTTGTTGTGCTTCCCACAGCTTCGTCGAGATTTCGAACTCCTGTTGTCGTCTATGATGCCAAAGGTCACAAGCGTGGTGAAACTGCTGTGGATAGCCGAGAAGTCCATCTCATCGACCACGAAAACTGTCGAAATAACCAGAGTAGTCAAGCAGATTTGGCACGGGCTCGCGCCACTTTGGCAATGGCTGCCCGGTATGATTGCAATCATAAGATATGCTTGCAACTGCCGGTCCCCCCAAGGGATATGCAACCATCATTCCTTTATTGGGGGACTCGCCCTACCGGACGGAACAATCTGTGGTAGATGCAGCATCGGAGCTCCTCTTCAGGTGAGTAGAAGAGAAAGCCAGCTGGTGCTCTTGGCCTGAGCCGAGTTGCTGATGTATCCTCGAGGAAATCAAAACCAATCGCAAATGTCCAAAACATAGAAAGGATGAGTTTCGGCAAGAACGAGGCAGACTCCGACGACTCCTATACAACGAAGAAAGCATTGAGATGAATGTACCCTCCGTACCAGACCTCATACAAGACTTCCCTGCAACAGATGAGCAGAAAAACATCTGTGAAAGGCACCTACGCTGTGTCATGATGGGAACGCCGTCATTCCTCGGACCAGTGATCAAATCGTGGTCAAGTGAGCAGAGGGGATATTATGCTAGGCAGCGAGCTCATTTGAAGAATTTCCCCAAGATCTTCTCTGGAGAGCGAATCAAGTGGTAACAGTGGAATCGATATAGGAGGAGAACGGAAGACTGTTTCTAACAGAGTCTGGCAAGTTTGGAGACGATGTGAGAATTGGATTACTTGTTGCATACTGTTGAGGATTTGGTGAGACTAGCGAAAGTCCCACACATTAATGACTAGCAGTATAGACTCTGCTTGTGCTCTTAGCAATAAAAGAATCTCCATGATGCAGGTCCCGCTTGATCACTAGTTAGAGATTTCGAGCGCCCTCTGAGGGGTCGTATACTGGTAATCCCTTTGCAGAGATTACATGTACTACATTCTGTGTTGTTTGTGATGGAACTAAGCCCACGCTTGTCCAATTGTGGCTAGCATGCATGGGTCAGACCACTACGGGGGGCCTGAAGTAGTGTTAGCTCAGCGCTAGTATGTATACCTGTAAATCCTCTCTGTAACAAAAAAACAGCTATACCTAAAAAAGGTTACTACGGGCCTGAAGTATTGTTAGCTCGGCGCTAGTATCTTTGTTGTGAATCCTCTCTGTACAGAGCCGCTATGCTCAAAAGAAGCTAGCTGTAATGATTTGACTCGTCAGAATGGATCTACACAGAACAAGCTTTAGATTGACGAATCATAACACTATGCCTCTGTGATAAGAACTAGCTGCTCCTAGCTCCAGACTAACAATACTTTAGGCCCCTCCCGTAGTAGATGTAATGATTTGACTCGTCAGAATGGATCTACACAGAACAAGCTTTAGATTGACGAATCATAACACTATGCCTCTGTGATAAGAACTAGCTGCTCCTAGCTCCAGACTAACAATACTTTAGGCCCCTCCCGTAGTAGATGTAATGATTTGACTCATTAGAATGGGATGCACACAGAACAAAGCTTTGCAGTGACGAATTATAACACTGTGTCTGCGTGATGAGAACTAGTTGCCACTAGCACCAGACTAACATTACTTCAGGCCTCCCGTAGTAATAGCAGAACATGGTACTATACGTAGTAGTACCGGCACCACTGACGCCACTGACGCCATCGCTTGCTCTCCCTGTTACAGATCCGTCGATCACTGATCACCTGCTGGAAGAACGAGGAATGCTGTCATACTGCTCTTAGCAGAGAGAAAGATGTACGTAGTATTAAGTAAATTGAGGAGTTTGAAAAAAACACCCAAAAACACAAATATCGACGGCGTCTTCAGTCTTATTTCAATCTAATTATGTTTGGCTTCTTAGCAGATTCAACAGATAATGATTGGTGGTGCCTCCCAAGCACAAAACCTCTTCAAGGTCCAAGGGATCAAACGATTGACAAGTGGGTATCGTAAAAAGTAGAGCCTTTCATAACGGGAAACGCTTATCCGGCTCCCTCTGCTTGATGAATTCAAGTTCTTTCGAGACTCTTCTCTCCACAATCCAGTATCCCCATTCCAGCGCCATGCCGCATGAAAGCGTAAATAGATCGTGACTCGATGTTCGGGTATCAATCGCTTTGGCGAGAGAGGGTACGGAAACAATGCCCGTCTATCATATAATATACAGTGATACTTCAGGAGCGTTTAAAGGACTCTCCAAGAGCAATATTGTACAGGCGCATAACCAACATATGCAAAATACAAACAAAAGTGCTCAGCGTGAAAATGCAGCAAACAACTTGATCAATCTTCATCATCGGAGTGGCTCGAGACAGTTTCACCCTTGTGGACCTTCTTGTGGCGGCGCAGGTTGGAAACCACGGAAAAGTGTCGACCACAGCCTTCGACGGAACATGCAAATGGCTTTTCACCCGTGTGACTGTACATATGTGTTTGAAGTGAGCTAGGCCGTGTAAATCGCTTGTCGCAAACCTTGCACTTGTGTTTCTTCTGCGTGTTGGACGACATCTTGGATGAGAACTGGCTCATCATGGACTGTGGAGCCGGCGGGCCTAGATTGGCACCCATCAGTTGACTTGGCCGTGGCAGGGTACGTGATGAAGGCATGGAGTCATAACCAGCATCCGAGGCGGCAGAGCTGTATTCTGTTCCTGAGTCGGCGGACGCAACGGAAGCGCTATAGTAATGATAGGAGTCACGGTGTGATGGAGCCGATATGGAAGACGAGAGTGAATGAGACGACGGAAACCCATATCCCTCGGAGTTACGGGAGTGTCGGGCTTCATATAGATTTCGCGGTGTCAAGTCGGTGAGGTTCTGATGGCTTAGGGCTAACATCCCGCGAGACGCGTCGAGTTCGCCAAAGCTGGGGGGTTCCGTACGACCGCTATGTTCGTTCCTATAACAATCGGATCAGTAAAGCCTCTTTTATATCACGTGACATACGTACGGATCAGACATTTTTCGAACATCCTGCTGTTGTTGTTGTTGCTGCTGAAGTGATTGTGCGTAATTGAGTGTTGGGTACGAAGATTGACTGAAAGAGTTGTTGCTTTGAGGCGAAGCTTGATATGCCTGATCTGAAGGGTAGGTTGGGCGTTGAATATCTTGCGACAGACTCAGTAACTCCGAACCTCCAAACCCGGCATTTGTGTAACTGCTACCTGAGACCATTGCGGGCGCCGACACCGGGTTCTGAGAAAATGACATGGGCATGGTCCGCGAGACCTCCTGCTTTGGCATGGAAGTTGCGTAAGCAGGTGCGTGTGATTGAGCGGTTGAGTGCGCCCCCCACGGATCGGTGAATTGTGGTGATGTATGAAGTTGGCTCGAATACATGTTGTCCGGATAGCCAATGTTGCCGTAGTGACGGCTCTGATTGTCAATAACCATAGTCATTGAGAACAGGTCAAGGCGCTGCCTTGGAACAACACAGGCAATATAGCAACGGTGAGGGTGCTGCCACGAGTTGTTGATGATTGATGCGCGGTGTGTTGATCACTGAATATAAGGGATGTCCAAGACAGTGTTGATCAAGCCCGAAACTTGAAGGATCGGCGGTTCCTTCGGTTTCAATGCTGGTTTTCCAGGTTCACCAATCAACAATGAACCGATCAATCTTACTGATCACCGCTGATGTGCCTTGGAGACGGAACAGCACCGTTTCTTTAGGGTAACTTCGTCTGTCTGTAAAATGATTGACACGAATGTCAGACTTCAGGTCGTTCAAATCTAAAGGCGGTTGTAAATGATCGACATCAACCAAGGTGGAGATTGGTTTCAAGGTATGGAGATATCAGACAATGGATCCTGCGATAACAGTATTATATTTGGGAATCAATTGCAAGTTTGGGATTTGGTATGTGGCATGGGAAGAAATGGATGATCAACAATTGCGGGGGAATGTATCCATACATAAGCTACCCAAGGCTATCAGAGGTCGAGGTATGATGCCGGAGAAGTTGGGAAAGGTTTTTGGACGGTTCGGACCCTTGGTGGCATGAACAAATCTGCCAGAATCTCGGTGGCTGCAGGATGCTAGGGTTGGTGTGTTGGAATGGTGCCTGTAGGTAATTAAAGGTGGGCCGGGTGTGGAGGGCAGCGGTTGGATGAAATGAGGGCAGCCCTTCCATCACGATTGCGGAGACGCGAAGGCATGAGATTGGCCGAGAAAGAAGAGCTGTCCAATAACAGGAGTCTTAGCTAAGTTTTGCAGCTCAGCGATAGAATTTGGGGGCTTGGTTCGCTTGATGTTTTTGCACTGGGAGACGCAGAACTCCCAGAGTCTGGCAGGCACCATTGCCATTGGAGTGGGTGCTCGCAATTTAGTGGACGCTTAGACGATTAATTAGAACCACGCTATTTCCCACCCCTTTCAATGTTTGGCTTTCTCAGGGTCCTCCTACGTAGTGACTAGCATGCCGTGGCCGCAAAAGCTACGTCAGAATACGCCACATAATCAAAAAACAGTCTAGCGAGTCCGCTGGCTTCCAAACTATGCCGCATTTGCTACCCTCCACTAGCAGGCGGCCTCTTCCTGACACCAAGGCTCAGCTTCATGCCCCAAAGTCGGTTCGGTCATTTTACCCAATGGATAATTCCCGCCAACCCTGCATTAGCCAATCCGCAAGCACCGATTTCTGGGACCCTGCTGACATTAAAATGTAGGTAGTAGTTGAGGACAAAATCATGCCTGCCAGCAAGTCCCGTATACTGTTTTTATCTTGTGCTTCGTAGTACGCTCGTGGACAACTCTCGGGATGAGGAGCGTAGCCCGAAGTGGAAGGCTTGGATTTACAAGAATGTTTTGGTAGCATGTACGAAGGTTCTATTCATGCCACAACAAGCTTCAGCATGGTAGCCTCTGTTGTCAAAGTGAAAATGCGGTTGGATGACGCAGCGCTGCTTCGGTACATGAGAAATTTGAGATCCAGAGCAAGTTATCTCCTCTTCATGTCTCATCCTCGTATCTTGCTCAGAAATCCATAGTATAGACGGAACCCATTTCGGGCCGGATGCGAGGAATTCCGAGGACTTAAATTACACGAGTCGGTGGGGAGGGAGACGGTTCCGTGCCCTCAGCATCGAGTTCTTTGTATCGACACTCTCTTTAGTCCTCACAACCGAGAACTTCGAGTAGATGCATGTGTACTTGTAGTACAACAAATTGGCTACAAAATGTTTCAGGGTAGCGCATGTCTCACATCGTAGAAAACATTGGAATGGTGGTGGCCACGAAATCATGCCTCATCCAAGCTCGTTGAATGAAAATGAAGGAGGAAAGACTGCACTAAGACATAGGTCCTGCAGATTTCAGTGGGGCACTAACTCTGCCAAGGATGCGCTTCGGCTGCCGGCCTTGCTCCTACGGGTGGCACTGGGAAGGGCTAGCTGAACCCCTTCCATATCTCCACTTTTCTCCAGCCAGGGGGGAAGGACCTTGTGATGATCGACGTCATACAGCAGAATCGCGGTGAACACTGAACAGAACGAGGAGAGAGGAGATACATGTCAGCCAGGGAGATGGTACCACGCATCACATGGCACAATAACACACCGCGATGGATAGACGCTTGCTATGCTGGCTGCTTTCCACTTATGTCAGCCTCATCAATCTTGCTGTGGTACGTATGAAGTAGTAGGCGCACTGAAATGCTGACTGAACGTGGCTCATTGAGTGGTTGTTATACTTCCGAGATTGCCTTTCTCTAAAAGACACGGGCACTTGCTCTAGGACGCATTCTGCCTAGCCTTCCCGCCATATTTTAACCCCCACTCCCCTCCCGATTGTGGCCGATGCAATGTCAAGCCAAGACAACAGTGGCGTGCATTTGGACCGCTAAGGAATGACAGGAGATTTGCTTAGACCAGTCGTAAAATGACTCGAGGCCGCCTTTGACGCATTTCCTTCGACATCCGGTGGCTTGCCCGAGCGCCACAAGCGTGATGGCTGTTTTCACTATCTTCCCTGTTGTTGGTGGCACCGGAACCAAGTGGTGAGAACTTTACTACCTATAGATAATCATTGATTCATTCGTATGCCAAGATGGAACGTACTACTAAGGATTACGCATGCTAGTAGGCCTCCAGCAAATGACATTTTGAGGGGCAGAGCTGAAGGAATCCTAGTAGGGCAACCGCAAGCTGTTTTTGGTCCTGGGTCAGGGCAAAAAGACCCTGTAGATCATGGCTACGCAAAGGCTGTGCAGTGCACAAAGTCAGCCAGAAGAACAATGGACAAGAATAGTTCAGGCGCGACCTGATTTGCGTGTTATTGTGCGTATGAAGGGGGTTTCCAATGGTTTCAGATGCTGCTGGACAGATCCTGACACAAGTACCATTGATGTTGCGGGACCTCGTAGGGCGACGTTTGAAATGAGTTCTTAGTAATGGGCGATCTTTCTGACTCAGGAACACATACGTAGTATAGTACTTGCACAACAATTTGGTTCGAGACGAGATCATTTGGTAAGCTTGTACCTGGTACAACACGCAGTGTCCTTCTGGAAAATGGCTCACAAGAGGACGATGCAAATGTTTTATCCGATGCTAGACCTGGATGAAAATCCTCGTGACATGTGAATAAGAGACACTATAAGTGCCCCTGTCAACGGATGCGGTCGAGTCGTTTCCGATTCATGGCAAGTTGATCGTCGACTTGATCGCTCTGAAAAGCGCATGTCAGCGTCCATTTTCGTTATATTTCTCGTAGCCACACAAACCTTCTTTCCCAGCCCCTCCAGTAATCTGTTTTGTTGCTCGATTTCTTGACCTTGAGCTTTCGCCAGCAAGTTCAATCGCCCAGTGACCTGGCTGATTTCGTCCAGATTGTTTTCAATCTCGTCCTCCATCATTTCATCTTCACTGTCAGCCTCAAATTGATACTTAGCCCGCTCGGCTAGGCTTGGTTTGCTCTTCGGACCCGCAGCGCCAGCTGCCCCAATACCTTTGAAGTTCTGGTTCATCCTCTGGCCACTTTCGAAGGCTGCCTGTCGAGTGGCCTCTCTTTGCTCTCGCTCCGTTCTGTGCTTGTCAAGGATTTCCTGATCTCGTCGTTCACGACCTCCTTTCGTGAAAGGGTTGTCGGCATGAAAGGCGAACATGCTTCTGTTAGCAATCTTCAGCTCTTTTGCCTTCTCCTCGGCAATTCGTTGATGATTGCCGGCGAGGTCCAGATTCCTATCAGTGTTGTGTAGACGCTCACCTTGAGCACCAAGACGTGCTAGTGTGTTTCGGCCAGTCTCTTCAGCTTGTGCGGCTACCTGGAGTGCATTACGTGTTGAGGACACATCTTGTTGCTTCAAGAACCTGATCTCCTGTTTGGTTGCTGCGATATCTTCCTCTTCCTCTTCTTCAGCCGTCAGCTGCCGATCTCCATAAGCCCCGTAACTTCTGTCTTGACCTCCGGCTGGTCCCACATCACTACCGTAGGGAGGAGGCTCTCCATAACCATTGGGTCCTCTTTGCTGCACCCGCTCTCGAGCATCTCCGAACAACGCGTCCCGGTTGGCATCAGTGGAAGTAGTATCACCACTGTCTGTACGTCCTAGGCCCCCATATCCACCAGCTCCATATCTGGAACTGGCCGCAGCAGGCTCTCCACCATTGTAGGCAGCGCTGCCAAACTTGTCTTGGCCATAACCACCTGCATTACCAAATTTTTCATCCCCGTATCCTCCACCAGTGCCATAACCTCCTGATGGGGTCCGAAATTTCTTGTCGTCTGCGTAGTCGCCTTGAGAAGTATTTGGCAGCGTTCCGCCACCATACCCTTTCCTTACTGAGGGTCCACTGGGCAGGCCTCCGTGGGCACCAGGAGGGGGTCGAGGCCCTCCGCTTTTTTGTGCTGGAGGAATAATACCAGCATTCATCTTGGCTTGCGTATATGGATCAGGCGGAGCAGTCGGTTGGGCATAAGGATTGTTCGTAGGAGGGGCCGGAGATTTATTCTTTGATCGTGATCCGAAAAGAGCGCGCCGGCCTGAATCTTCGTCACCCTCGCTTTTCTTTCCGAGACCAAACTTCTTCATAGTGGCTGTTGGGTTAATATATGACTGAGGAAGAGGAGAGGGATTTGAATGAAAATATCTCGAGAGGAAATACGTGGGGGGGAGTAAATTTAAAGAGAATTCCCAAGTTGTAGTTTGGTGACTGCGGCCACTTCTGCGGCGTAAGCTGTCTCAGGGGACTTGGAGCTAAGGATGGCAGCACTGGACTACGCCAAGGCTACCTCACAGTAGAACCTCATTCAATTGTAAAGCATTCAAGGTAAAGTACTGCGACCAGAATTGGAGGACTGTACCACCCTTGTGGAAGGGGGATTCTTTTCAATGGCGGTGCTAGCAGCCTCGGAAGCTGATCATCTGCGCACGAAGGCACGAAAGGATCTGCTCAATCTCCTCGAAGGCGTGCGTAAGGCGAAGACCACCCCCAATTCCTCTATCATATTTTGAACGTCTTCTAGGTTAGAGGTAGGAAGAACCTGGTTATTAGCAAATCTTTAACCGGTCCTATCAACCTCTTCGTCAACTTTTCAACTCTCAAGGAGTATGGCGTGGATAAGCTCTTTGTCTTGGAAAACGGCAACACCGACTCCTCCCAGCGAAATATTGCCTACTTAGTCCATGGCGAGGAACCGTCTCAGGTGCAAGCTACTGCAGGTACGACATAGTTCATACTCGGAGTCGGTGAGCGCTGTTGCTTCTATCACTCTATCTTATGTTATCAGTACAGATCATCAAAGTGCACATCGTCACTTGTCCTTCTCCTGGTGTCCTGCAACAGCCCTCTCTGCATTGCATATTCCACCATTTGTTTTTTCCTATCTGAAACTTCTCTCCGGCCGCTTGCTGCTTCCGTGCTCACTAAGCCTTCGTAACATAGAACAAGTCAAGAAGCTACTAAAGAATGGATCTGTTGAGCATGAGATCTCCATATTTTGGGTTCCAAGACGAACGTTGGTATCCAACAAAATCCTGGAAGATGAGGGCGTGTTAGGTGATGTGAATGTCTCAGAATTCCCGATGTATTTCTTGCCTCTGGAGGATGATGTCCTGTCTCTGGAACTCGAAGATGCCTTCATGGAACTGTACTTGGTGAGTTTGAACGGTGACAGTTACCTCAGTTAGTCTTACATTTACTAGAAAGGGAATCCTACTTCAATTTTTCTGGCATCAAAAGCTTTGATGCTCATACAACAGCGCCATGGATTCTTTCCACGAATACTTGGCAAGGGCGACAACGCTCGCAGACTCGCCAACCTTCTAGTTCGAGGAAGGAAAGAGCTGGATGTGGAGGATGGTTCAAGCTACGGTGGCGGTGCCAGAGCTACACTTCCAAGTGCTACGCTGGACAGCCTCATAATCATGGATCGGGACGTGGATTTCGCCACACTCTTCTTGACCCAACTGACCTACGAAGGTCTTATCGAGGAGACTGTTGGCATCCAGCAGAATCAAGCTGAAGTGGACTCATCCGTCACTGGCACTGCTTCACAGAATTCGACACAACCACCTCAGGGCTCGGCATCAACCAATACTTCACCACCTTCCACGACACGGCAAAACCTCAAAACAAAGATCAAACTCGATTCGAGCGATTCACTCTACTCACAACTTCGCTTCTCGAATTTTGCTATCGTGGGATCGCTTCTGAATAAAGTAGCCCGCCGGCTTGAATCAGACTATGAAGTCCGTCATTCGGCTCGTACCACCACTGAGCTAGGCGACTTCGTCAGAAAGTTACCTGTCTACCAGCAGGAACATCAATCTCTCCGTATCCACACCAACCTTGCCGAAGAGATCGTGAAACAGACTCGCAGCGAAATCTTTAACCGCGTCCTCGAAGTCCAGCAAAATATCGCAGCCGGCACAGACGCCACCTACCAGCACGACACTGTCGAAGAGCTCATCGCCCGTGATGTCCCCCTTCCCACAATCCTCCGTCTCCTCTGCCTCGAATCCTGTATATCCGGCGGCATCCGTCCCCGTGATCTCGAAAACTTCAAACGACAAATGCTCCAGGCCTACGGCTACCAAAACCTACTCACAGTCGACGCTCTCGAGAAAATGGAACTTCTCCAACCCCGTTCCTCCGCCAACGCATTGCTTCTCCCTATCCCCGGCACTGGCAACACCGGCACCAATGCCGCAGCAAACAACAACACTCCCGGCACAAAGACAAACTACAATTACCTCCGCAAAGTGCTTCGCCTGATCATGGACGAAGTCAAGGAGCAAGACCCCAAAGATGTCGCCTACGTCTACAGCGGCTACGCTCCCCTCTCCATCCGCATCATCCAATGCATCCTTCAGAAATCCTATATCCAATCCCTCAACCGCTCCCCTTTTCCCTTGACCCCCACCTCCACCGGCTGGCAGGGCTTCGAAGACGTCCTCAAATCAGCCAAGGGCCCCACATTTACCATCACCCAGAAGGCTATCGACGAAAGATTGGTAAAAGCCAGAGATAGTCTGAGAGGTGGTGGTGGGTGGAAGACGATTTATATAATGTTCTTGGGTGGGATCACTTTTACAGAGATTGCGGCACTAAAGTTTGTGGGAAGGCAGTTGGAGGGCGAGAAGAAGAGGTTGATGATCTGTACGACTGGGATCGTGAGTGGGAATAAGGTTATGGAGGGGGTGATGGAGAAGAGGGGGTTCGGTGTCGGTACGTAGCTAGCGATTTTTAAATAAGTGCAGATTGAGGTTGGTGCTTTCGACGGGAAATTGTTCATGCACTTGCTTTTGTTATCTTCTATCTTTCTGTGTGTGTGCAGTCCCGTGTCGCGTCCTGCCCATGTCTTACCATTCGAGAAGAAGGAAGATCTTGCCTCATGATTGCTCAAAGGAAGCTGATTGCGAGTCCGTTGTGCAGATATAGGCTGAAGTGTACGCGGCTGAAGTTTGATCATCCTGGTTCCCTAACAAGGACAACGACATATGTAGTACTGTGGCCTTCGGATTTATTGGCGAGACGTTGGGTTGACGTGAGAGATTTCTTTCCCTGGTATCCACCAACGCTGTGCCGATCAAGCAATATGCCGGCAAGAGCTTGTTGTTCTACCATACCGATGGCCATGTATCCTTGGTGATCGATTAGCTTGGTTGGTCGCAGGTCCGAGAGCTCTGAAGAAATGGAGTCACAAGCCGAGAGATTCGCGATGGATACCGTGAGGCCCATGAATCGTTCGGTTGGCAAAATGCTGTTCAATTCTGGTGGGCGTGTTGCGAAGACTGTGGAAAATGGAGCTTCTCTTGCTACTGGCAATGGCGTTGATGGTCTCGAATATTCTGGGATTTGGGTGGCTATCACGATCAATCAACATAATTCTCTTGGTAGTGGTAGTGTGTAAGCTAACTCGAATGGATGTTTATTGGTTCAGTGGCGTCTGGTTGGGATGTTGTGAGAGGTGTGCCAGTTCTCCGGCCAGCAGGCCCGGGGGCGACCTGAGCATCCGTGAAGGTGGGTTGTGTGCGTCTGTTGGAATATTGTGACATCCTTCAAATGGAAGCGAAAGTGTCCAGCCGGGGCCTACTCCACCACTCAGTGATCCACTATTTTCTTGATTGGTCCCCAAGACCATTCCTCTTGATTCTGCTTTACAAGTTCAGCCCTTATCTGGACGTAGTGTTGTACCTGGGATGAGTCCTGCAAAGAATATTAGACCACTGTAGCTAGGACAGCGCCGCCTCTCGTACCGGAAGTGGGCTGAGATTGAACCACATACCTCAGGTAATGGCCCTATACGCACATGCAAATATATCCGAAGATCGTGATTCTGAGACCATATTTGGTTTATGCTAGAGTTGAACAAGTGCCGCCACAGAAGAAGAAAAACTTCGATGTCGCGATCGCTAGGACCGTTTAGTCCTATGGCGTGAAAAGTATGTCTTGCACAATTCCAGTCGAAGCATAGGCTTTTGAGAGAGCTGGGTAGCCGGCTTGCCAAGATGTTGCCCACCACCTCGTACCTGGCAATCTCAAGTGACCGGACTCGAGCCAGGTTCTGCGCACCAACCCTGCTCCGGAGTACATGGATGAACATTTCATGCTGCAACTTGATTGTAACTACAACATAGAAGATCGGGAGACTCTCCCTGTTACACAATTGGCATGTACGCATGATGTTCCAAGGGCCTGCGGACGGCCTCTGGTGTTGTCGACGAAGAGTGACTGTTAAGTGGCGGAATAGCAGCCGGTATATCATTAAGCGTATTTCAGTGGGAAGCGTCAGAAACGAAGTTGGATCGCGTCTGGCAGTGAGTTGACCCGGGAGACTTTCAGCTTGTTGTTCTGCTGCGGCACGTTGTGCAGTAGATGCCGGCATAGCGCTGGGTTTGAGATCCCTCTCGTTCTGAAAATTTTATCGCTCTTTATTGTCTGCTGCTTCTGTCACAGGCTCCATCGTGTGTAGTGTCGCAAGCCATAATGTTGCCGGGGTCACCCGTTACGATAGATAGCTGCGTGGTGTCCAGATCAGCCTAGATCCCTACATTGGCTGGCAGAGCAAAGGGGGTCAGGTTAGCTGCAAGTTGTACATTATTCTCTGCATCCCCAGCTCACCTGCTGTATGTTGATCAAGGGTGGTTGGCCAGTGTCCAAGCGTGCTGTCTTTGGTCGGAAAATGAGTAGATTTGATTGACGAGCTGCTACCTTGCCACTTCGACTGGGCTATGTGGCTCTGATCGGGAAAAGGTCAAAGGGATGTTAACATTGACCCTTGGCTGAAAGTATTGTGAGTCCAAATTAATGGAATGCAAATTATCAGTTCGCTGGATGCCATGAAAGGAGACATGATTGTGAATCGTTTCTAGTCAGGACATACGTCGTAGATTTAGTATGCTGTCTATACGGTCTCTTTTTTACTTACGCAGGCGCCGGTAAAGGCCGGAGGGCTGGAGCCTCCGGGCCGCCCGAGGCCCGTTGAAACAATCAAGTGTCATGCTTGGTACCTGAGCCGTCATAAGGTGCGTTCTAGAGTTGGAAGTCTAAACCAAGTTGGGTAATTCCTACAGGATTTGACGAGAGACCTCAGACGAGATTCAGTGTATAGAAATACAACCCATTAAGTTGAATTACAAAAGGGTTAAAATCATTATATTAACATAATTACGATACACACGAATAACTTAATCCCAATAAAGAGTACTTCGTAGATTTTTCGTCAACTTATTGTCACTTTAAAGTACACTGGCCAAGACTGTAAACCCAAATAGGAAGGAACGCACTTTTGGGCGGTTTGAGCAGGATTCTGGAACGGCGAATTAGCTGGTAGTGTCTGTACTACAATCTGTCGGCTGTACGTAGCAATTCTCATTTGTTTCTTCACTTTGTGGTGTGGCAAGATGTTTCGAGAGGCTTCGGCCCCCTATCTGATACAACTTACTGCTGCTAAGTGGTACGCAGGTGGTAGTTAGTCAACTTTACTACGTAGAAGCCCCATGATCTTCGATCCCACTAAACCTCCTCCGGCCATTCGTTGCCACCTCGGGCGCATTTACAGCTATTGTCAATGTGGTTTGAGTTGCTTGTGCTAACATACTGTTGTGAGCTTCAATCTCACGTTGTTCCTGCAGCTTTGGCATAACAGACGCATGCATGATGATCATATTCAAGGTCTTCGGGCGTCGTGCATCAAAAACACCCTGTGCCGCACGTCGGATTTCCCTACGAAAAGCTGGAAGGCGCTGGTTCGCATAGTGGCCGGCAGCCTTGTTTTTCAACTGTTTTCACATTTCGGCTTCCATGGACATAATAAGCATTGATCAGCCAGACAACCTTTTAATGGTCAACTACTACTACGTATGTACGTAGTACATAGTAAGAGGCTAAGATGCTAGGCGTACACATACTAGTGTGTCTGCGTGATATCTGATAGGTGCTTCACTCTCGGCACGGCAATTAACCAGTGTACCACTGAAATGGGGCGATGCAACTGGCGGTAAAATGTGCGCAAGCGACCCACCACTGCACTCCTATTAGCCAGAAAACCTGTTCAGCGACTGCACGTCAATCTGAAGGCGGTATGGCCCGACGAAGTCACTATTGAAGAACTGATGTTGGCTTATTACGTACTCTATCAATATACAGCACAATACGGTTACTAGACTGTGCAGATAGAAAGTGAGCTGAGAACTTGTCGGGCGCTCTAAGTTACGGTACGCGGAAACTTGTCCCACAGCTGGTCCTGCATCGCAAAGGAGTTTTTACCTGTAGCTTGAAGCTATAATATTTTTGTGGTAGCTCCAGCTGGGGAGGCGCCACCAACAGGGGTCTGTATCGGATCCCGGAAGGCTACTCCAGATTAGGGTTGATGGAGCGTGATCATTCCTTCGCTGCATGCAAGCAGAAGTCCTCCAATAACGAACTCCTCCAGTTTCTACATGGGGCTACGCCAGCCATGTGCGCTTCCATTTTGGTTAAAGTATCAACGGATGGCTTTCTTGGAGATAGCTCTCTTTCTCTGCCCTGCGCTCCTCTCGCAAACCATAGTCCTCCTGCTGTTGGTTTGGTATTGACGCATTCTCCGAACATCGATCCATGGCCGAGATTCCACCCGAAGTAGCGGCATACCAGCTGTCTCATCTCCACGAGGATGAATCTCAAGAGCTGGGCGCGTTCTACATAGTATGCATCGTCGCGGCATTTGTGTGTATGGTGTCAAAAATCACGTCCCGGCGCGTGGCCCGTGTTGGTCTCAAGGCCGACGACTTCGCGTTTCTGATTGGAGCAGTATGGCATCAGATACACATTCACAACCGCGTAGCTAACCATCTATCTTTAGACCATAGCCGAAGGCACTTTTATAGTGTTGATGATTTATGGTAGGAGGAAGATACCTGCCACCTTAGCGCAGAAAGACAGACTTACTCGTCGACAGCTTTCAGAGCTGGTCTGGGTAAGCACTGGTTGGCATTAACAGAGGATCAGAGATTGCTCTTCCCCAAGGAAAGTGGAGCTGCCGCGTCACGTCTGACGGCAGCCCCGGGCTGACTTGTGAGTAGCTGAATTATGCGTACAATATCCTCAATGTTCTCTGCTACCCCATCATCAAAATATCAATCCTCCTTTTATACTATCGAATTTTTGGTTCTAGTAGGCGGTTCCGGTTGATTATATGGGTATGCGTTGCGTTTCTTACGGCTATCGGCATTTCAACGACGCTCGTCGCTATTTTCGCCTGCATCCCTGTTCGAGGGTTCTATGATTCTTCAGTCCCATCGCGTTGCATCGATGCCGTTTCATTCTATTGGGCACAGGCCGTTCTCAATATTATCACCGATGCCATCATCCTCGTATTGCCTCTGCCGGTGGTGTGGAAGCTTCAGACAACCCTGCGGCGGAAAATTGCCATCTCCCTGCTCTTCATCCTTGGTGGGCTGTCAGTGCAACTGTATCTACTTGACCTTTGAGCCGTTGGCTGACTTCGTACGCTGACCTTAGCACCTTTGCTTTAAGCATTGTCCGAGTTGTTCACTATCTCCAATACGATACAAATGACCCCTCCTGTAAGCTTGCTCCTTTCTCACCATCCTACAGCATTTCGGAAGAACACAGAGGTTTTGTTTAACCTCTTTCAGATTCCTTCATTGGAAGTGGATATAGTGCCCCTGGAGAAGTCACCATGGCGATCGTTTGCGCTGCAGCACCAACTTGGCGTCCACTCTCCCGCAGACTTACCGAGATGGCCCGCAGCCACTGGTCTAGCCTTCGCAGCAGTGGACCTGACTACGATGTGGAAGCGAAAGGAAAGTCCAGCAGCCACAAATCATCCCAAAGCGGGCCTAGCGAGCATGACCACAATCATATGGAGCTCCCGCCTGTACCCCCAATTCCTCAGGGCACGCAGCATAGTGTTTACGACGCAAGGCTCATAGGAGCAAATCAGTCGCACGCGGAGGCTTACAGGGATCCTCTAGCATCAGAGGGGCTCTCGGAAGAAAGCTACGGCATTTCCACAGGGCAGCACCGAGGTATTCAGGTCCAGCGGGAGGTTACGGTGGAAGACGATCGAAACAGGTCTTGATGGAACCAGAAAGGGCACGGGGGTTAGGTGTTATCTTGGCTCTGGCAACTTTGGTTTGGATGATCAGGGTGACGATTACTTGATTTAATGGGCACTCCACAGTTGAAAGAGACGTTACGAATCTATCAGCGCGATGTAGACGCGCGGACTCATGGTAACCATCTAAGTACAGACTCTAATACGGTAGAGTTTACTATGCGTAGCTCTTAGATGCACGCACCGCTCGCTGTTGACGACGGAATGACTATAGTACTAGGTACTTAGTACGCAGGTAGTGTGCCATGGCGGAAGGGAGACATATTAATGCCGCCGGATAGGCCTGTCGCCACTAATGTGCAACAGGAAGTGTTGCCGAACTAGGTAAGTGCTTCTAAACGGACTTCAGACATGAATAGCTAGGTTTGATTGGCCAGGTGGATCTAACCCGGGTCGTCGGACGCCCCTGAACAACCATGCCTCAAGATGGGCTCTAAAAGTCGTTGCCGCACTGAAGCATTACGCTTACGCAAACATACGGCACCGATGCCGAGTGTACTAAATCCGGTCCAATAGCAACGTCAATTCGGCACTGGTTAGAGATGTAGGTTCTCACAAATCAATTCTCACAGGACGGCTGGACTTATGCTTCCAGCTCAGCAACTACAAGTGTCACCAAATCGAAGACTGTTGGTGTTCTAGACACCTACTGCTGGTATGGATATTCAGAGATGGGACAGTATCTCCATATCAACTTCCTGGGTGCTCTAGTTTCCTGGCTAGCTCTGTTGTACAAGGATTGACAAGAAACGTTCATGCGTACCACACACAGTACTGCGATCCTAGTGATACAATGCACAAGTATCGACGTTATAGCCTACCTTAGTCTCGATTTACCTTGCTATCATCACGGTCGCCTCGAGGTACCATCTCACCCCAAGACAGCACATCCCTAACAGCGTCTATTATGGCATCCGGTGCAACATTCTTCCGTCTACTATCCCACCCTTCGAACCCCACTTCAGGACGACTCGATCCTCGCTTTCGTAAGCCGCTATATGAGTCGCTCAATCGCCCGCTTCGCATTTCTTTCTCCTCAGCCCACGACGCTGCCCACACTATCTATCATCATGGCCAAGGAGGCTCACGTTACCAGTCAGTCGTGGTCCAGAAGGCTTCAATGTGAGGTCGACAAGGATGCGAACTACCAAAACACATATGTAATCCACCCTCCCTCCCCACCGTCCCGGTTGCCATCTTCGTCCGCTGGCTCACTCTTACTTGTCTTCGCGGTCAGTGGTGCAATCGTGATTTGATTCCCATACCTCGAGATAGACGAACCTGGACATGGCAGGGTTTTGCCGGTTATTGGGTCATTGGGGGTCAGATCCATCGCTCAGATAGAAACCGAGTCACTTCTTAATTGTTCTCTTAGGCATCAACACCACTGCATGGACGATCGGATCGTCCCTTCTCGCGCTCGGCCTTAGCGTCGGCCAGGCGATGGGCATGGTCGTCTGCGCGGCAGTGATCATCGCCTTTCTGGCCGTTGGAGCGGGCTGGATGGGATCTCATCAGCACCTGGGGTTCACCGTCGTGTCACGAAGGTTCATGTGGTGCCGCAATTGCTCAGTTTTCTCCATCTGACGCATTTTGCAGTTCATGGGGTATGCGAGGGGCCTTCTGGCCAGTGCTAAATCGTGTGGTGGTGGGCTGCATCTGGATGGGTAGGTGTTCTAATATCTGCCACACTCTCTTACTTCCCGCACTGCTTTCGGTTTAGGACATGCTGACCATCTTTTCAGGCATTCAGATGTTCTGGGGCGGACAGGCGGTCCGAATCGTACTCGGTGCTCTGATAGGGCCGAAGTTCGTGAACATGGCAAATACCCTCCCCTTGTCGGCCAACGTTGTGACTGCGGACCTGGTTTGCTTTTTTATCTTTGTCATCATCTTAGGTCGGTCAGGGCGGCTGCAAAGACTCTTCGGATATCGCTGAACCTTTTTAGCTCCGACGCTTTGGATTAGACCTGAGAAGCTGCAGCTTCCGTTCAGGGTGACGATCAGCATTCCAGTAGAGCCGAGTAATCGATTGACCTTCTCGTCTTAGGTCGCATTTATCATGATTACCTCAGTCATGCTCGGCATGGTCAGTCTTGTGATATGTCTCTCAAAGGGCAACCCAATCTAACGAATGTCTAGCTCATATGGTCACTTTCTACTGCCAACGGAGCTGGGGAGCTCATTTCGCAACCATCTACGGCCCAGGGTAGCACGCTGAGATGGAATTCTATATTTGGTCTTCAGTCATTCTTGAGTGCGTACGTCAGTGGATGTCTCGGCCAGAGCGGTAAGCTCTTTCCCCATCACGATTTTGGTCTTTCTCATGGTTTTCAAGATTGGACGAGGTATGCCAGGACACCGAATGCGGCTCTTTTCGGGCAGGCCGTCACCGCACCGATCACCATTTGCGTGACAGCGCTCTGTGGGATTCTCATCGCTTCAGCATCGACCCTGATATATGGGAAAGTGTTCTGGAACCCATTCCTCTTACTGCTGCACGCCCAGCAATCCATGACGGCGGCATCGCGAGCCGGCACATTCTTTGCCGGCTTAGGACTGCTGGCCAGCCAGATGGCGCTGTGTATCGTGTTGAACTCGGTGCCAGCAGGCATGGACATGACGACCGTCTGCCCTCAATACATCAATATCCGTCGCGGCGCGTACATTGTCATGATCGTCGGCATTGCGATGTGTCCGTGGAATTATGTCAATCAGGCCACAACTTTCATCACGTATGTGCTGTCGGGTTCAGGGGCGGTTGACTCGACATTTTCCATCTCGTGCTGACCACGTCGCAGCGTCATCTCCGGCTGGGGTATCTTCCTCGCTCCGATGGCAGGCATCCTCCTTGCAGACTACTTTCTTGTCCATCGGCGCGAGCTCCACCTTGACGATCTATACATTGGCAACCACTCTTCGGCTTACTGGTACACTGCTGGCTTTAATTGGCGCGCTCCCGTAGCATGGTACGCAGTCTCTCTTCTTCCTTCCTCCTTCCTCCTACCACCAGCTTCACATTTGCCATTCCGCATCATCTTACTTTGCGCTTACCCCTCGACATGTATATAGGGCGATGGGAGTGTGGCCAATGCTTCCTGGCTTCGCAAGGCAGGTGCGTGGTGTTTCGGCCTACAACGGCTGGGATAACATATTTCGAATCAATTTCTTTGTCGGGCTGGGGATCGCGTTTGCCGTCCACGCGGTGCTACATGCAGTATTTCCAGCCCCTGGAGGCAGAGGGAGCTCGCCGTTTGGGGAGAGAAGGCATGGAGTGTTAGCTGACAGAACCAACCTTGAAGGGGATTCGTCCTGAGAAGATCGCTGGTTTCAATGTGGTATATTGACCGCGGTCATGATGACACGAAGAACGACACAAAATGAAGGAACAAATTAGCGTACTAACAGGGCAGTGGGTCACTACCACGCCACATTAAGAATCAATCTAGAGTTGATGACGGCCATTTCGTTGACGCACCATATGACAACATTCATGGCAAGCATGTGCCGCCACTTCTCTAGCAGCTTGATGTACTTTACTCCGTAGATGAAAAATTTCTTGAACAGTACTGCAAGATGCCCACCCCGTTCTTAAGGGAAAGGGTTCACTTAGCCTGGTATATCCTCAGGCCATTGAGAACATCAGGACAAGCTGAGGCCGAATTTTATGAATCCGTTGTCGACTATGCTAGAATAGCGACGTGGAAACCATCCAGTGACATACAAGAAATCAACCTCCACGCCCTCTTTTATCCGATGGTGATACCATAATGCTCCCACCCAAAAGCTGGCTCAACCTGTTTACTCGAACGAGGTCGCTCAAGTGCCACTTGAAGGATTGTCTCAACGGGATAGAATTCGTAGCTTGCGGAAATGTTTTTGTCGAAATCAGTTCAGACAACCGGTGAAAAGCTTGAAATGAAGACCGAGTCGAGACCAGTAGGAGCACTCCCAAACCAGAGGTAGATACTCAGCCCTTTGGTCATCAGCGCTGTGACGGCTCATGAGTAAAATCTGGTACGCTTCCTCTAAAGGTCCAATGACATGATGAACAAACCCTACCTTGGATTTGGCCTCTTGCGAATCTCCAAAATCAAAATTGAGACACCCGTTGACCGCGGGGGCATAGTGAAATCCTGCGCCTTCGTGGGTTTCATTGTGCAGCCGAGCAGCGGTTAGTATAGATGTGGTTAAGCCACACTGGCCATTGACGTCCCTTTCCGATGACAGTGCGAGCTTCTCAGTCGATCTCGGGTATCCCGGCTTTATCAAGATGTGGCCCAGGGTGAACAGCATTTCGTTCTTGTCCCAAAACGGGAGCCGCTCTTTGGCGCTGGTGCTCAGCGAGAGGGCTTCCAAGGAGCAAGACCTAACCCGGGCTGAAGATTCAAATCTGCGGATGATATGTGGTTGCAGTATAGTGTCATTGTGCTGGTTAGAGCCGAGAAGGAGTAGTATGTCATCCTTAGCCCATGTCCCCGCGAGCCCTAGGGTTGAATGCAACTGCAGCACGTTCCCACTTATTGTCAAAGCTAATCGCAGTCGCTCTAATATAGTAGTCTGGAGCTGGCTTCCCAAAGCTCTGAAATGGTGTCTTTTGCAGCAGGCGAAAGAGATTAGTGAGGTAGGCTGGGAGGTGGACCTTTCCTCTTGCTTCCTTACCTTGTACAATCCATACCTACGGCTCTGCTGATCTTGTAGACATCCGAGGCAGCCATCGCGTAAGCTACTATACATGAATGGAGGAAACTGAATAGGAAAGCCACCGATACCTAACTCGTACTCAGACCCCAAAAATCGGCCTGATTCGTCAGTGGAAAGTGATAAAGATCATTCTATTTCAAGAGATACTATACTTCTGTGCTTGTCCTCTTCTGAGTTCATGTGTTTCGCGTGCGAAGTGCAGCGTACACGTGGTGGGGAGGCAAATGTTCCATATTATCCTACGTAGACGAGATAAGTAGCTCCCAGCTGATAGAACCTTTTTAAGGCTCTGAGCCTTGTGCAAGAAGTCAGTTATTATTTAAGGTTGGAGACTTTACTTAAGTTACATACAACTGAAATGTCTAGGCGCCGAGAAAGGGCAGCCGTTTTCTGACCATGAAGTGCTTATTGTGCGTTGCGAAACTCTTGCAAATCCTTGGCGCTACCCTCGAATTGCTGGCGCCACGGAGCAGATTGTGGTGAGGGTAGGGGATGGCCATTTACCACTTAATTATCGTAGTAGAATGCCCAAGTTGCCCGGATAGTAAAGTAGACTCTCTTGTGACCTTACTACCAAAATTTTAAGATAGCAAATTATAATACTGCATTATGAGAAACATTTAAATATAGAGAGAGCTATAGCGTCTTTATAACGCAAACAGAGAGGAGGATATAAGAAGGATATTAAGAAGGAAGATATTAAGGAGGAGGAGAGCAAGGGGGAGGATATTAAGAAGAAGTATATCCTTCTCCCTGTTAATATCCTCCTTCTTGCTATCCTCCTCCTTGCTGTTCTCCTCCTTGAGATCCTTCTTGACCTCCTCCTTGAGATCCTCCTCCTTGAGATCCTCCTCCTTGAGATCCTCCTCCTTGAGATCCTTCTTATATCCTCCTTCCTGCAGATATTTCATTTATAGTTTATTATGCCAGCGGCATAATATCACAATGAGACCTCAAACAAGAGTGGTGTAAGTCTGATTGATTGCTATCGGTGGCTTACCGCCAGTTAACCGATCTGCTAGTGCTACACTAATGTTGCTGGGGTGCCGGTAGCAGCCCGGCAGGAGAGCCATCTCCTATTGAGCCTGACATAGTTGAAGTTATAAGGCTATTTTAAAACGCATAATTTACTTACTCAACACTAATTATCAGCCGTTAAAATGGGGTAACAAATAGATGTCAGCAAGATCTATAAGCAATTTTAAGCAATTTGAAGCAATTTCTACACGTTTTTGGTGCGTAGAGAGCTATTCCTACATCAGATTATAATTCTGCTCTGTAGCACTAGTAATTCGAGGGTAGTACTAAGAAATTAGCAATAATTTTGCAACACACTGTAAATAAGAACTATGTAGAACGACAGGCAAACACTGCAATTTTAGCGTAGATAAAGGGAACATATTTTAACTTTTAAGGCTTTTTAAAGAATCCTTTATTGCACTACAATTTTAGCGTAGATAATAGCAATATGTCCAGCCTTAGAAGAAATGCATTACAATTACTACTTGAATGATTAATATGCATTATGAAACTCTTGTAAATCCTTAGCGCTACCCTCAGCCCTAGAAGTAGAAGTACTGGGTGATGCCAGGGGGCACATAACTGGCGTCTTGGCATATGGACCATTGAGATTCTTCTACTTACTTAGCAGCAGCAGTAGCAGCAGCAGCAGCAGCAGTAGTAATAGTAGGAGAGCTGTGGGTTATCTCAGTCGGTATCTGTTGTACTGGTGATTTGGAAGAAGAATCGAGGAGAATGAGGCCGGACGTGAGGCTAACCATAAGTGAATATCCAAGATCCCTGCTCGTGACCTTCTCCTGTGCCGATATAAAATTGCTCCGTGAGGTCTCCTGTCAGACAAATAGCTGGGCCAGCCGTCAACTGTGGCTGCAGTCCTTCTGGTCTAACACCACTGTGGATGGACAAGGATGGTTCTCCTGAATGATTGCACTCAAACTCCAATGGACAGTGTGAACCAAGCAACCTGCTGCATGTGTTCTCTTCCACCTTGCTGAGCCTTTCACGCTTCCACCATACCAGCTGGACGTGGTCATGGCCATCCAAATGAGGCTGCGAGGATGGAAACGACAAGGTTAGAACAAAGGCTGGATCCAGTTTCGAGGAAGCAACGAGCTATGACTTCTCGCATACGGCAGGAAGATCCTCTTGCGTTATCTTCAGTCTCTAGTTGTTTCTCTGGACCCGAGAATATCTTCCAGGTCTCAGGTCGTCTTGGACATGTAGCAAAATTTGATGAGGCTGTGTCCTGGACTCCTGCTCGACGAGGCATCCAGTCACCGCTTGCCGATTTGAATGGTAAGTGCAGCAACACCGCTCTGTGCGGAAAGAAGGACGATTGTTTGTTTACTTACCCTTACCCGTATCCATGGGCCTCTAGCAGCGCTCATCACATGTCCAGCTGACTTGCTGAACATCGTTGAATTTACCCATGCTTAGATGCAATCACTTCTGCCAATTAAGCCACTGCCATGGCTCTCTTCTATGGTACGGATACATATAGCAGATTCCCAAGTATGTCTTCGTCAAGTTCCAGGTATCCGGCGCAGTGGTTACCATTCGTCAAAGACATCAAGACGCTTTACTTCAGCCATCTGTACAAACGATGTGCCAGTCAATGTGAGAGGATGTTGCAAGACGAAGCAGATACTGTCGGTATGCGCGTTTGAGCTTTTGGCAATGTTACTGAAGTCGGCTAGCTACATCCTCTACACGAAAGCTGTCTCCACTTCTACATAGCCATTTGCAACGAGTCACTGGGCCTGGCTGCGCACAGGTTCTCGTCCAAAAAGCTTTCCTATCTACAGCGGGCCAAAGACGCTTTTACCGCTTCGTCGGTGAGCTTGCCACTGCCGTATGGTTTAGACAATACCGGAAACTCGGAAGCAATCCTATCAATATCTCAATCGTCCCAGGTTTATCACTTCGGTCCGATTGATGATGAGAGAAGCGACGTATTTCGTTCGGCCAAACTCGACGTCTTTTCATCAAGCTGTGCCAGCTCAGATATGAAACAGTCGCTACACGAGCGCTGTGATTCGGGCTATGACTCGGAATCCGAATCTCGATCAGCATGCAGCGACAACGTTCCAGACTTCAAGCGCTACTCAGCACGTCAGCCTTTGAGGGATGTGATCTCGAACGAGAAATCACATTTCAAGAGTTCTTCTCATGCACAAGATACCACGAATATCAACCTCCACGACGGCAAATTGATGCCAAAGCCGCTGTTCATCAAGAAACGAACATCCGACCTCAACCAATCCTCTTCTGCTAGTGATCAACTCCCTCCTACTTCAACAGAACCACCCTACCTTAGCCAATGCACAACAAACATCTCCCCTCCCTCAAACAGCGACCAAATCAACCTCATCCCAACCACAAGACCGGCTTCTTCCTCACCAGCAACGACACCCACCCCACCCCTTGAGAACCAACAACCCTCCACATACAACACCAACCTACAAACCTTCCACACCCTCCTCCTCAACCACCTAACCGCCATCAACCACACGATCGCCACAACAACCCATGTCCAAAACGAACACACCCTCAACAAAACCAAACGCCTAGCCAGCTTCTGGAGTTTCAAGCCTATCCTCCCTTCCGCCCAGGGAGGAGCGAATGATGACGAAGACGATGACGAAGAAGAAGAAGATGTGAAGGCACGAGAGAAAAAGGAGCGGATCGAGTTGTTGAGGAGGGACGGGTGGAGGGTCAACAAGGAGAAGTTTGGATGGAAGGGGGAGGAACACTATGAGGCGTTGAGGGGGGTGGCGCTGGGGGAGTTGAGTTGAGTAGGATGGCGTATTGGTGAGATGATTCTCTAGGTGTTGGGTGGGCGTGTACGATGGGATTGGTGGGTTCTCTGTGCCTCTTTGGCTGCGTTCTTTGCGTGTGTGTGTCTTTGTGTGGGGGGAGAGCCTGAAGCTCATGTTGTAAAGTAGTTGACTGTCCTGTTTCTGACCGAGAATCCCTGGCTGGGTATTTTCGGTTTCCACTTCACGATACCATTGTAAGTGTTCGTTAGAGATGTGTTGAGCAGTGCCATGCCACTCTATCATGAACCCATGACTAGCTATGACCGCATATCGAGAGATGAAAAGGCGTCGAAGGGTGCGAAGGGAATGAATGGATTTTCTGGTTTCGAGCTCGTCCACAATTGGCTCCAACACTCCACTTCTTCTCATTCACTACTCCCCATAAAGTACCGTATACTCCTCAACCCCAACCGCAGTCTCAATCTCAGAACCCATCCCCGCCCAACCCGCCAACCAGTCCCATCATCCTGGCCTGGAACTTCCTCGCCACCTCGAACCATTTCACCTGAATCCCCGCCGCAACCACACTCCACGGCATCCCGTCCATATCTCTGCCATCATGCTTATCCTTGTCCTGAATCTTCTTCCCGCCAGCCTCCGGCACCCTCGCCGCCTCCCCATCCCCCAACTGCGCAACCCACCTGACCAGCTCCGCCATCTCATCGCCATGATCCCGCACCAAGCCCTCCTCCACCCCACCCCCGGCCTCGATACCCACATCCAACAGCACCAGCAACAGCGTCAGCATCGCCGGCAGCACCGCCGCATCCATGCACAGCGCCGCAGCGCCATCACCAGAAGCAGAGTTTCCTGATTGAGAACAGGAAGCTGCACGACCGCGGCCGGGCCCAGCGTCGTCAGCACGACCGTCAGCGTCTGCAGGAACAGCTTCAGGATCTGGGGCTCGAAGAGCGTGTTGGTCTTGACGCTGACGCCGGGCCCGCCGGAGAGGAGGATGCTGAGGCGGCAGCAGAGGGGCAGGTAGATGGCCTGGGCGAGGAGTCTGTGAACGTCTTTGGGGATCAGGCGCCTGCGCTCGAGGGTGCGGGCTTGGGTTTTTTCTTGCACGGCCATGCGCGAGGAGAAGGTGCGGATCTTGAGGATGTTGGGCCCGGTGGCGGCGTCGGCTGCGGCTAGGGTCACATGGGGCGGAGCGTGGTGTGTTGGATTGTGTTGGTGAGGGTTGTGAGGTGCATGGGTGAGAGTTGGGATTGAGACTGGGGTTGGGATTGGGAGTGGGATTGGGATTGATAGACGGCGGCGAGATGGGGTGGGAGTTGTTTTGAGGGTGGGAGCGGTGAAACGGGTTGAGAGGCAGATGGAGTGTCTTCGTCTTTGTGGCCGGCGATCTCGCGGCTTGAAAGCCCGATGGTGGTGAGGATTGTGGCGCGTTGAGACAGGGAGAAATCTCCTGTGAAATACATGTTTGCGAACCAGGGGCCCATACGGGAAGGTTGGGAGACAAGGCAGGCGATCAGACTCTGCAGCCGTAGCTCTTGAAGTTCGAGCCTGGACATGCCGTCTTGGAGGTTGATTAGTGCGCTGGCCAGGTCTATGATGTTTTCTGAGAGCTCGCTGCCAAAGTGGGCTTTGCGGCGGATGAGAGACGGAGCAGTCTTGAGGGCCATTTCGACAACTTCCGGCTTGTCTACCACGTTGAGGCTCTTGACCAGGTCATGCACATACACTGGGGCTTTAGGTTTCGAGCGATTGATGAGGGTTGGATCTTCGTCAGAATCTTCCGCATCCTCGTCGGGTTTCTGATACGGAATCAAGTCGTCGTCTTCGCTTTCTGAATCGTCATTGTCCACCTCCTCAATCGATATGATCTTCGAGGTCTCGGCCTGCGCCCTGCGTTTGCGCTGGTGTGTTTGGGCCGAGTTGCGCTTCTGTGGTACCAGCTGAGCGGTAGCACGTCTTGTGTTAGTCGACGAATTCCTCAGCACCTCAACCGTGCCCATGACGTCTTCTACAGAGACAAGACTGAACCACCACTCGGCTTCTTGACTTTCCATCTCTTCGACATCAAAGTTCATCCTCTTATCAGGCTGATCGACTAATCTTGATATAGCCATGCCGACCACCATACCTAGAAATCGAGCTTGAGGTAAAGACGCTGCTAGGCGGTTGGAGACAGCGTGAAGATAGGAAGAGGATTTGGACAATTCGGACATGTAGTGTGATTTCATACGATGCAGATATCCAGCAGTTACGAGGACGACTTGAGCCAAAGCTGTACATAAAAAACGCTATAAGCAGACAGGAAAAAGGTGGTTTTACAACTCATGACTAACCTTCTTGCTGGAGTATTGAATCGTGCTTGATGTGTAACTTGTCACTAAAGATCTTCATGCTCTTTTCCAACAACGCCTGTAGTTTTCCTGGGAAGAGAGAGGTCAGACCTTATTCAACCAGACTTGGAGGCCAACTTGCCCTCTTTGGACGATAGCACAAGTATCATTGCTCGTCTCGTCTCCAGAGTGTGTGCACTCGCCGTATTTGTCAAACAGTCTATTAGTTGAGCTTCAAGGTATTCGTTATCACTAATAAACCCAGAGATGATCGATGCAACACCTCCAACAGCGTCTCTGCCATTGATGACCAGCTTCGGATCATCGTCTTTATCCCGGCTTGTCGACAAGAATTTCTGCGACATGTCTTGCAGCATTAGCTCCAAGAGCGTTTTCTGATTCAGGCGCGGCAGGTAGCTGCACAAAAGTCGGAGAGGAGTCCACAAGGCTTTCTCGCCTAGCAAGAGCTGCATATAGAGCTCAACGACTAGGGTATCTGTACCTGATCAGCAGTTGCCTGTGAATAGCAGATGAGCAAAGACACCAACCCTTATGGCCCAAACTCAGTGCTCTCTTCAAAAGATTAGCCAGCATTTTCCAGGCATCTTCTGTAACAGGCGTCAGGCTGGTGGCTGCGGAAGCAATGTTCACACCTAGCCATCCACAGTACTCCTTTGGATCTTGAAGCCACGACGGAATCTCTCCCTTGAGCTCTGACATGGTGGAAGCTTCCAGGAAAACACTCAGGATCTTGCTGCCTGCAAGCAGTGAAGTCGCTTCTGTCCAAAGAGCTTGTTCTTGACCAGGTCTGCCAACCGAGGATTGCGTTCGTTCCAGCAGATCTCTTACCAAGTTCTTGTGAAAGGCAATGCTCCCGAAGAATGAGACTGTGTCCCTGAATACGATGTGTTGCGAAGAACCAGCTTTACTGATTTGAGGAGACGTTATCAGACTTTGGATACGAGCAATCATAGCTCCTATGCCAGCGACACTGCTCATGCATAACAGCAAGGACTTTCTGATCGTTTTGTCCACCTTGGAAGCTGTATTGGACTTGAGAATTGGCCACCGATCCGGAACGACATTGGCGACAAGCACATTCAGTATCTGAGCAGATGATGCACTTGGAACGTGTAGACTGAAATGGTGCTTCTTGTGGATACCGTCTTCCAAATACTGTATCACAGCTGCAAAACTTTCCTCTGTAGGCTGCTGTTTGAGTATCTCAAAAGCATGTTCCGGCGACGAGATTGACCCATCGATCCGCTGTAGGCTGTCTCTTTCTGGACTTTGCCCATCTTCACTTGGAATCAAGTCCTTCGTAACATGATCATCTGCAACGTCTGAACCCTCTTCTTCGGCAGACTCCCTCAATACGTTCAACGGGGCGTCTGATCCATTCGAGACCTCTGATAGGATCTTTCTTGTTGAAGTCAGATCGTTCGTGGACTGCTGCTCTCGTAATGACAACGTCTCAAACTTTTCGATGTTGCTCTTGACGTTCCTGACGGTCTTGACCGGCTTGAGAAGATCGTCCATGTCTGAACATCCATCTTGACATCAGTTTCTGTTCATAACACAGATGTGCAATTTAACTTGAGCAGGGATCGTATGTACGTATGACAAGGTTCTTCGGGAAGTGAGGATACAGTAGTAGTGCTTACCTCAGCAATTCGAGATGCTAAGTGACTCTGCTGCAGAATATCGTCGTCTTCTCTAAGATCGAGTGAGCAAACAGAAGCGCGATATCAGCCAATGTACGAGAATCATTGTTCAATCTATAGAAAATTCTTCCGTATATGATTGAAAGCATTGTCTTCCATTAGAGTCTACGATTCTCTCACATCGTTGCCGGTTCAGGGTTTGCTGCCTACAAAAACACATCGAGAGTTCAATCTCTCAATTCTGCTGCGTGTGTCTGCTTCATCGAACGAAAGAATAGAACCTGAGAGAAAGAAGCGGGTTCCCTCCCAGGATGAGACAGAGTACGGAAGATTGAGATTAACAGGTCCCTTGCAGTGGCCATGGACAGTCCTCAAGCGGTGAACGGGATTGAGTCTCGAGCCAGATGGTGAACTTCTCATAATAGACCTCTTCTGATCACCCTACTAACTGCTCGCAGGAAGTACTTAGACAGTATCCTGTCAACCAAATCTCCATATGCAGATCCAGACTACATACCTGGCGAAGATGTAATAACCTTCCTCGAAAGCTCACGGGTCCTCGTCATCGGAGCCGGTGGTCTAGGATGTGAAATTCTAAAAAACCTCGCCCTGTCCGGCTTCAAAGACATCCACGTCATCGACATGGACACTATCGACGTCTCCAATCTAAATCGTCAGTTCCTCTTCCGCGAAAGCGACGTCGGCAAAAGCAAAGCCGAAGTCGCCGCCGCCTTCGTTGAGAGCAGAGTCCCGGGGGTCAAGATCACCCCTTACAACGGCAAGATCCAAGACAAAGACGAAGACTACTACATGCAATTCAAGCTGGTCATCTGCGGCCTCGACAGCATCGAAGCCCGCCGCTGGATAAACAGCACGCTAGTCTCCATGGTCGACATGGAACAACCGGAATCGCTCAAACCGCTCATCGACGGCGGAACCGAGGGCTTCAAAGGCCAGGCGCGAGTCATCCTTCCCACCGTCTCCTCTTGCATTGAATGCCAACTGAGCATGCACGCCCCGCGAGCCGCTGTCCCACTCTGCACCCTCGCCTCCATCCCACGCCAACCCCAACACTGCATCGAATGGGCACACATCATAGCCTGGGACGAGCAACGAAAGGGTGACGTCCTCGACACCGACGATCCAGAACACATCACCTGGCTCTACAAGACCGCGCTAGAGCGTGCCAAACAATTCAACATCCCAGGCGTCACCTACTCCATGACGCAAGGCGTCGTCAAGAACATCATCCCGGCCATCGCCTCCACAAACGCCATCATCGCCGCCGCCTGCTGCAACGAAGCCTTCAAGATCGCCACCTCCTGTGCGCCCTACCTCGAAAACTACATGCTCTACACCGGCGACTCTGACGCCTCGGGCCTGTACACCTACACCTTCGCTGCGGAGAAGAAAGACGATTGTCCCGTGTGCGGAAACCTCGCTCAAACAATCCGCATCGATCCCGAGATGACGCTGGGGGACTTCATTGCGAGTCTAGCAGAGAGGGCAGAAGCCCAGTTGAAGAAGCCTAGTTTGAGGACCGCATCGACGAGTCTGTACTATCAGGCGCCGAAACAGTTGGAGGAGCAGACGAGGCCGAATTTGGAAAAGAAGATGCGTGATCTTCTCGCGGATGGGGAAGAGGTGGCGGTTAGTGATCAGGCTTTGGCGATTGATTTTCGGTATAAGCTGGTTTTCGAGCGGTAGTTGATGGTGATAAAGAATGGGGACGAAATGGTGGTACGATGGAATGAATGGTTGATGATAGGCAATGTTTGCTAGCGCAAATCATTCTTCCTATTGTTCTATGAATGCTAGCACAGCATCCCCCCAGCGCCGGCAATGCAACGCATAGACAGTTGCTCGTGTCGCTTGAACGCAGCAATAGATATCATCAAATCATTGTTCGACGAAGACATCATCATCAAATTCTCCATATTCCTTGCGAGTCAACCACCCTCCAGCATATCCAGCGCCCTCTTCAAATGCCGAGCTTTGAGATTCAGCACTTTTAGACTCTTCAGCACGAGATTCGTGCTGGGATACTGGCCCGTGCTCTCCACGCTGAAGATGAAATGATCTTGAACCCTACCAAGCTTGACCTTGCCCTTGAACTCATCATGCCTCAGGCATTCTCTTGAAACAGTATCGGCAAAGGAGTTTCGAACCACGGCTTTTTCTTTCCCTTCATGACCTTCATAGCCGCTTCCTTCCGTACCTGCTTCCTTCGCCGTCACCCGTTCTATACCAATGACGCCTTCAGGGAAGCACTTCTGAAACTTTCCTGCTTCCAGTCCTAGGATCGGCTTGAGTATGTTTATCTTTGGCAGCAGACGGTAAGTCGCTGTCGCGACGGGGGAGAATTTAGCATGGTCCATTCCCAATCCTTTGATGCAGTGGAGTTCCATATCAATAATTTGACCTGGCCTGAGCTTGGCGATTAAAATATCTGGATTCATGGGCACGATTGGGTCGTCCTTGAAGCGCTCGACCTGCCTGCCTACTGGTGCGAAAACAAGATCCCGCGCATACACATCGCTATTGTGGAATCTCTTCTTTGGGTCTTTTTCATTTGGATCTGCGGACTCATTGTACGTGCATTCAACGTGCAGATGCATGATGATTGTGTTGTAATCTGCTGGCTGACTTCCCACTATGCCGTTCTCCTCATCTGGTTTTAAGAAGACGTCCGTAGCATCAAGACCTGAGACGCTACCCCGGAGGGGGATGAGGCCCAGACGATGCGCAAGGACTTCATCGGCCAGGACGGAGGTGTTGTTGGTGACAAAGACTTGCTCGATGGCAAGTGTAGGGACTTCGGCGATGAGGATGCGGCGGATGGCATTCGCGAGGGAGGCATCAATGCCGATGATGGAAAAGGATGCATCGTAGGGCAGGTTCTTGTGGAATTTGATCTTAAGGTTCTAGCACCGAAACACTTGGTCAGACAATCGGAGCAATCTTGTCATATGGTCGCATACCTTTTTGTATTTTGACAGAGACCATGAGTGGTCTTCGCCAGGATAATGTCCGGGAAATTCTGTCGAGGTGATATTTGTGACTGTCTCTGCATTGATGCCTACTGTCTGCGCGGAAACTGTCAGATAACCCAAGCAAAGATAATGCGCATATTCCTGCCTTTCTTCGATCCAGTTCCTGCTTCGATGGACCTTTGGGTGCCATCGTGCCAGTAATGTCCGTTTTCCTTTAGTGTGGGGTTCAACTTTTTTTGCTCGAGCTTCTCCAAAACTCTTGAGAAGCTTGGACCAGAGGACCGAAGCTTGGCGCCAAAATTCTTTGCAGTTAAGGATTCTGCATTTCTATCTACTCCCTCTAATAGGGTATGGCCTTCCCAAAACGCTCCTGCAAACAAGTTACTCTATCTGGCATGGTGGAGATAGCATTGTTGATCTCCTCTATGGTGATTTTATCCCATTCCTCCTGGATAGCAGCCTTCAGCGCCTCTGTCTGGAAGATGACCCCCCTATTCTTTAAACGCTGCTTGATAATGCGCCAAATGGTCTCAATAGGGTTGAGATCTGGCGAATTAGAAGGCTGAGCTTGCCACTTGATGTTAAGCTTGGTTTTGGCTTGCTTAACCTTATTGTCAGCAGCACCCTTCGTACCATGTGGTCCATCGTTATCTTCGATCAGAATGAGATTTTCATCCCATTCTGGGGCAACAACCTCCTCCAAAATCTTGACATAATCAGCTTGGATAAGCCTTCCGCCTTTCCCTGTGCCAGTATAGAAGTGGAGGGTACCCTTGAAGTTCCAACTGATGGTTGCAAAGACATGGATACTCTGG